TAAGTCCTATTGTGTGTATTAAATGTATATGTGCAGGAGCATTTTTCTGAAAACGTCGTTTGCAAATTATGCAGATACATTTGTTGACAATGTTAATAATTTCATTTTCTTGCCCATGAGGTTTAAGATACCTCATCAATTACGCTCTCTTATTAAATTGTGGGGGGGGGGGGCAAATGTAACATACTGGCCTACTGTGCAGGGCTGGTGTTTGGTTTCTTTCAAAGGGTAAAAGCCAGGCAACCATTTTTTTTAGCTGAGAGCTGAGGGGGCAGAGCCAGCAGGCAGCCTTTAGGGTATGTGGCGCCACCTGATTGGTCAACAGCCCTGGAGGGAGTTTGCTCAGTGAAGAAAGTGAGCAAATAGGACGCACATTAGCAAGTCATGGTGGGACCAGAAAAATTCTCTAAGGATTCTGGATGCTGATTCTGGGCGTATTTTGTTGCCCAGATCTTCTCCTAGTAAAAGATATAAAGAGAACTTTATATGTTCTTCAGAGGCAATCTATATATATAAAAATGCTCTGTGCATAATGAGTACCTTAAAAACAAAAGAACCAATGAACGAAATCACACCAAATTTGGCAAGAAAACGTCTCGCAACACAAGGAATGACCATCACTCAAAAAATTAAGATTTTGTCATTTGGGAGTTGTAGTTGCTGAGATTTATAGATCACCTACAATCAAAGAGGGAGCCCCCGGTGGCGCAGTGGGTTAAAGCACTGAGCTGCTGAGCTTGTTGATCGAAAGGTCGCAGGTTCGATTCCGGGGAGCGGCGTGAGCTTCCGCTGTCAGCCCTAGCTTCTGCCAACCTAGCAGTTCGAAAACATGCAAATGTGAGTAGATCAATAGGCGGAAGGTAACGGCGCTCCATGCGGTCATGCCGGCCACATGACCTTGGAGGTGTCTACGGACAACGCTGGCGCTTTGGCTTAGAAATGGAGATGAGCACCACACCCTAGAGTCAGACATGACTGGACTTAATGTCAGGGGACTACCTTTACCTTTACCTACAATCAAAGAGCATTCTGAACTCCATCAACAATAGAATTGAACCAAACTTGGCACATAGAACTCCCATAACCAACAGAAAATACTGGAAGGGTTTAGTGGGTATTGACCTTGAGTTTTGGAGTTGTAGTTCACCTACATCCAGAGAACACTATGGACTCAAACAATGATGGATCTGGACCAAACTTGGCACAAGCACTCAATACGTCCAAATATGAACACAGATGGAGTTTGGGGGCAATAGACCTTGACATTTGGGAGTTGTAGTCACTGGGATTCACAGTTCACCTACAATCAAAGAGCATTCTGAACCCCATGAAAGACAGAATCGGGGCAAACTTCCCACACAGAACCCCCATGGCCAACAGAAAATACTTAAGGCCATCCAATCCAACTCCCTTCATCAGTGCAAAAAAAGTAATCAAAATCCTCCTGACAAAGAGCCATCCAGCCATAGATATAGATAGATAGCTAGATAGATAGATAGATAGATATGATTCACACACAGAGAGATATAGTATCATAGATTTGAAAGGGACCCTTAAAGAAGGACAATGATATCTTGCATGTTCCAGGGTGGGCAAACCAGAAACTCTCCACATCAACACTGACAAAGAAACAGCAAGAAATACTGTTTACCCATTGCATATATTAGAAACCAGCACTTTCTCATTACTTTATTTTCCAGATCAACAGACTGGGCCACAGCAACGCGTGGCAGGGGACAGCTAGTGCACTATATTTTGAGATCACCGAGCTTGCCATAGGAACAGCATTACACATCCTAAACAATAATTTTGCTATCAAATCTACTAATGTTTTTCCTCCTGTGCTTTTTCCTTTGGTCACATATTTCAATAGCAAATGGCTCCAAAAAAAAAAAAAGCCTAACTTGAAATTAAATTTGATTTTTAGGTGATAACAGTTTCTCCAGCCTTGCAAACATGTGTCCAGAGTATCGCATAGGTTTTAGATTTCCAGAATTTCCAAGCAACATTGCAAGTAGCATCAAGTGTTTTCTATATAACTACATAGGTCAGTGATGGGCAACCTTTTGAGCGTGGTGTGTCAAAATTTGCCAAAAACCTGAGCATAACTTGGGTGAGGTGTCAACTTCGAGAAAAAACCCCCCATAATTTTGCAATATTTATAGTTTCAATAAGAAAAATGTATATTCCATGCTGAGTTATGGAGTGAACAATGCTCAAACGTGCAGATGTTAAATTTGTAGAGCCTTTTACAAGTTTAAGGATGGAATTAGATTGGCTCTTATAAGGTGTACTTCTCTGTATGTGGCCGCGTGTCATCAAAAATAGCCATGTGTGTCAGTGCTGACACGCGTGTCATAGGTTCACCATCACGGACATAGGTAGACAGTCATGAAGGGATAGGGGCATGTCTGTGAATGCACATATGTATGCAAAATAAATAAATCTTAATGTAATGGACAAACAGTTTTCTGCACTAGGATGAAAAATTATATTTTAAGATATCCGCATAATTGCCTAATTTGTGGGAATTTAAAATTAAACTTTGTAAATGGCTTTCCCTGAGCTGTAGCATACAATTCAGTATGCATGTGTACTAAAACATATCATCGGGTGTATTATAAATGGGTACCATTTCTATTCAGCGCTCAGTCATCTTCAATTTGACATAGTAGTGAAATAAAAGAATGATTTCAGTCATTTATCTTCCAAAATTCTCCATATTTGCAGAGACAACTTGTCATTTGTCCCAATAATAACAAATATTACTTCATATTTTGCTGAGTTGTAGATGCATAGGCTTCACATCAGTTTTTGAGAGTACTGTATTTTAGTTGATTCAGCTTCCTGAACTGAGAGTTTTTAAGTTGAGTCTCACTCCATGAGGGCATCTATCATCTAGTTGTTTATCTATCCATCTCTCGTTTTGTTTATTTTGGAAGGGAGGTATAAAGAAGTAGGGAACTTATTGTGGGAAATGTTTATCCGAAAATAAAAATCCCAAACGCTGCAAACCAATTATAGAGTAGAGGGAACTTCATATATTTTTGTGGAAACTAAAAATTACGATAATCTCAGCGCTTGCCACCACTTAAGATTTGAACGTGGCTTCTGAGATTTAAAAGTCCCAAAAATCAAAAAACTGATATGATATAGAAAAGCTGGCAACTCTCTGCCTGGCCGAATACAAAACCCTTTTGAAAGTGCACACACCCACTTAACAATGCTGTTAAGCCCTTGGCTTATTTATTGATTGATTGATAGATAGATAGATAGATAGATAGATAGATAGATAGATAGATAGATAGTGTCAGGAGCGACTTGAGAAACTTCAAGTCGCTTCAGGTATGAGAGAATTGACCATTTGCAAGGACGTTGCTCGGGGACGCCCGGATGATTTTAATGTTTTTATCATCCTTGTGGGAGGCTTCTCTCATGTCCCAAACCCTTCTAGTGTTTTCTGTTGGTCATGGGAGTCCTCTATGCCATGTTTGGTTCAATGCCATAATTGGTGGAGTTCAGAATGCTCTTTGATTGTAGGTGTACTATAAATCCCAGCAACTACAACTCCCAAAAGACAAAATCAAAAATTTTGAGTGAAGGACATACGTTGGGTTGTTAGGTGTATGCTATCCAAATTTGGTGTCAATTGGCCCACTGGTTTTTGAATTCTGTTAATCCCACAAACGAACATTACATTTTTATTTATATACTAGCTGTCCCTGCCACGCGTTGCTGTAGCCAACCTTCCCTCCCTCTTTCTCTCCTTCTTTCATTCCTTCTCTCCTTCCTTCCCTCTTTAACTTATTTCATTCTCTCCCTCCTTCTCTCCTTCCTTCCTTCTCTACCTTTCTTTCTTTCCTTCTTTCTTTCCTTCCCTCCTTCTTTCCCTCCCTCTCTCCTTCCCTCCCTACTTCTTTCTTTCCTTCCCTCTTTCTCTCCTTCTCTCCTCCCATCCTTTTCTACCCTTCCTTTTTCCTTCCTTCTCCCATTCCCTCATTTCCCTTCTTCTCTCCCTCCTTCCTTCTCTACCTTTATTTCCTTCTCTCCTTCCCTCCTTCCTTCCCTCCTTCCTTCTCTACCCTTCTTTCTTTCCTTCCTCCTCTCCTTTCCTCCTCTCCTTCCTCCTTTCTGTGTATGTGTTTTGTGTATATATATATGTGTGTATGTGGTTTTGTGCGTGCGTTGTAATTTTTTTTTTGCTTTTTTAGTCCCTTCTGCTGTGTTTTTCAGTGTTTTTATGAGTGGTGGTCACTCGTTGGCCTGAGAGATGTCTTGTGTCCAAATTTGGTGTCAATTCATCCAGTGGTTTTTGAGTTCTGTTAATCGCACAAACGAACATTACATTTTTATTTAGATAGATATTATTAGTAAAGCATTTTGTACCACAGATGACACATCTAGAGCATACTTGCCCAATATGACAAACTTTAAGTACTGATGGAGTCAACCTTATGCATTCTGTTCCACTAAAAAACTGACTGGGTTGTTGTAGGTTTTTTTCGGGCTATATGGCCATGTCCTAGAGTAGAGCATTGTCTCCTGACGTTTCGCCTGCATCTATGGCAAGCATCCTCAGAGGTTGTGAGGTCTGTTGGAACTAGGAAAATGGGTTTATATATCTGTGGAAAGACCAGGGTGGGACAAAGGACTCTTGTCTGCTGGAGCTAGGTGTGAATGTTTCAACTGACCACCTTGATTAGCATTTGATAGCCCGGCAGTCAGTTTGAACAGAAAAAAATATATAAAGGAGTCTAGCAGTACTTTTGAGATTAAGGGAAAGACATCTCTAGTGTAAACATTTTTGAAAGCTTATGCTAGTAATGTCTTTCTCTGGGCCCTCTGGGTAGTGAGGTCTCTTCCAAATACCCTCGGATACCCAAGCGAGCAGAAGAATAACAATCCAGGCAGCCAACCAATCGGGGCTTAGCTTCCGAGATGCGGCTGCCCGGATTGGTCAACGACCCCCGCTTGACTGGGGCTGGCCAGCGGCGCGCGCAATTGGCCTGCTTTGGGACCTGCTGATGCTTTGGGCGTGCAGCGGCTCCTCAGGACAGACAGGAGGCTCTCTCTCACACTGTCGCCAGCCTCGGAGGAAGAGGAGGAGTTGCGGTCCTCTCGCTGGCTGGAGCCGGCCGAGGAAGAGCAGCCGCCAGTGGGGCCAGGTAAAGGGAGGCGGGCGGAGGAAGGAAGGAAGGGAGCCGGCGCTCTCGATCTGATCTGCAGTCCAGGCAGGAAGGGAGGCTTTGCAGGATTTGACCCATTTCTCAGGCTAAGCTGGAGGCCGTGTCCGTTGAGCTTCTCCTGCCCTTTCCGTCCTTGGGGAGAGGCAAAAACCCCATTGCTTTGGTCCCAGATAGCCTCCTTCCTTTCCCTTCCTTTCCTTTCCTTTCTCTATTCCCCTTTCCTTTTTCCTTTCCTTTCCTTTCTCCTTTCCTTTCCTTACCCATACCTTTACCTTAACATTAGGTAAAGGTAAAGGTAGTCCCCTGACATTAAGTCCAGTCATGTCTGACTCTGGGGTGTGGTGCTCATCTCCATTTCTAAGCCGAAGAGCCAGCGTTGTCCGTAGACACCTCCAAGGTCATGTGGCCAGCATGACTGCATGGAGCGCCGTTACCTTCCCGCCGGAGCAGACCTATTGATCTACTCACATCTGCATGTTTTCGAACTGCTAGGTTGGCAGAAGCTAGGGCTGACAGCGGAAGCTCACGTCGCTCCCTGGAATCGAACCTGCGACCTTTCGATCAACAAGCTCAGCAGTTCAGTGCTTTAACCCACTGCGCCACCTGGGGCTCCATTAACATTAAGCATTAACATTAATCCTTAACATTAAGCATTCTCAATTAGCAGCCCATTAATCCAGTGTTATTCAACTTGGGGGTCAGGACCCCTGCGGGGGTCGTAAGGGGGTGTCAGAGGGGTCATCAAAGCCTATCAGAAAACAAAAGTATTTTCTGTTAGTCAAGGGGGTTCTATGTGGGAAATCTGGCCCAATTCTATCATTGGTCGTGTTGAGATTGCTCTTTGATTGTAGATGAACTATAAATCCCAGGAACTACAACCCCCAAAAGTCAAGGTGTATTTTCCCCAAACTCCACCAGTATTTATATTTGGGTATATTGAGTATTTGTGCCAAGTTTGGTCCTGATCCATCATTGTTTGAGTCCACAGTGCTCTCTAGATGTAGGTGAACTACAACTCCAAAACTCAAGGTCAATGCCCACCAAAACCTTTCCAGTATTTTCTGTTGATCATGGGAGTACTGTGTGCCAAGTGTGGTTCAATTCCATTGTTTGTCGAGTTCAAAATGCTGTTAGATTGTAAGTGAACTATAAATCCCATTAACAAATACTTAAATGACAAAATCAATCTTCCGCCAACCCTACCAGTATTCAAATTTGGACATGTTGGGTATTTGTGCCAAATTTGGTCCAGTGAATGGAAATATATCTTGAATACATCAGATATGTACATTACGATTCACAACAGTAGCAAATTGATACTTATGAAGTAGCAACTAATGTTATGGTTGGAGGTCACCACAACATGAGGAACTGTATTAAGGGGTCGCGGCATTAGGAAGGTTGAGAAACACTGCATTCATCATTCTCATTCCAAAGAATGAATACAGTTACAAATAACCGGAAACAGATAATGCGGGGGGGGGGGGGGGGGATATTCCACAAAGTTAATCTATTTCTTCATATCAGTTACAACGATACACATTGTTCCCAATATAACACACTAGCCATCCCCTGCCAGTCATTGCTGTGGCCCACTCTGATGATTTGGAAAATAAAGTAATGAAAAAGTGTTGGTTTCTAATATATGTAATTTCTTTTTGCTTGTGGGTAAACAGTATTTCTTGTTGTTCCTGTGTCAGTGTCGATGTAGAAATTGTCTGGTTTGCCTACTCTGGAACATGCAACATATAATTGGCCTTCTTTAGGGGTACCTTTCAGATCTATGATATTATATCTGTCATATACATATGTGTATGTGTGTGTGAATCATATATATCTATCTATATCAATGGCTGGATGGCTCTTTGTCAGGAGGGCTTTAATTATTTTTTTTGCTCTGGTGAAGGGAGTTAGACGGGGTGGCCTTAAGGCATCATTTCTCAACCTGAAGGTCGGGACCCCTGGGAAGGGTTGTGGGGAGTGTCAGAAGGATCGCCAAAAACCACCAGAAAACACAGTTTTTTCTGTTGGTCATGTGGGTTCTGTGTGGGAAGTTTGGCCCAATTCTATCATTGGTGTGGTTCAGAATGCTCTTTGATTGTAAGTGAACTATAAATCCCAGCAACGACAACTCCCAAATGTCAAGGTCTATTTCCCCCAAATTCCATCTGTGTTCATATTTGGGCATATGGATTATTCATGCCAAGTTTGGGCTAGATCCTTCCTTGTTTGAGTCCACAGTGCTCTCTGAATGTAGGTGAAGTACAACTCCCAAACTCAAGGTCAATGCCCATCAAATCCTTCCAGTGTCTTCTGTTGATCATGGGAGTCCTGTGTGCCAAGTTTGGTTCTATTCCATTGGTGGTGGAGCTCAGAATGCTCTTTGATTGTAGGTGAACTATAAATCCCAGCAACTATAACTCCCAAATTACAAAATCAAATTTTTGAGCAATGGTCACTCCTTTGGTTAGTAGGTGTCTTGTATCCAAATTTGGCAGCAATTCGTCCAGTGGATTTTGAGTTATGATGTCACTCAGAATGAACAGAGTATATTTATTTATTTATCGTGTCAGGGCAGCCAGTCAATTATATTACATTTCTAACAGAACAAAGCAAACAAACAGAGAAAATACAAAATGTGTGAGTTTGGTAGTTGATTAAATGTCCTTTGACCAGTATCTGGCCACTTGGAGTGCTTCCGGTGTTGCTGCAAGAAGGTCCTCCATTGTGCATGTGGCAGGGCTCAGGTTGCATTGCAGCAGGTGGTCAGTGGTTTGCTCTTCTCCACACTCGCATGTCAAGGATTTCACTTTGTAGCCCCATTTCTGAAGGTTGGCTCTGCATCTCGTGGTGCCAGAGCGCAGTCTGTTCAGTGCCTTCCAAGTCGCCCAGTCTTCTGTGTGCCCAGGAGGGAGTCTCTCATTTGGTATCAGCCATTGGTTGAGGTGCTGGGTTTGAGCCTGCCACTTTTGGACTCTCGCTTGCTGAGGTGTTCCAGCGAGTGTCTCTGTAGATTTTAGAAAACTATGTCTAGATTTAAGTCGTTGACGTGCTGGCTGATACCCAAACAGGGGATGAGCTGGAGATGTCTCTGCCTTGGTCCTTTCACTATTGGCTGCTACTTCCCGGCGGATGTCAGGTGGTGCAATACCGGCTAAGCAGTGTAATTTCTCCAGTGGTGTAGGGCGCAGACACCCCGTGATAATGCGGCATGTCTCATTAAGAGCCACATCCACTGTTTTAGTGTGGCAAGATGTGTTCCACACTGGGCATGCATACTCAGCAGCAGAGTAGCATAGCGCAAGGGCAGATGTCTTCACTGTATCTGGTTGTGATCCCCAGGTTGTGCCAGTCAGCTTCGTATGATATTGTTTCTGGCACCCACTTTTTGCTTGATGTTCAGGCAGTGCTTCTTGTAGGTAACAGAGTATAGAGAGAGAGAGAGAGAGAGAGAGAGAGATAGTCTATATATTCTCTATAACAAAGAGAGGAGAAATACTGCCCTCTGACTTTTAAGTCTGGTCTTCACATTTCTGATAACCCAGTTCAAAGCAGATATTGTGGGATTTTGTGTGGCTGTGTGGAAGGGCCCAGGGTTAATATGTCTTGGTGTAATTGTTGTTGTTTGTTTTCAATTTGCTTCTAACCTGTAGTGACACTATTACAAGGTTTTACTGATGGAGTATTTCTGGCAGCATCAGCCCCTGTTGAATTTCTGCCTTTGATTTTCTGGGGAGTGATAGATAACATAGCCATACCAAAAGGCTATTCTTAATTAAAGCTTCTTCTTCAACTGTCTGTACAAGATAATCTCTGGGCAAGATTGTTGTTGAGCCAGAGCAGCGAATATATTGTTGAGCCAGAGCAGCGAATAGTTTGTTAGTAATATGCATGAAACTAGGTTAGAAGAAATATCTGTAGTAAGCTTATTTGTGTTGCAGGATAATTACGGGCAGTTCTTCCCTGTTATATACAGTATTTACTGTGCCTTTATCCTCCTTGTATGACCCCCACACCATGTCATTTGACTTCAAACTCTGAAAGATGTTTATGTACCAGACATTTTACTACCTTCTTTTGAGAATAGAAATAAGTCCCGAACACACAAAAAACGGATCACAGGCATCTTGTTCTTAGCACACTTCTTCTCCAAGTGGTCTTTTATTTGCTTTTCCTTCTTTGAGGTTGTATTTCTCAATGTGACGTGTTAGCTAGTCTTCTGTTTAGTATATTCTTGTTATTGTTTGAGCTCTGAAATCATGGAAAATCCTGATCTTAAGCCATAAATTCCATCTGTCCGGCTGGGTTGTAAAGCACTGGATGTCTGCATGTGGCTGCTGGATTATTTACTCTTTCTTCAGATGTAGTTTCTAGTTTTCCTTTGAGAAATCTTAGCCATGTTAACAGTAACAGCAGGACTTGGCATCCGGATGCCAAAGAGCACTGCCCGAGGTCAAATAACAGGCTGTCATCATTGGTCAAAATAGCAGTGCTAATGTCTTCTATTTTTAGTTGCCAAGTCAGAGTAGCTCCTGTGTCATGTCCCTTCTTAAAGGATGGGCGAGGGCCCAATTACACTAAAGGAGTCAGATTCTGTCTGTTCTTGGAAGCTAAGCAGGTTCAGTCCTGGTTAATACTTGGATGGGAGATCACTGACAATACAAGGTGCTGTAGATTGTATTGCAGAAACTGGCTAAACTAATAATAATCATCATCATCATCATCATCTATATAAATAAAAATGTAACGTTAGTTCGTGCTACCATCAGAACTCAAAAACCACTGGAGGAATTGACACCAAATTTGGACAGAAGACACCGAACAGTCCAATTTATGTCCTCCACTCAAAAAAATTGATTTTGTCATTTGGGAATTGTCGTTGCTGGGATTTATAGTTTACCTACAATCAAAGAGCATTCTGAACTCCACCAATGATGGAATTGGGCCAAACTTAGCACACAGGGCTCCCATGACCAACAGAAAAAACTGGAAGGGTTTGGTGGACATTGACCTTGAGTTTGCGAATTGTAGTTCACCCACATCCAGAGAGCACGGTGGACTCAAACAATGATGGATCTGGACCAAACTTGGCACGAATATTCCATATGCCCAAATATGAACACAGATGGAGTTTAGGGGAAATAGACCTTGACATTTGGGAGTTGTAGTTGCTGGGATTTATAGTTCACCTACAATCAAAGAGCATTCTGAACTCCACCAATGATGGAATTCAACAAAACATGGCATACAGGACTTCCATGACCAACAGAACACACTGGAAGGGTTTGGTGGGCATTGACCTTGAGTTTGGGAGTTGTAGTTCACCTACATCCAGAGAGCACTGTGGACTCAAACAATGATGGATCTGGACCAAACTTGACACAAAAATTCCATATGCCCAAATGTGAACACTGATGGAGTTTGAGGAAAATAGACCTTGACATTTGGGAGTTGTAGTTGCTGCGATTTATAGTTCACCTACAATCAAAGAGCATTCTGAACTCCACCAACACAGAATTGGGGCAAACTTTCCACACAAGAACCCCCATGACCAACAGAAAATACTTAAGGCCATCCAGTCCAACGCTCTTCACTAGAGCAAGAAAATGTAATCAGAGCCCTCCTGACAAAGAGCCATCCAGTCATAAATATAGATAGATAGATATGATTCTCTCTCACACACACAGATATAGTATCATAGATTTGAAAGAGACCCTTAAAGAAGGACTATGATATGTTGCATATTCCAGAGTAGGCAAACCAGACACTCTCCACATCAACACTGACAAGGAAACAACAAGAAATACTGTTTACTCACAAGCATAAAGGTATTACATATATTAGAAACCAACACTTTCTCGTTACTTTATTTTCCAGATCACCAGACTGGGCCACAGCAACGCGTGGCAGGGGACAGCTAGTAATAATAATCATCATCATCTTTATTTATACCTCGCCACTATCTCCCCAAAAGGGACTCGGGGCAGCTTACATGAGGCCAAGCCCAGAAATACAATTGCAACAAAATACAATAAAATAAAACCAAACAACAAAACTAATATCACAATAAGATAAATAAAGCATAGGAAGACAAAAAAAATAAAACAAAATAATGCAATGAGAAATCAATCACAGTGAGCGGGCCACGTGTATAACATAAAAAACTGGATGAGAAAATGAAAAGGAAAATGTTTGTAAGGGATAAACTCGTTGGAGACAGAGTAGTGAAGAACAGACTTTCACACAGGTGGAGAGGAATACAGTAAAAGTACTACATTGTGGGAGGAATGACAGAAAGGAGGTACATAGTCACTCTCCAAAAACGCACTAACTCTGTTGCTTGTCTAAAAAAATCCTATGAAATACATGGGTTGCCATCAGTCAACCGCTGACATGAAGGCACAAAGATGTACACAAACACAATGTAGTAATCTAAACAAATCTCTACTAGATATTTGTAGTTAAAATTGAGTATCATTTGTAACCTGGCTGTCAGTAGTTCAATTAACACAAAAACGTAAAGGCACAGTTTTGGTTTTGATTGATATTTAATATTATTTAAAAAATCCAAAACACCACCTTTATTGGATCAGTCAAAAGGGATAAAATACTAACTTTCCAAGGGTTTTTTCGTTAGGCACATATATGAAAAATCAAACATGGCACGAATACTCGATATGCCCAAATGTGAACATTGGTGGAGTTTGGGGAAAATAGACATTTGGGAGTTTTAGTTGCTGGGATTTATAGTTCACCTACAATTAAAGAGCATTTTGAACTCCACCAACGATGGAATTGAACCAAACTTGGCACACAGGACTCCCATGACCAACAGAAGACACTGGAAGGATTTGGTGGGCATTGACCTTGCATTTGGGAGTTGTAGTTCATCTACATCCAGAGAGCACTGTGGACTCAAACAAGGATGGATGTGGACCAACCTTAGCGCGATTACTCAGTATGCCCAAATGTGAACATTGGTGGAGTTTGGGGAAAATAGACATTTGGGAGTTTTAGTTGCTGGGATTTATAGTTCACCTACAATTAAAGAGCATTCTGAACCCACCAATGATAGTATTGGGCCAAGCTTCCCATACAGAACCCCCATGGCCAACTGAAAATACTGTGTGAATGTCAGAGGGTGACCCCTCTGACATTCCCACACGATCACCCCAGAGGTCCCGACCCCCAGGTTGAGAAACACTGGTCTAGGATATAATGTTTTCCTATTGCAACTTCCCAATTAAGACCAAAGCCTTAACAATTATTTATTTATTTTATTTATTTACAGTATTTATATTCCAAAAAGTTGGTGACATGTAATATTTACAGTATTATTATTATTTACAGTATTTATATTCCGCCCTTCTCACTCCCGGGGACTCAGAGTGGATTACAATGTACATATACATGGCAAACATTAAATGCCATAGGCACACAACATATATAGACAGACACACAGAGGCCATTTAACATTCCAGCGTCATGAGGGTATTCTGGCCACCAGGGGAGCTGTTGCTTCACCATCCATTTGTGACACTGATAGAGTACTTTCCTCATTCTTTGCATGCTTGCTGGAGATTTTTATGGCATCGTAAATGAGTTAAATTAGCCTCCCTGCATAAGCGGTACCTAAATTTCCTACTTGACAGATGCAACAGACTTTTGGGCTGCAAAGGTAGACAGCGAGCTACACAATGGTCGGAAGCTCATGACCTTTCAGTCAGTAGTGATCTGATGCAGCTGACTCCCAGCCAGCTGTGCCACAGTCCAGGTGCTAACAATGATACTAGTAGCAATTAATATATGGTAAAAATATAAATACAGCAGTTGAACATAGTAGCAGTTCTGCTGTTTTGGTATGTGGCCACACATAAATGAGACTTTGTTTCATTCTTTAAATTTGCCATAGTCTCAGGGGTCAATAATTTCCATCACATTCATTTTTTTAATTACAGTTGGGTCTCTACAGAGGTAGCTAGCACTCAGTCCACAGAGTAATGGTATGCATACATTGGATTAGTCCAGTTGATTTGCCCAATTTTTAAAATTGACTTCTTTGTTGATCAGTGTTTCATTCCCAGTTAAAGCCTATGTAATACCTGTATTCTTATTTCATAGGAGTGGGAGACATGGATTCAGCTGAAATGACAACAAATCGAAGTGAACAAAAATCAAGGTAAAAGCAACTTGATCAATGATGTGCATTTTCAAACTCTATGTGAGTCATGCTTGTTGCTATTTTGTAGGGTTTTTTTCAGCATAAAAATAAAAAACCCCTATGAATAAGTTTACAAATGGAAAGCTGTGTAATGCTACCAAAACCACCTATTCCCCCTCCCCCCAATTATTATTACAATGGCAACCAAAACAGAAATGCAAAAGCAGTCCATAATTTTCTATAGGGCCAGATGGAAATCCATTTGACATCTAACCCAGTAGCTGCAGAGGTTCCCACTCTGGCTACCTTTAGTGGTGTAAAGTGAAAGCAAATCCAACCACTCCTTCTAGCATGCTGCAGTGGTTCAATGAATAAGTCAGGTGTTGGGAATTTATAGCCTTCTACATATTGCCCTGCTCAGTAGAGTCAGTGGTATGGGATCATGAGGGCTATACTTCAGCAACATCTGGAGAATCACACATTTCCAGCCCTGGTCTACATATGCTTATCAGAGAAATTAAGATACAGTGGATCCATGCTTACAAAAGGACGTATTCAAAAGGTTCAAGGTTGCAAAGGGTGTCCAAATTCACTAACATCCAAAGGGCATGTAGCAGCAGACGCATAAAGGTCTGCATGAGCTATATCTCTGTAAATAGTCTCAACCCCAGTGAAAAGACTAAGGATCTCATCACATCAAGACTGGGATTTGCCACACACTGTGGTGATTCCCACAGAGTGCAGCCAGGAAATCAAAAGACACTTACTTCTTGGGAGGAGAGCAATGACCAATCTCGATAAAATAGTGAAGACTAGAGACATCACATTGGCAATGAAGATCCGCATAGTAAAAGCAATGGTGTTCCCTGTGGTAACTTATGGATGTGAGAGCTGAACCACAGGGAAGGCTGAGCAAAGGGCGATAGATGCTTTTGAATTTTTGTAGAGTGCCTTGGACTGCGAAAAGATCCAACTAGTCCATACTTCAGGAAATAAAACCCAACTGCTTATTGGAGGGAAGGATATTAGAGGCAAAGATGAAGTACTTTGGCCACATAATGAGAAAACAGGAAAGCTTAGAGAAGACAATGATGCTGGGGAAAATGGAAGGAAAAAGAAAAAGGGGCCGACCAAGGGCAAGATGGATAGATGGTATCCTTGAAGTGACTGGCTTGACCTTGAAGGAGCTGGGGGTGGTGATGACCAACAGGGAGCTCTGGCATGGGCTGGTTCATGAGGTCACGAAGAGTCGGAAGCAACTGAATGAATGAACAACAACAAGTGGTGATTCTGGTGGGACCTGCAAAACCCATATCGGCCAGCTTCCCCTCACCCCATCCCATGGGGGAAGTATCCGCTGCCCAGCCTCCCTGTTGCAGCCACAGTGCCTACGACACCCCCTCTTTGCTTGCACCACAGAGCCATACTGGAAGTAGATCTACGTCATGGGATGGGAGCCAGCGGCCTCTGTGCTGCAAGTGAAGAAGGAGTGTTGTACGATGAGCAATTTTGTCGTAATAGTGAAATCAGAAAAGTTTTGATTTTTGACTACAGTTTGCCAGCCAGTCCAAACTGTGCACTCACAAGACTTCTTTTCTGCAGTCAACTAGGAGAATTAAAATGCTGACTTGACACAGAACAACTAGTCATGCTTTTCCTCATCACCACTATCCTGCTAATTTTTCAATCCTCATCAGCAGAAATCCTCGTCTAAATGAATTAAACTGTTTTTCAAAAACTATGCTAATGCTCCCTATTCTTGTCATAGACCAAATGTTTTTTAACCTGTCAGTCAAATAAAATAATTACTTGATTGAATATAGGTATGTTCAGCATGACCAAAGGTAGATTTTCTGCTTGGTGTCTGCTGTCTAGGAAATTTTTAAAAAGCCTTATACGGAGACAACCCCAGGAGCTCCTGTTGGTAATTGGAACTGGCGTGAGCGCAGCGGTGGCACCCGGAATTCCAGCCCTTTGCTCTTGGCGGAGCTGCATTGAGGCCGTCATTGAAGCAGCCGACCAGCTGGAAGTGTTGCATCCAGGAGATGTGGCTGAATTCCAGAAAAAAGTGGTCAAGGAAAGAGATTTGCTTGTGGTTGCTCATGACCTCATTCGAAAGATGTCACCAGTAAGTGTATGTTTATTGCTTTGCAGTGATTCTGAATAAATGCTATTCCGGATGTGTCAATCTATATAAATAAAAATGTAATTTTTGTTTGTGGGATTAACATAACTCAAAAACCACTGGACCACTCAGCGGTTGGGTTTTTTCCCCTCGTGCAGGAGCGAGGGACGGGGGAAGGGTTCTTTTAACACAGGCTCTATATGGGCATTTAGCCTTGAGGGTGTAAGTTCTTTCCAGTTAAGTATTGTTTATTTTTTGAGTGGAGAACATAAATTGGGTTGTTAGGTGTATCGTGTCCAAATTTGGTGCCAATTGCCCCAGTGGTTTTTGAGTTCTGTGAGTAGCACAAACGAACATTACATTTTTATTTATATAGATTTACAGCACTCCTACTCCGCCCTTCTCAACTTCCCGGGGGGAGGGCGGTCAGGGCAGCTAACATAGGCAACAATTCAATGCCACAATATCAATAAACAACAATATAACACCATGGGGCTGCCCTTGAAAACAGCTCGGAAATTCCAACTGGTCCAACGGGCAGCGGCCAAGATGTTAACTGGTGCTCCTTACAGAGAGAGGTCAACCCTCCTGTTCAAGGAGCTCCACTGGCTGCCGTTTATCTTCCGAGCCCAATTTAAGGTGCAGGTGCTTACCTACAAAGCCCTAAACGGTTTGGGACCATCCTACCTGCGTGACCGCATCTCCGTCTACGAACCCACGCATTCACTTCGTTCTTCCGGAGAGGCCCTGCTCGTGATTCCACCTGCGTCACAGGCGCGTTTGGTGGGGATGCGTGACAGGGCCTTTTCTGTGGTGGCCCCCCGACTCTGGAATACCCTCCCCAAAGACCTTAGACAGGCCCCTACATTGGCAGTCTTTAGAAAGAACTTGAAGACTTGGCTGTTCCGATGTGCCTTTCCAGAATAGGAATCTCCAATAACAAGTCCCAGAAGCACTTTATTAGAATTAAGATTGCTGCACACTGCACTTGCGCTATAATCCTTACATAGCACCTGTCACATCAGCACTTTTAACCTTGTACCCATTACTCTGGCCCGGCCCAGTTTTATTGTGTCTTGGTGTATTGTTTATTGCTTGTTGTTTAATATTGCTTTAACTGTTTTAATTTGCTTTAGGTGTTGTATTGTTATGTTGTGTTTTGAGGCCTTGGCCTTTGTAAGCCGCATCGAGTCCTTCGGGAGATGCTAGCGGGGTACAAATAAAGTTAATAATAATAATAATAATAATAATAATAATAATAATAATATGAATATATAAAATTTAAAAATAATAGCATTAATTAAATAGTCGCACTTCCCCAGACTTCAGATAAAAGTATAAAATATATTGACTTTTGTACAATTCTGTAAAATCAATCACTGTAATGGAATATTATTTTTGGACAATATATGACAATATTTTGAATTCCCATAATATCACGTAGAGTTATCAAAAATAGTATCTAGGGAATGTGTTTTTATGGTGCTATACAGGTGGCATGAAAGGGCAGATGGGTTGTCATTTTTCATTACTGCTTTGGTTGTTTTCACACATGAAAAAGGGAAGATCCCCAAATTGGGAAATGCAACACATCATCGCCAAGCCAGTTGAAATAAAGTTGTCATTGAGCCAGAGATTTTAGAGATTTATTTCCTTGAGTCCCTCTGAAAATCACTCTAGCTGTGATTTAAATTTGCTTGCATCCAAGTACCCAGTTTTCAGGCTGTTGAGCTATTGTCCAAAAAAGTTGAGAGAGTTTTTTTTTTTAATTTGGGGAACTTGTTCTCCTTTGTAGACAGAGATCAGGAGTTCACACATGTCTTCCTGGATCTTGGTTGTTTGTGTTCAGAGGCATTCTGCATTCATGTGAAATCCCAGCAGGCTACTCGCAGCTGTCAAAACCCAGTCCTCATGATCCTGGTTGATTGTAAATACATAATCAGTCCAAGAGATGTCTTAGTAGGATTACTTCTGGCTGTTTGAAGCTGTGGGTGGCAGAAACCGGCGATATGGGAATTTTTCTTTCATTGGATTTTTAATCTTGTGCATATTTACAGGGGTTTTTGTATCAAAAAGACATCCCAAAATAGTAGTGTTTAACCCTAAATAAGATATACAAGGAAGTAAGCCAGGCTTGCTGCCAATAAAATGTGCATACAGTTACAGCCTGAAATGATCAAAGACTAAGAGAACTTGCTTGTTTGGCAAGCCCAAAACATCAGAGACTTCTTGGTACAGAACTGTGTTTGGCAAACTGTAGCTCATAAGCTCCATATGGTCCTCTAAGCCATTTTTGTGATCCCTAGTGGAATCAACATATGTATCTTCAGTATATATAAAAGCCAATGTATATACTCGTATGCACAGTTGTATCACAAAGGCTTTTAGATGATAATCTATATAAATAAAAACGTAATGTTCGTTTGTGGGATTAACAGAACTCAAAAACCACTGGGGAAATTGACACCAAATTTGGACACAAGACACCTAACAACCCATTGTATGTCATTCACTCAAAAAAATTTGACTTGTCATTTGGGAGTTGTAGTTGCTGGGATTTATAGTTCACCTACAATCAAAGAGCATTCTGAACTCCACCAATTATGAAATTAAACCAAACATGGCATATAGGACTCCCATGACCAACTGAAAACACTAGAAGGGTTTGGTGGGCATTGACCTTGAGTTTGGGAGTTGTAGTTCACCTTCATCCATAGAGCACTGTGGACTCAAACAATGATGGATCTGGACCAAACTTGGCACAAATATTCCATATGCTCAAATATAAACACAGATATTGGGGGAAATAGATCTTGACATTTGGGAGTTGTAGTTACTGGGATTTATAGTTCACCTGCAATCAAGGACCATTCTAAACCCCACAAATGACAAAATTGGGGCAAATTTCCCACACAGAACCACTATGACCAAGAGAAAATACTTAAGGCCATCCAGTCCAACTCTTCACCAGGGCAAGAAAATGTAATCAAAGCCCTCCTGACAAAGAGCCATCCAGCCATAGATATTGATAGATAGATATGATTCACACGCAAACACACAAATATAGTATCATAGATTTGAAAGGGACCTCTAAAGAAGGACAATTATATGTTCCATATTCCAGAGTAGGCAAACCGGACACTCTCCACATCAACACTGACAAAGAAACAACAAGAAATACTGTTTACCCAGAAGCATAAAGAAATTACATATATTAGAAACCCACACTTTCACATTACTTTATTTTCCAGATTACCAGGCTTGGCCACAGCAACATTTGGCAAGGGATGGCTAGTGTATATTAAAAATAATCCTGCCTATTCAGAGCAATTAAAAAGCTGGGCCAAGGCTAGTGCAAACTCAAAAATAAAACCGTTTAGGTCAAGGGTCCTCAAACTTTTTAAACAGAGGGCCAGGTCACAGTCCCTCAAACTGTTGGAGGGCCGGATTATAATTTGAAAAAAAAAAAAACATGAATGAATTCCAGTGCACTATCAGCATATCTTATTTGTAGTGCAAAAACCACTTAAAACAATACATTAATGAAGAACAATTTTAACAAATATAAACTTATTAGTATGTCAATGGGAAGTGTGGGCCCGCTTTTGGCTGATGAGATAGGGTTGTTGTTGTTGTTGTTGTTGTGTGCTTTCAGGTCATTTCAGACTAAGGTTGACCCTGAGCAAGGGCCGGGTAAATGACCTTGGAGGGCCGTATCTGGCCCCCGGGCCTTAGTTTAAGAACCCCTGGTTTAGGTCTTTATAAGTTATGACCTGCACCTTGAATTTGGGTCAGCAACTTATCGCAGCCAAGGAAGCTGTTTTAATAGAGGCGTTGTATGTTTCCTATAGTGTGCTCCTGTAAGGAGCCTGGCTGCTGTCCGTTGTACCAGTTTAAACTTCCGGGCCGTCTTCAAGGGCAGCCCCATGTAGAGTGCATTGCAGTAGTCCAGTCTGGATGTAAGCAAGGCGTGGACCGCCCTGGCCAAGTCAGACTTCACAAGGTATGAACTTGGAAACTTGGCTAAAACTCTATAGGACTGCTCAGTATTAAGACAGCTATGCATTTGGTGGCTTCAAGTTTTGTAGTACTTTTACTAAAGCTTTTATTTCTCTGTGGTGGTGTTATTTTTTCTTCCCAGCGCACAGGAGATGCCAAGCCTAACTTTTTCCAGGACTGCCTAATGGAGGTCTTTGATAATTTGGAGCAACACATTCAGAATCCTGTTCTCCTGCAGGCAATCCTCCGACTCATGGAGAGGGGCACAATGGTGCTCACCACCAACTATGATAACTTACTCGAAATTTTTGGTCAGCAACAAAATAAGCCCATGGTATCTCTTGACTTGAAAGATAAGGACCAGGTATGATAAGACTGATAAATATGCTTTGGGAAATTGTCCATCTCCACTCTGTGTTTAGAAAACATACATCATTTAACACTGTAAGAGAATTGCAGCTAAAGAGAAACCAATTTCTGACCACTGGTGTCCTAGCTAACGAGGGGATAAAAGTCTCAAGTTTGGGATGTGTAGTAAGATGAAGCATCCTTTAGAATAACGCTAAGTTCTTGTCCTTGTTTCATGGAAGCCTTGCTTTGACGATTCGTGCTCATATCCTTCTTGTTTCATGGTTTTGATTCCTGGATTTACTGATTACTTACCCAAGCCTTGGATGAATGTATTCCTGATTTTCTAGATTATATTAGAGATGTGTGGACTTTGCTTTTATGGACTTTGCTGAACTCTACCTTGGACTAATTTGTTCTTGCTTATCTTCTTACCTAATTGGATTTACCTATTTCTTTTAAGTGCTTTTTACTTTGCTGCTTTTTACTTATCTTCAATAAAAGGATTGTTTTTCCTATTCAACGTGTAGTGTTTAAAGTCAGAGGATTATTCCTGTTCTGGAGTGCAACAGCTATTATCTGTGATTTCCTGTATCCATGCAAAATCTGGATACATATTCCTCATGATAAATTGCCAATAAAATTGTGTGGTGCGGTCTTATGGTTGGGCATTTCTGTTCAGATTTGTATTACATTAAAACACTGAGAGAGCATATAACAGTTAACAAAAGAAATATATCATTCTTTTGAAGTTTAACCTCCTCCTTCACAGTATGTGGCAGTGTTAACAAACTGTTTGGCTTTTTTTAGGTTCTCCAGTGGGCAAAGGGACATGTCCAATATGGAGTTCTTCACATTCATGGCTTGTATACTGACCCCTGTGGAATGGTGCTGGATCCTTCGGGATATAGAGATGTTACTCAAGATGCCGAGGTGATGGTATGTGAACCTTGAGATGAGAAAACTATTTTCTTGCAGGCCACACAACCTGAAAATCAGCAATGCTTTTAACATCCAGTTCCCACTCTAGTGGGAATTGGAGTGATAGGATCAGATAGATATACAGTAAGCATTTGTGATCTATTAAAATGGTTTGAAGGTACTTACAAAACTGGGGGGTGCTGGTGCTTTGTTTCTTAAGTGTTTCTAAAGCATACAGTGATAAATTAATTACTATAATGTAACACAATTTCGTTACTATTTCATTATAGTAATCGCATATGCACATAATTAAATAATTACTATCATTGGAGAAATTTTAGGGGCTCCTTTCTCCCTCATTTTTAAAGCTATTGGAGTGAAATTTGCTACAATGGAAGAACATATTTACCACTGTTAGCCCGCCAAATTTCAGAATGTTTCACTTATCCACTGAGTTTGGGGGAATTTTCAACCTTTTTCTAAACAACTTTAAAAAAAAACTACTGGAGCAATCTACTTGAAATTTATTTACAATGCACAGGATAACCAGGGCATCCATCCCCAGAAGTTTCAGAAAGATTCACACATCTACAGATTTGGGGGGGGGGGATGTTTAAATGTTTAGACAAAAACAATTTATCCCCCCCCCAAAAAAAATACGACATCAGTCCCCTTGAAGTCTCTCAGTCTTTAAGACACACAACCACATAACTTCAACTTAGCACAGATTTATACTATTACTTACTTACTTTAGACCTCTTTGCAGATTCAATAATTTTATTTATTATTATTAGACTGACTCTAAACAGCTGCTGCGGCCCAATGCTGAGCATTGAATTCTGAGAAATGTAGTTTAGGGCAGTGTCTTTTGCATTTTCTGTCACAGGAGGCCTCACCTTCCCAAACTATATTTAAGATGGCCGTGTTCTCAGTCTCCCTCCTATTAACTTTGCTAGTCCCACCCACAGTGCCTTCCGTATGGCAATTGGGCCAAAGAAAAAGGATTGGTTTCTAAAGTATTTTATGTTTTCTTGGCTTTACCAAAGTTGTGTAATGCTTATACTGAAAATTAAACTGACTTTGGGAGATTTTGCAAATGTTACAGAATCTTGACGAAAATGATTAGTGAGTGTTTCAATTTCTAACCCCCTCTTTCTGCATATATCTAATATCGCTTCATATGCACAAATTTAACATATTTGATTTGAAACACAAATTAAAAACGAAATTATCCATAAGCCCAATATACAGTATGAATAATACTTTAGTGAGGCTCATGGCTTAAAATTTCATGTCCCACAGTGTGATGAATTCTCTATCTTTCTAGGCCAGGGAAAGCCCAGAGTAAGCTCAGAAAAGTAGGTCCAGGAAGTTTCAGCAGCCATTTTAGGAGGGTGTCTGGGGTCATCCATCTTAGAAACTCATTTCCTAGAGGGGGCAGTGCTTAGGAGCAGCCTGGAGGGAAATGTGGGGAGTTTCTGATTGGTTGGGAGAGAGTCGACGGAGCTTGACTTGAGAAAAAGGAAAAAAAATGTCTTTAAGGGTGCGTTTTAAAACCTGACAGCTCAGTTGGAGATTGGATTGTGGTGTGAAGGAGAGACAGGGAGTGTGTGTTGGAGGAACAGTTAGAAAAGCCAGAAGTCTGTCAGTTAGTCAGCAGAGTTAGTTAATTAGAAGATTTATAGCTATTAGATAGTATAGCTGGTGGAGTGGAGAGACAGATCCAGAAGGAAAGGACTGTCTGTATGGAGTTTCAAGAATACTAGACAGAGGGAAAACCTGTTAGTTTCTTGAGGGAGTGGAGAAGAGTTATTGAAACTAAGTGCTGAACTGTTTATTAAAAGTAATAAACAGTTCAGTTTATTCAATATTGCAACCGCTAAGCTAGTGCCTGTATTGTTCAGGGTCTCTCAAATAAACATTGTTATTTGTTCATAACAACTGACTCAAGTGTGCCTCTGTGGGAGAAGCTTAAAGCAGTTTATAGAAATCAAGGTTAAATGGTGGCAGCGTGTATCTTTATTGTTACACTTTGCTTACAGTGGGAAGATGTGAGCAGAGTTTTGTTGTATAGGTGGAAAGAATTAAACTTGTGTACTTTGTATGAAGTCCTGCTTGCATTAATAATATGCATAGAATGTCCCCTAGTGAGTGGCTTGTGCCATTTCTTGTATGTGAGTAGAAATTACATAGTTTGTTTGTCTGCACTTTAAAAACTGGTCATACCACATTTCTGATCTTTGTCCTATTTTTATGTTTACCTTTTGCTGACATGTATATGTGAAAACATGCAATGTATGTAAGTTATATAGAGCAAATCAGTTGTAACTGGAGTAGGAAACCCGAAGGCCTCAATCTCTTGTTGGTTCCAGCTTCCATCAGCCCCAGGCAATATGGTCACAGGTTAAAAATAATGGGTGCTGTAGAACAGCTTCCTCTTCAAGGTTTCATGTTCCTCACATCTACTTTAAAATGTGTTGAAATACCTTGACTTGTAATTTTCCTTTTCCTTGCAGGAGACTCTGCAAAACCTGTATCGGACAAAATCTTTCTTGTTTTTGGGCTGTGGGGAGACCTTGCGTGATCAGATATTTCAAGCCCTCTTTCTATATACTGTCAAAAACAAAGTGGATCTCGAACATTACATGTTGGTGCTCAAAGAAAACGAGGACAATTTTTTTAAACTACAGGCAGACATGCTTTTACACGGCATAAAAGTCGTTTCTTATGGGGATTCCTTTGAAAGCTTCCCTGAGTATGTTCAAGGTCTCACAACTCAGATCTGCAAACAGAAGAGTCCAGGTACTGTGTACAGTATCAAAAAATATTGTGTCAGGGCAACTTTTACTGTCTTCCATTTATCCATAGTTCTTGGTTATGCATTTTTCAGGAATAAAAACCATTGCTTTATGTTCATGGAAATCTGTTTTGCGAGAAATTTATTATTGACAAGCCATCCCCCGCCATGCGTTGCTGTGGCCCAGTTTGTGTATATGTGTTTTGTGTGTGTGTATGTGTGTGTATATATTTGTGCATATGTGTATTTATGTGGTTATGCATAAATACACATGTGGTTATACCGAAGGCCCCAGTGTCGCAGTGTGTTAAACCGCTGAGCTGTTAAACTTGCTAACCTTATTTATTTTATTTTATTTATTTATTTAAAAGTTTTGTATACCGGCCTTCTCACCTCTCTTGAGGGACTCAGACCGGTTTCCAACCATAATATCACATACAATCAATAAAACATCATAATACATATTACAGTAAAACATTAAAACAGCAATCACACTCAATAACTATAATGGTCAGTTGTCACACTAAAATCGTTGCTCATCATCCTCCATCCATATCTCAGGGTGTTGGCTCACTTGTCGAATGCCTGTCTCCATAACCAGGTCTTCACCTGTTTCCTAAATGTCAGGATAGACGGGGCGGTTCTGATGTCCAGTGGGAGAGAGTTCCAGAGTTGAGGGGCCACCACCGAGAAGGCCCTGTCCCTCGTCCCTACCAGACGCGCTTGCGAGGCTGGTGGGACCGAGAGCAGGGCCTCTCCAGACGATCTTAATAATCTTGATGGTTCATAGGGGAGAATACGTTCGGAGAGGTAAACAGGGCCGGAGTTGTTTAGGGCTTTATAGGTTAACACCAACACTTTGAATTGTGCTCGGAAGCTAATTGGCAGCCAGTGGAGCTGGTGTAACAGTGGAGTTGCGTGCTCCCTGTACCCAGCACCCATTAGTAGTCTGGCTGCCGAGCGTTGGACTAGCTGCAGCTTCCGGGCAGTCTTCAGAGGCAACCCTACGTAGAAAGCGTTGCAGTAGTCTAAACGGGATGTAACCAAAGCGTGGACCACCGTGGCCAAGTCAGGCTTCCTGCTACATGGCAGCGATACCAACTTCCCCTGAGAAAATTCCCCGCAAGAGCTACATGCCTTGTAAGCTTACTTTCCAGATAACCCTTTTATCACCATGGATTGCATATTTATAGTTTTCTACTAATTGTTACAAGCTACGTATACAGGATTGCTGTGAATATAGTCTGTGTGGTTTCAATGTATTTCTTTCCATGCTCACATGTTCTTATTTTTCAATATTAATTTTGTGCATTTAAAATAGTTTCTTTTGTTACTATCAAATTTAGACAATCTAATTGGTCACTTATTTTTCATTATTTTCCCCAGATACAGATCGAGTGGACAGCACAACACCTTTGGGTTGAGTATATTTTAAATTTATACCTGTATTTTGTAATAAAAATATGTAGAATAGAAGTTACCACTTAAAATAAGAATTCTCTTGTGATTTAGTAATCTATAAAATTCTCCTTATTCAAAGGATATTCTAAAATCATGAATGTTTCCCAGACAAGGGGGGCAGGGAGATGCTCCATATCTTATGTGGATGTCAATTGATCGCAAAAGGGCTTTTGTGTCAATATTATATGAAAGCAGAACAGCTGAAGCAAAGTCCTGGAAGTTTAGTTTGATTATGTGTGCAATTTGTAACTTTGTCTTTCCAGGAGCATCTTGTTCGGACTGTGCAAAGCGAAAGCTAGGAGAAAGTGGCAGTGACCAAAATAAAAGAGCAAAGCAACTCAATAATGGTAATTCTTATCAACAGCTATTTTCACTTGTCTTGGGAACTTTCAATGTGTCTTTAATTGTACGTTATTCACAATGACATGCCCTCACCAAGCATCTTGCCAATGTGATGCTGAGGGGGGGGGGGGGGGGGGGGGGGGACAGAATAATGTGAAATAATTTGATTACTCTAAATGCCAAATAACAACAACAACAACAACACTTTATTTATATTCTGCCCTTCTCACCCCGAAGGGGACTCAGGGTGGATCACAGTACACATACATGGCAAACATTCAGACAGAACAGAAAGGAGGTGTGTTCTTTCGATGCTATGGAAGGTTGGGCTCAAGTCCAGCCACAGGGGGTGCTGTCGCTCCATCCTCTATGATAAAGAGCTGTCAAGACTTCCTCCTTCCTTTTGGTCGCCCAGCATTTTCTGGTCTTCTTTCTTTATGGCGTTGCAAAACACCTCTCCCGCTTTTAGCAGTACCTAATTTCTCTAATTATAGCTAAAGCTGTTTTCGAATTGCTTAGGTAAACAGTGAGCAGGGCTGACAGTCGGCTGCTCACGCTGACCTGGGGCTTCGAACTTGCAACCTTTTGGTTGATAGATCTTATAGTTGCTGGTGATTTACCAGCTCTGCTAAACCTCCGGCCCATTATTTTAAGTATGATTTAAAATAAGTGAAACAGGAACACACAGAAAGTGGGAAACAAAAACAAAAAAACCCTGACATGTACAGGTAGTCCCCAAGTTACAAACATCTGACTTACAAAAGAATCCTAGTTAAGAATGGGGCTGAGACAACAGTAAGTGAGAGCACCGGGATTGTGGTGCAGCTGGCTGAGTGTCAGCTGCATTAAGATCATTCTGACCAAAAGGTCATGAGTTCGAAGCCAGCCCTGGTTGGAGTGGGTTTCCAACCAATTGTGTGTAGTCTGTTGTCGACCTTTGCAACCCAAAAGACAGTTGCATCTGTCAAGTAGGAAAATTAGGTACCACCTTAAAGTATGGGGAGGCTAAATTAACTGATTTATGAGGCCAAAAAGAAGACTCCAGCAAAGCATTTCAGCGGGGAAGCATGCGGGGAATGCGGAAGTGCTTCATCAGCGTCGCAGATGGACAATGAAAGCGACAGCTCCCCTGGCGACCAGAAAAAGTTAAATAGCCTCTGTGTATGTCTGTATATGTTTGTATGTCAAAAATTGGCATTGAATGTTTGCCATATATGTGTACACTGTAATCCGCCCTGAGTCCCCTGCGGGGTGAAAAAGGCGGAATATAAAAGCTGTAAATAAATAAATAATAAAAATGAGATAAATCTACATCTAGGAAGGGAAATTTATTTCTAGGAGAGTTATCAGTCCTGTGTGCCACGTTTGGTTCAGTTCCATCATTGGTGGAGTTCAGAATTCTCTTTGTTTGTAGGTGAACTATAAATTCCAGCAACTAACACTCCCAAATGACAAAATCAATTTTTTGAGTGATGGTCACTCCTTGGGTTAGTAGGTGTCTTGTGGCCAAATTTGGCAGCAATTCGTCCAGTGGTTTTTGAGTTATGTTAATCCCACAAATGAACATTACATTTTTATTTATATAAGATAGACTCAGAGGTTTCTTGTTACGTTTGCGTAACACACCACACACCCACGAACATGTCACAACTCAGTTTGGAAAGCTCTGCTGTAGAGTTGAAGAAACTTTGTTGTATTACAGTGGGATTTTCATTTTTCAAAATATCTTATGGCACTCTGAGGTCAAACAGAGGGGAAAATGTAAAGCACAGGTTCCAAATGATCTTGTAATGGTCTTGGAAGGGTTTATTTCACTCCATAAGCATAGAAGCCTATAATTAAGTTACGGATAGACAGAAAACCATTTTTCTCTACAAGATCAGGTTTGTGGCTGAACTGTGACACATCTGTGTGAACCAGGCCCATTCCCTGGGATAGTCTTGAACGTGTTGCTAGCCTTTTTCTAGCTGTCAGGACTATTCATCTGCACTATAGTTTGCTATTGTGAGTCAGTGGGTGGTGGGTGTTGTGTCTTGCAATGTGAATGTGTCAAACAAAAAAAATCCCAGAAAGTGGTTTCTGCTCAAGCTTGCAAAATTGGCTTCCAGAGAAACAATTGCTTTCAAATATTCATTGTTTGCACTTATTGCAACTCTGATTTTCACTGACTTGCCGCTATGCATCAGTTACTATTTCTAAAAAGTGGTTTTGTTTTTAAAACAGATACTGCTGAAGAATCTGGTCCTTGTGAATATGTGAGGATATGACTTCAAAACAACTATATGTTGCGATTGTGCCATCTATTTAAAACATGAAGAATCATGTGGAGGGTAGAGGAAGGCCCTAACTACTAAAGTTTAAGTATGTGATGAAGCGTCTATCCTTGTGAAAATGGGCTAACTATGTGTAACACTCCTATGTGGTCAGGATATGTTAACTGCAGAAGTGACTTTGAACCAAGGCTGGCTTGGTATAACCTAGCTATCTCAGGGATAAAGTATTGCAAGAGGTTTGGAAATATCATTTTACTTTGAATTTCCTTGACGCCTCATCTTTCCACCTGGTGTCAGTTAGACAGAGGACTATATCTTCTTCTAACAGAACGGGTGTTTAATATCTTCCATTAGAGTAACTGCATGAGAAGAATGGGATGGAATCCAAAGATTTTCTTCCAAGGGCAAAAAAAAAATTCGAGAACTGCTAAAGAATTTACTTCATATGCTGCTATATGGAACTGATTTGACAATCTTCCTTCTTGTGAATGCGTGATGAATTTTTTCAAAGAATTTAACTGATTTATTGATTATTCTAAAGCCTTTGACTGTGTGGATCATAATAAATTGTGGCAAGTTCTTGGTGGTATGGGCATACCAAATCACCTTATGTCTCTCCTGAGGAACAGTAAGGACTTACTGAGCAACAGTAAGGACTGACCATGGAACAACAGACTGGTTCAAGATTGAGAAAGGCGTACGGCAAGGTTGTTACTCTCACCCAATCTATTGAACTTGTATGCAGAACACACCATGAGATGTGTGGGGCTTGAGGAATGCAAGGCTGGGGTGAAAATTGCTGGAAGAAACATTTACAACCTTAGATATGCAGATGACACCACTTTGATGGCCGAAAGCGAGGAGGAGCTGAGGAGCCTTCTAATCAAGGTGAAAGAAGAAAGCCCAAAAGCTGGGTTGCAGTTAAACATAAAAAAAACAAGATTATGGCAACAAGAATGATTGACAACTGGGAAATAGAGGGAGAAAACGTGGAGGCAGTGACAGACTTTGTATTTCTAGGTGCAAAGATTAGTGCAGACTGCAGACAGGAAATCGGGAGATGCTTACTTCTTAGGAGGAGAGCAATGACCAATCTTGTTAAAATAGTGAAGTGTAGAGACATCACACTGGCAACGAAGATCCGCATAGTTAAACAATGGTATTTCCCATAGTCACTTATGGATGTGAGAGCTGGACCATTAGGAAGACTGAGTGAAGGAAGATAGATGCTTTTGAACTGTGGTGTTGGAGGAAGGTTCTGAGAGTGCCTTGGACAGCGAGAAGATCCAACCAGTCCATATTTCAAGAATAAAGCCTGACTGCTCATTGGAGGGAAGAATAGTAGAGGCCAAGATGAAATACTTTGGCCACATCATGAGAAGAAAGGAAAGCTTAAAGAAGAGTATGATGCTGGGGAAAATGGAAGGAAAAAGGAAGAGGGGCCGACCAAGGGCAAGATGGATGGATGGCATCCTGGAAGTGACTGGATTGACCTTGAAGGACCTGGAAGTGGTGACGACTGACAGGGAGCTCTGGCGTGGACGGGTCCATGAAGTCACGAAGAGTCGGAAACGACTGAACGAATGAACAACAATAACAACAAACTGTTTATAATGTGGAGGTTAAATGGGATTTTTTTTTGTGTCAGGAGCGACTTGAGAAACTGTAAGTCGCTTCTGGTGTGAGAGAATTGGCCGTCTGCAAGGACGTTGCCCAGGGGACGCCTGGATGATTTGATGTTTTTATCATCCTTGTGGGAGGCTTCTTTCATGTCCTCGCTTGGGGAGCTGGAGCTGACAGAAGGAGCTCATCCACCTCTCCCCGGATTCAAACTTGTGACCTGTCGGTCTTCAGTCCTGCCGGCACTGTGCCATGGGAAATGATAGATTTAAATGCGGATGGACCATTATTCCACTTTCTGTAATGGCAAAAGCACCTCTATGTTTGAAATGGAGAGTTCCGTAAATGTAAAGTGGCATATATTTAAATGCCTATTAATGAGCATTTAATAGTACTAGGATAGTAACGTTAAAATAAATTGGTAATATTGACAAATAGAAGAGAAAATTTAAAATTTGGATATTCCCCTTTAAGAGGCACACATGCTTTGGTCATCGGTGGACCTCAAGTGTTTGAAGTATGAAACTCATTTATTCTAACAGTAGATTGATAGTTTTTTTAATTGCCATTTGTTGAAAAGAGGTTGCCTTTTAATATTTATTTCTGATAAATGAATTGTTAAAAGTGTTAGGGTTAAAAGTGTTGGATTATACATTGTACAAAGGAATCCAAAGCCAAAAGACGTATTTTGGTGGTAGTAGCAATGACAATGAGGTTTGTAATTTGCTACCGAACAGAAGGCCAACCAACCAATGTACTTTTCTCTGCACGGCTCTTCCTTCCTTAAAGCCTGGCAAATTAAGCATAGAATGAACAGTAAGTAGCCAGTGATGATGTAGAACTAATTCTGAGATCTTGAAAGTTCAAGCCGATCTCAAAGCAAACTGGAAATATCGCCCATCACTCTCAGTGCTACTTCATACATATCTGTTTGTCAGGTGAACCACCATGGAGCTGTTTCTGTAGATATTTTGGATTCTGGATTTTCATGTTTACAATTCTAAATATTACTAAGATAAAACTTAAAGATAATATCTGTGAACCAAATGCTTTTTTCCTTTATGTTGTTTCAAGAAAAAAAAGAAAAAATAACTTATCAAATCACTTCTAGCTCTTAAACAAGCACTTGTGAAATGCTAATGCTTATTTTCTTTCTTATACTAATGCCATATGGTTTATATATTTTGTAAGGTTTTTAAATAGAACAAATAAAATATTGAATGCAATTCATTTTTTTCCTATTTTAATAAATATATTTCAAATTAAACAGAAAATGTTTTCAGTGTTTTTGCTGGCTTGCGTGAAGAATCATAGGATTGGAGGAGAGCACAATAACCATCCTGTCTCCCCCCCCCCCTCCGCTATGCAAGAACGCACAACCAAAGCATCCCTGACAGATGGCCATCCAGCCTCTGCTTAAAAACCACTGGAAAAGGAGCCTCTACCACACTCAGAGGCAACATATTCCACTGCCAAATAGCTCTTGCCATCAGGAAATTCTTCCTAATGTCTAGGTAAAATTTCTTTTCCTGTGATTTAACTCCATTGCTCCGTGTCCTAGTTTCCAGGGTAGCAGAAAACAATATTTTCCCCTCCTCAATTTGGCATTATTTCAAATATTTTTAAATGGCTATTAGGGGTGTGTGTGGTAGCCGATTCTCCAGTTTCATCCATTCTTTAGTACCTTTTGGGAGCATGAAATGAGAACCCCTCCCTGGAACGAAAATAAGCTCGACATGAAAGCAAGCAGGAGCAGGCACAGTTTCTTTGTCTGCTTTTTGGACCTCACATGACCTGCGGAAAACTGACATGTGCGATTTTCCTCTGAGCCCTGCCAGGGCCAGTTGAGAAGAACGCCATCTGCCTCGCCTGCCTCACCTCACTCACCACCACTCATACCCCCTGCAAACCGAGGGGAAAGCATCACGAGAGGAGTGGTGTCTTACACTCTGTCTTTAAACCCAGTTCTCTTCTGCAGACAGGGGAAAGCATCACAGAAATAGTGGTATCTTAAGCCCTATCTTTAAACCAGGTCTCCTCTGGAGATAGAGGGGAAAGCATCACAGGAGGAGTGGTATCTTAAGTAACTCTGATGCTTTTAATCCAGGTCATAATGAAGGATATAAGGACAAATCATGCCATTGCCAAAAATTATGGGAAGGGGATGGGAATTCCTCCCCCTCCCATTGCTGCCAGTGAAAGAAGAAGTGAAATAGTAGAACTGGACAATGGGTTGTGTGTGTGGTGTGTGGAGCATCTTTAACATTTACTATATTTGTACACCACCCCTCTCGGCCTTCAGGCGACTCAAGGCGGTTTACAGGGTAAAATTCAATGCTACAAAAGCATAAATACAATTAAAAACATTAGTATATAATAAAATCATAACAGCAATAAAACATAAATCATTAATAAACACTGTCCAGTCCCATCGTTAAGTTGTTCCGTTTTCTTATGTCAATTACTCTGTATTTGCAAATGCTTGCTCAAAAAGCCACATCTGCACTTTTTTTCCGAAATGTTAAACAGGAAGAAGCCAATCTGATATCCCTAGGGAGGGCGTTCCACAACTGAGGGGCCACCACTGAAAAAGCCCTGTCTCTCGTCCCCACCAGGCGTACTTGTAACAGGCGAGACCGAGAGCAGGGCCTCCCCAGATGATCTTATGGTCCTAGATGGTTCATAAGGGGAGATGCGTTCGGACAGATAAGTTGGGCCAGAACCGTTTAAGCCTTTATAGGCCAAAGCCAGCACTTTGAATTGTGCCTGGTAGCAAACCAGCAACCAGTGGAGCTGGTGCAGCAGGGGGGTTGTATGTTCCCTGAGAGCCACTCCTTTTAGCAACCTGGCTGCCTTCCATTGGACCATCCGGACAGTCCTCAAAGGCAACTCCACGTAGAGTGCATTGCAGTAGTCTATACAGGATGCCATATATTTCTAGCTGCTGCATCACTGTTGAGTCATATTCAGCTTATGGTCTACTAAGACTCCTTGATCTCTTTCACATGTACTGTTTTCAAGCCAGGTGTCAGCCACCCTCGATCTGTGCATTTCATTTTTATTGCCAACTAGCTTGGGGACCCGGCGTTGCCCGGGTTATTAGAGAAAGTGGGTAATGGTGGTTCTGTATGGCAAGTTTGGTCTTTATTGGTCTTTTCAGGAAGTGAGTGAAGGTACTTGAAGTCCCATCATCCATGGGCCATCCTCCTACAAACAGCAGCAGAATATAGAGTGGGTCATGGGGGCTCTGTGTGCCAAGTTTGGTCTTTATCAGTCATTAGATGAGGGTGGCAGTGGTGTCAGTAAGTGAGTGAAGGTACTGCAAGTCCCATCATCCAAAGTCCATCCCCTTTCAAACTAGCAGCAGGATGTAGAGTGGATCATGGGGGCTCTGTGTGCCAAGTTTGGTCTTGATCGGTCATTAGAAGAGGGTTGCAGCAAATTTTTGGAAGGGAGTGGAGGTACTTGAAGTCCCATCATCCATGGTCTGTCCTCCTCCAAACTGCACCAGGATGTAGAGTGGGTCATTGGAGCTCCATGTGCCAAGTTTAGTCTTGATTAGTCATTGGCGAGGGTCTCAGTGGTCTCAGGAAGTGAGCAAAGGTACTGCAAGTCCCATCATCCATCTCCAAATTTTTCCAAACAACACCAGGACGTAAAGTGGGTCATGAGAGGTCTATGTGCCAAGTTTGGTCTTGATCCATCATTGGATGAGGTTTGCAGAGGTCTCAGAATGTGAGTGAAGGTACTGGAAGTTCCATCATCCATGGTCCACCCTTCTCCAAAACTGCAGCAGGATGTAGAGTGGGTCATGGGGGTGCTTTGTGCCAACTTTGGTCTTGATTGGTCATTAGATGAGTTTTGCAGCAGTCTTGGGTAGTGGAGGTACTTGAAGACCCATCATCCATGGTCTGTCGTCCTCCAAACTGCTCCAGGATGTAGAGTGGGTCATTGAAGCTCCATGTGCCAAGTTTAGTCTTGATGAGTCATTGGCGAGGGTCTCCGTGGTCTCAGGAAGTGAGTGAAGTGACTGCAAGTCCCATCATCCATTGTTAAATTCTTCCAAACCGCACCAGGATGTAGAGTGGGTCATGCTGGGTCTCTGTGTAAATTGTGGTCCTGATCCATCATCGTTGGCAGTTGTAATGGTCTTCGGAAGGGAGTGCAGGTATTGCAAGTCCCATCGTCCATGGTGCATCCTCCTTCAAACTGCACCTGGATGTAGAGTGCGTCATGGAGACTCAGTGTGCCAAGTTTGGTATTTAATGGTAATTGGATGAGGGTTGCAGTGGTCTGAAGCAATGGTACTGCAAGTCCCATAATCCACGGTCCATCCCCGGCCAAACCACACCAGGACGTAAAGTGGGTCATGAGAGGTCTATGTGCGAAGTTTGGTCCTGATCAGTCATTGGATAAGGTTAACAGCGGTCTCAGAATGTGAGTGGTGGTACTGCAAGTCCCATCATCCATGGTTCATACTCCTCCAAACTGCAGTAGGATGTAGTGGGTGATAGGGGCTCTGTGTGCCTATTTCGGTCTGTATTGGGAGTGTTCTGACCCAGGCCCCGGCCTTTCCTTTCCTCTCTTTCTCATCTCGGAATCTTGGATTTGAGGCTGGCCAATCAGAGACCATATGCAAATTTCCTTCTGTCATGCCCCGTTTCTGCCATGAACCCTCTTCTCCACCAGGGGCTCCTATTGAAGCTGCCCAATCAGAGACGATATGCAAATAGCACCACAGCGGCAGCCAATCAGAACGCTGCCACATACACCGCCCTTCCTCTGTCCGATACAAACACTCTTCTTTATTATATATATAGATATAGATGTGTAGTATCGTACATTTCTCCCTGTTGACATTCATTTTGTTAGTTTTGGCCCAGCTTTCTAATCTGTTGAGGTCATTTTGGATTCTGATCCTGTCCTCTTGGGTATTAGCTATCCCTCCGAATTTGGTGTCATCTGCAAATTTGATAAGCATGCCTTCTATTCTGTCGTCCAAGTAATTGATAAAGATGTTGAACAGCTCTGGACCCAGGACTGAAACTTGTGGCACCCGACTGGTCACTTCTCTCCAGGATGAGGAGCCACTGGGAGGCACCCAAGGTGTTTGGCCAGTGAACCACTTCCCAATCCATCTAACAGTAACATTGTCTAACAAACATATTATTACCGTATATTCCGGCATATAAGACGACACCCAACTTTTCCAGTTAAAATATAGAGTTTGGGATATACTTGCCGTATAAGACTATCCCTCTTCCAACACACACCAAATAAAAATTTTAAAAGCATCAGATTTGATTTCAATATGGTAATTTTCCTATTACTGTACCTCCTTCTCTGCCTCTCAGATCTCGCACATGCACACCTGCACCACTTCACTGCAGTCTTCAGGAGCGAGATCTGAGAGGCAGAGGAGGAGGTACGGTAATAGGATACAAGGACGGGCTTGACAGGTAAAAGAGGTGTGTTTTTCTGGGCCCAGAGCCACACTATCTCTTTTTTCCATACCCTGGGCGCCCCGGACGCCTGCAGCTTGCTCCGCCCTTTACTTACACCTTACTGGTGAGGCACCCCTTCACTTCACCATCAAGACCGCATTAAGTCCACAAATCCTAATGAATGGATTTTCTTCTACCATACTTGTACAGCATCGCCCTTAATGCTTTCATACAGTCACTGCATACGGCAGGGACGCAGCCACTGCCATTTTTGAGCTCCCCCCACAATATGCAGCAACCACAGATTCTCCAATCAGGATTGGAAGTTTCAGCACCCACTCTATAAGATGATTCCCGGCGTATAAGACTACACCCGCATATAAGATGACCCCCATGCATAGGGCTACTCCACGTATAAGATGACTCCTGCGTATAAGACGACCCCTGACTTTTGAGAAAATTTTCTTGGGTTAAAAAGTAGCCTTATACGCCGGAATATACGGTAGCTTGTTCGTGAGAATGTCATGGAACCCTTGTCAAAGGCCACAGCATTCCCTTCATCTACCAAGCTTGGAACTCTATCAAGATAAGGTTAGTTTCACATTGCTTGTTTCTGAGAAACCCATGTTGACTTTTAGTGAGCAAGGCATTCCTTTCTCTTTAATGATCTGCTCTAGAATCTTTCCTGGTATTGATGTCAAGTTCACTAGGGAGGAGAACTAACAAACATTTTCAAAGAGTGTTTACACACAATGTCTGGTTACTATCATTAGTATCATTTAGAAAAGATTAGCTGTTAGGATTGTCCTGCCTCACACAGCTATTTCTGGAGTGTACTGCTCAAACCTAGAAGTAGTGGTTGAAGGTTGTAGTACACTGTATATAACTCTTCCTTTACATAGAGAGGATTCAAGGAACATAGGAAAAACTATAAGTAACTGAAATTGAACAAAATTTATTGAACCAATTCAAAACACAGAATATGCATTTAGGACAATGTTTAAACTAAATGAACAGTCTTATGCTTCTTTGCTAATTATACTGTTTTTGTTAACACAGGGCAGTGTCCCAGTACTTAAGGATCAAAGTTAACATACAGTTAAAAAGCCCCCAAATGACAGAATTTGCACCAATACAACCAGGATGAAAACTGATCTCTTTGTGGAATAGTGTTCCTATAACATGGCAGAGTGACATGGAAATGTGCTTTAATATGTGTGCTTCACCCTTTTTATCATGCTTATTCCCCTTTATAGCGACCCCCTATCCCATAAATGGCTTTGCTTTTGATTTCTGTGTATAGTTGTTTTGCCAATATATATTTCTCTCTTAATAGTAGTAAGTGAAGGGAATGGTAGTAAGTGAAGGGAATTTCTTCAACCCTGATTCTCCACCATCGGCAGATGTTCATTTTCCTTTCTTGCAAGAAAACCATCATGGAGGACTACAAGCCAATGAGTTTAGCTATTAACTTTCAAACAACATAACGCTGAACAACAAGTTCTTACACTAAATCATTCACAACATCGCTATAAACAGTAACCCATTAGCAATTACAAACCTGTGAAGGCAACATTTCTCAACTACCACAAATACGCTCAGCGCCTTATTTCTGCAAAGAGCTCTTTCTGCGTTTCTGTCGTGTTTCATTCTCAGGATCTGGATACTGAGTAAGATCCAGGGTCAGAACTTGGCTAAACATAACATCATCTTGCTGAAAAGAGGGGGAAAAAATCACTAATTAGAATTTCTTACCATAATATACAGGTATAGCTTTTTATGTGTTTCTCTTTATTTCTACTGTCCAAATCCTCAATGTCATTAGAAAATTAGTTTCTAATTTATAACCAGATTCAAATTCAATTTTGTCTGATATAATGAGTTGGAACCTAGGAAAGTAGGGTTTGTATATCTATGGAATGTCCAGGGTGGGAGAAAGAACTCTTGTCTGTTTGAGGCAAATGTGAAGGTTGCAATTGCCCACCTTGATTAGCATAGAATGGCCTTGTAGCTTCAAAGTCTGGCTGTTTCCTGCTAGGCTAGCTAACATCTCTCCACATAGGATTCCCCGAGTCAGGGAGCAGCCAGACTTTGAAGCTGCAAGGCCATTCAATGCTAATCAAGGTGGCCGATTGCAACATTCGTATTTCCCTCAAACTGTTCTTTCTCCCACTCTGGACATTCTATAGATATATCAACCCCGCTTGCCTAGATTCCAACAAACCTCGTGACCTCTGAGGATGCCTGCCATAGATGTGGGTGAAATGTCAGGAGAGAATGCTTCTGGAACATGGCCATACAGACCGGAAAACTCACAACAATCCAGTGATCCAGCCATGAAAGCCTTAAACAACACATCTTTTGGAGAGTTTGTTTAAAAAACACCATCTTTTAAAATCTTTTATTAAGAAAGAAGATTTTACCTGATAGTAGAGGAAGAACATTAGCCAAACTGTGATGAGAAGATTATTATAGTCTTATATAGATTGTCTTTGGTTCAGCGAGTGGGAAGTCAATTTTAATTTGTTTTTTAATGTGAGTGTGGAAGATACATCAGTATTGTTCGGTATAGTTTCCTTTGTTAGTAGTTTGCTCAGTTTTGTTTACACTGTATTATTATAATAAGTTATGTTAAGTTATATATACCTGAGGACAGACTCCAATTAGAGCATCTGCTTTAGAATAAAACTCTTCCTTTAGAGAGATAACTATGATCTGGAACTGTTCTTGGGACTGCTGCCTAATGAAGCTTGAGACCTGGGAAGGGAGAAAAGATGGCATAATAGGGATTATTAGATTAAGTATACATCAAATTAAAACACATTGCACAAATGTGAGGTTGTTAATTTTCATAGGTACTCAAAGTTAAATTCTCTAATGTACCAAAAGCCCTCTCAGTGGCTTCACCTAGACTTTGGAATGCTTTCCTTTTTTATTTTTTTTTATATACGCGAATATAAGCCAAGTTTTTCAGCCCTTTTTTTAGGCTGAAAAAGTCTCTCTCGGCTTATACTTGAATCAAGGTTATTTATTATTTCACTCTGTTATTATTATTATTATTATTATTATTATTATTATTATTATTATTACCGTATATTTCGGCATATAAGACGACTGGGCGTATAAGACGACCCCCAACTTTTCCAATTAAAATATAGAGTTTGGGATATACTCGCCGTATAAGACCACCCCTCTTCCATCGCACACCAAATAAAAATAAAAAATAAAAACATCAGATTTGATTTCAAATCCAAGACTATCAAAGCAGTATCCAGCTCTTCGGCTTAGAAATGGAGATGAGCGCCAACCCCCAGAGCCGGACACGACTGGACTTAACGTCAGGAGAAAACCTTTACCTCACCTGTAAACTCCTGTATGTTTGTTATTTATTTAACAGTTGTGGGTCCATGGAGCATAATAAAGTTCTATAAATTTCTATCTTACCTTGCCTAGGATGAGACCAGAGCTGGGTCCAATGTCCTTTCCCCAACAACAATAATGGAAACCTAGAATTGGAAGGGACTCCAATGGCCATCCAGTCTAACCCTAATTCTGCCAGACAGAAACACATGTCCAAGCCCTCCCGACAGGTGGCCATCCTGTTCTACTTAATAACAGAAATAATAATAACAATAATAATAGAACCTTAGTGTTGGAAGGGACCTCAATGACCATTCAGTCCAACCCCATTCCTGCCAGGCAGGAAGACACAATGCAAGCCCCCCCCCCCCAACAGGTGGCCATCCAGTTCTAGTTATCATATATACTCGAATATAAGCTGACCCGAATATAAGCCGAGGCACCTAATTTTACCACCAAAAACTGGGGAAACGTATTGACTCGAGTATAATTCAGGGGAGGGAAATGCAGCAGATACTGGTAAGCTGAGGGGACAGAAGTTGCCTTAAAGCCACCCAACACTTGAGAAGATTTTGCACTGCAGCCAGGTATTTCCAAGGTCATGCCCAAAGGGCTTGATGAATATAGCCTTTTTTAAATGGATCTAAATCAGGCATGGGCAAACTGTAGCCCTCCAGGTGCTTTGGACTTCAACTCCCACAATTCCTAACAGTCAGTATTTGAGAACACAGAAATGCTGGACCACTCTCACAACCACCATGTCAGACTCCACAGAAAAGCCATTGAAATCCACAAGCATGTGGACAATTTCAACAGAAAGGAAGAAACCATGAAAATGAACAAAATCTGGCTACCAGTATTTTTTAAAACCCCTCTAAAATCAGGACAGTAAATAAAAAACAAAACTAAAAAAGCAGGGGAAATTCAGACAATACAAAATCAGGACCAGCTAACACCTCCCAACAAAGAATTCCCCCAGGCAGGAAGCAGCCAGGCTTTGAAGCTGCAAGGCCATTCAATGCTAATCAACAACATTCCCACTTGGCAACATTCCCACTTGCCTCAAGCAGACAAGAGTTCTTTCTCCCACCCTGGACTTTCCACAGATATATTGCCAAGTTTCCAACAGACCTCACAACCTCCGAGGATGCCTGTCATAGATCTGGGCAAAACATCAGGAGAGGAAACTTCTGGAACATGGCTATACAGTCTGGAAAACTCACAGCAACCCAGCCAGTAGGCTGTTAGGAATTGTGGGAGTTGAAATCCAGAACACCTGGAGGGCCAAAGCCTGATCTAAATGCAACTTTTGGAATGTGTCCAGAGGAGGGCGACTAAAATGATCAAGGGTCTGAAGAACAAGTCCTATGAGGAGCGGCTTAAGGAGTTGGGCATGAAGAAGAGAAGGCTGAGAGGAGAGATGATAGCCATGTATAAATATGTGAGAGGAAGCCATAGGGAGGAGGGAGCAAGCTTGTTTTCTGCTTCCCTGGAGACTAGGACGCGGAAAATGGCTTCAAACTACAAGAGAGGAGATTCCATCTGAACATGAGGAAGAACTTCCTGACTGTGAGAGCCGTTCAGCAGTGGAACTCTCTGCCCCGGAGTGTGGTGGAGGCTCCTTCTTTGGAAGCTTTTAAACAGAGGCTGGATGGCCATCTGTCAGGGGTGATTTGAATGCAATGTTCCTGCTTCTTGGCAGAATGGGGTTGGACTGGATGGCCCAGGAGGTCTCTTCCAACTCTTTGATTCTATGAATTTATGTGTTCATGATTTTCCCACTTAATACACACATTGTTGGCATGGCTGGAAATGAGTTAATTTCTCCTGCTATTAAAGAAAACATGTTCTGGATATGTCTCAAAAGCTAAACTATCTTGGAACATTTCTGTTATTTTTCCAGATGTATATCTGGTGATGTGAGTTTGTGCTCAACAGAACTGAACCTTTTGTGTTTTTCTACAGTACTATTGATGTACCCTGAAGAAATGTAGGATGCTTCTCTACTAGGCATGGGCAAACTTTGCCTATGCCTGGTGTTAGGAATTGTGAGAGTTGAAATTAAAAACAATCTGATAGAAAACTGGGACTTGTAGTTTGATATGGTACTGCCTCTCTTAAACAGGGAAGGCTAAGGACCTTGTAAAACTACAACTGCTGTGACTCCATGGCACTGAACCTGTGGCAGTTTTTTTTGGAGGGCATTCCCCTTTAAGACTAGCTCGCCCCTCTCACTGGCGATTCCCCTTTAAGACAAGCTCGCCCTTGCAGAGGCTACCTAGCTCTTGGCTGCAGAAATGAAACAAAACGGGGGAAGGAGACCTTTTTCTTCCTCCCTTTGCAGGCTCTTTAAAACTTTTAAAACAAGAGCTGCTGAAAGGAAGGGGGAGCCCAGCAAAGATAAAGGAAAGAAACCTCAAAGAGGGGAGATGGATCAGGAGAAAGAAGAAATTTCTCCAGCAGGTCTTTCTCCGAGGTGCCTTTGTTTTGACTCTCCTTGAGTAGCCTACCTGCACTGTTTGAGGAAGGAGAGGAGAGGGAGAAAGAGGCCTGAGCTGGCCGGGAATGGGAGGCTTGAGGGCAGCCTCTTCTGCCCCTTTTCCCTTCAGGAGGAGGACGGGGAGGAGGAGGAGCGGCTGTGCTGCCGGGGGTGATGGCCAGCTGGGCTTGTGCAAGGGCAAGAGCAGCAGGCTGTGCTGCTTGGGGATGGCGAGGGGGGAGGAGGAGGATCGGCAGGTCTGCCGGGAGTGCTGGCCAGCTGAGCTGCGATACCAGCAGGCTCCCTTTGGCCTCTCATGGCTGCTCGCATCCCTCGCTCTCGGCATCCTCAAGTGGTGGAACTTATAGCCGGCACACAAGACGACCCCCCCACTTTTAAGATGACTTTCTTGGCTTAGAAAGTCGTCTAGTATGCCGGTTTTTACGGTACATTTATTATTTTACTGTATTTCTTATTATTTTTACATTCATCATTTTACTCTATTATTATTACATTTATTATTTTACTTTATTATTGTTGTTATTACATTTATTATTTTACTCTGGCCATCTGTTGGGGGTGCTTTGGATGTGATTTTTCTGCTTCTTGGCAGGGGGTTGGACTGGATGGCCACGAGGTCTCTTCCAACTCTAAGATTCTATGATTGTTATTATTACATGTATTATTTTACTCTGTTTATTATTGTTATAATTACATTTATTATTTTACTCTGTTTATTGTTGTTATAATGACATTTATTATTCTACTCTATTATTACAAAGGATATACAAACACATTTACATTGAAGAAGGTTAGAATAATGGTTTAATCAGAGTTGGACAGTCTTATCTTAAATTAAAGTTTTATGTAAATATTCAAAAACATTTAACCTACTGATGCACCAATTAATGTAATTTTATTGGTATCTATTTTTATTTTGAAATTTACCAGTAGCTGCGACATTTCCCATCCTCGGCTTATACTCGAGTCAATCCATTTTTCCAGATTTTAGTGGTAAAATTAGGTGCCTTGGCTTATATTCAGGCCGGCTTATACTCGGGTATATACGGTACTTTGTGTTCTTAAAACACAAAGTTTCTAAAGCGTGGGTTAGTGGGTGCTGAACTATTGTCAACTGTTTTAACTAATCCTGTAATCTGGGGTATAAGATATCTTTCCAATCTGGTGTAGCCTGGAAATTTGATAAGCATTCCTTCTAGTCCATCGTCCAAATCATTGATAAAGATATTGAATAGCACTAATAATAATAATAATAATAATAATAATAATAATACTTTATTTATACCCCGCCACCATCTCCCCAAGGGACTCGGGGCGGCTTACACAAGGCCACGCCCATCAATACAATATACACAATATAATACAAAAACACTAGGTTCAGGACAGGATCCTGTGGTAACCTCTCCAGGATGAGGAGGATCCATTGGGAGCCACTCTTTGGGGTCAGCGAGTTAACAAATAGCCAGTCAACCCAACAGTAGACCTTCAATATCTTTGTCTAACACACATTTTATTAGCTTCATCATTAGAATGCCATGAGGAATTTTGCCAAAGACCTTATGAAATCGAAATATGCGACAGCATTCCCTTCATCTACCAAATCTGTATCTCTATCAAAAAAATAGATCTGTATAAATAAAAATGTAATGTATGTTTGTGGGATTAACATAACTCAAAAACTGCTGGACGAATTGCCGTCAAATTTGGCCAAAAGACACCTACTAACCCAAGGAGTGACCATCACTCAAAAAAAATGATTGTGTCATTTGGGAGTTGTAGTTGCTGCGATTTATAGTTCACCTACAATCAAAGAGCACTCTGAACTCCACCAATGATGGAGTTGAACCAAATGTGGCATGCAGGACTCCCATGACCAACAGAAAACACTAGAAGGGTTTGGTGAGTATTGATCTTGAGTTTGGGAGTTGCAGTTCACCTATATCCAGAGAGTGCTGTGAATGGATCTGGATCGAACTTGGCATGCCCAAATACGAACACAGATTGAGTTTGGGGGAAATAAACCTTGACATTTGGGAGTTGTAGTTACTGGGATGTATAGTTCACCTACAATCAAAAGGCATTCTGAATCCCACCAGCAATAGAATTGGGCTAAACTTCCCACACAGAACATCCATGACAAACAGAAAATACTTAAGGCCATCCAGTCCAACTGCCTTCACCAGGGCAATGAAAACATAATCAAAGCCCTCCTCACAAAGAGCCATCCAGCCATAGATATAGATAGATATATATGATTCACACACACAGATATAGCATCATAGATTTGAAAGGGACCCCTAAAGAAGGACAATTAAATGTTGCATGTTCCAGAGTAGGCAAACCAGACAATCTCTACATCTACACTGACAAAGAAGCAACAAGAAATACTGTTTACCCACAAGCATCAAGAAATTACATCAATTAGAAACAAACGCTTTCTAATTACTTTATTTTCCAGATCACCGGACTGGGCTACAGCAATGTGTGGCAGGGGACGGCTAGTGTTTTATATAATATGACTTGGTTTTGAGAAACCTGTGTTGACTATTTGTGACTCTAACATTGCTTGTTTGTTTAACAATGTGCTCTAGAATCTTTTTTGGTATTGATTGGAGGCAACTATTTGGGTCCCCCCCCCCCTTCCTTTTTTTATTTTTGGAAGATGAGGATATTTGCCTTCTTCCAGTCTGTTGGGGCTTCTGTTTGCCAGGAATTCTCAAAGATGATTGCCACTGGTTCTGAAATTACTTCTGCCAGTTCTTTAAATACCCTTGAATGTAGTTCATTTGGCCCTGGAGACTTGAATTCATTTAGATTCGCTTGATGTTCCTGTACTGCCCATTTAATAACAATAATAAACTTAATTTATACCCTGCCACCATCTCCCCAAAGGGGACTCAGGCAGCTTACATGAGGCCAAGCCCAGTAGTGCATTACACCAAGATAAAACCAAAACACAAAACAAACATCGTAATAAAGTAAATAAAACATAAGAATACAATAAAACAATGCAAAAATACAATCACAATCACATTTACCTATTATGTGCTGCATTTCCCCAACCTTCTGTTCCACAACATACAGTGCAGAAAAGAATCAGAACTGGAAACATTTTATTACTTTAACTCATAAGTTATTTTTTATATAAACAAGATTACACCTGTAGCTATTTTACAACTATTTGATTTTCCGTTTAATTGTACATCACTTTGGATTTTAATCAGTAAAGCAAGATGCAAATAGGAACACAGAAAAGTACTTACTTTGCCAATGTTTGTGTTATCCAGTGCTGCATCAACTTCATCCAGAATGAAAAAGGGAGCCGGTCTAAAACTTGAGGCAGGAAAGATAAATGCAAGTAAACAGATTTATTAAAAGTAAAGGTAGTATCGTTAATTGCGCGTTTATCTATAAGGTCATGTTTTAGTATCTTCTGTATATTTCTAAATGCTTTGTAAGAACTGTTTTATAAAAATGAACATGTGCCTATTCATCAGATGGGGAGCTCCCGGTGGCACAGCAGGTTAAACCACTGAGCTGCTGAACTTGCTGACTGAAAGATAGGTGGTTTGAATCCGGGGAGTGGGATGAGCTCCCACTGTTAGCCCCAGCTTCTGCCCACTTAGCATTTTGAAAACATGCAACTGTGAGTAGATCAATAGGTACCACTTCGATGGGAAGGTAACGGCGCTCCATGCTGTCATGCCAGCCACATGACCTAGGAGGTGTCTATGGACAATGCCCGCTCTTTGGCTTAGAAATGGAGATAAGCACCACTGCCGAGTCTAACACGACTGGACTTACTGTCAAGGGGAAACCTTTACTTTCACCTTCATCAGATGGAATGAAAAAAAAATTACTGCTGTTTTGTGCATACCCCAGTTTTCACTTTAATTTACCACAAGAAGAAGAAGAAATTGTTGTAGGACTGTAAACTGATGATGTTACCAGAAAATGGAACTTACTGTCAAGATCTATTCTTGCCAAAAAGGAGGAAACATCCTGGAACGGATTAAACTTTAAAGAGTGGAAAGGAATCACCCATGGGCCAGAGGTTTAGCACAGCTGGTAAATCATCAGCAATCATAAGATCTATCAACCAAAAGGTTGCAAGTTTGAAGCCCCGAGTTGGCGTGAGCTGCCAACTGTCAGCCTAGCTCATTGTTTACCTAAGCAATTCGAAAACAGCTTTAGCTGTGATTAGAGAAATTAGGTACCGCTAAAAGTGGGGGAAGTGTTTTTCGACGCCATAAAGAAAGATCATCAGAAAATGCTGGGTGACCAAAAGGAAGGAGGAAGTCCTGACAGCTCTTCGTCACAGGGGATAGAAGAACAGCACCCCCTGGACTCGAGCCCAACCTTCCATGGCACCTCCTTCTGTTCTGTCTATTGTTTATACAAAGCAGCATTGAATGTTTGTCATGTATGTGTACTGTGATCCGCCCTAAGACCCCTTCGGGGTGAGAAGGGCGGAATTTAAATAAAGTGTTATTATTATTATTATTATTATTATTATTGGAGGACCCCTCGCTACAAGAATCCCTCAAAGATGCAAAGCTGTTGAAAATATAACGTTTAATAAAGGGTGGCACTTTCTCCTCTGGCAGAGGAAAACCTAACCATATTCTTGAGTGCTTCTTGCTTCATAAGGTAATAATCTGGCCAAGAACAATTCCAACAATCGGGCCTTGCATTTTTCTCACTCCTGTGTTACACAAACATACTGGTTGTGGAAGAGTGGCAGGATTATCTCATTCTTATTCTTAAAATATGGAAGTATTTAATATATCATAGGCCCTGCACCATGAATACTAAAATATTATTGATGTACAAGCTGGCATACATGGTCGTTTGGAAAAATAAGAGCTACAAAAATGCAAGTACTAAAAAACAAACAAAAAATCCACTGAGCATAATCTATCAGCGAAACTGCATCCTTCTTACCTGTGTATTGCAAACACAAGAGCCAAAGCTGCTACCGATTTCTCACCACCAGACAGGTTGTCCATTGGCATAAATCGTTTCCCTGGAGCAACACAGTTAAAACCAATACCTTCCAAATAAGGTTCCTCAGGATTCTCGGGGCTAAGAAAAGCCTGAAACACACATGGGCTCTTTCTCAGTTGGCAGCAAAAACGTTTTTCGACTGCACGCTTAAATTAATGATAACATTTACTGGTTTTCATGAATGTAAAATGCAATTAAAATCTCTTCTCAAACAAGGGCTGCAAAGAAATTCTGAATGAAAACAGATAAGCGGTTTTGAACACAAGAATCCCCTTCTTGAATATGACTAATACCAGTCCAGTCCTGTGTACCACTATATCTAATCTGTCCATCATCCTTCTCCCACATTATCAAGGACTATGATATTCTGAAACACTAGGGAATAGTTTTATGCTGATCAATCTAAGAAAGAATGATTTTGCAGATGAAAACTATTGGTGGGAAGAAAGGAACTTGACTATTCTGGCTTGAGAGCCTTTTCTACAGCTGAACTCGTGCATGTGAAAGATGACAACAGACATTTAAGCAGGGAGAGAGAACCTGAATTCTTCAGATGTTGATGCACAACACCCATCATTCCAGACTTATCCTTGGCCTTTCTAGGACTGTCTGAATCTACAGCTAGAGTCTGAGTTTTTTGTGGAGGGTTTCCACTGCTGTTGCCTTGCTCTTTTTGGATGTTTTTGATCTTGTTCGAGTGAGTGTGTTTGGGCATAGGAGAGAGGCCTCCGCCAATGAAGGGTCAGATTTGGCCTCAGCTTTAGAGACAAGAGGAGGAAGGCAGTTATTCAAGGGCGGTCTTGTAGATGGCTGCTTTCAGGCATTGCTCCATTTTTCCTGGCTGTTGGTGTGAAGGTCTGGCAAATCTTGCATGCCGAGAACACGTGCACCTCACCAAGGCAGACTAAACCGTGGGAATGGCCATCGTGGTTAGGCATTTTAGCCTTACAGCCTGCACATCATTTAAACAATGTGGTTGACATCAAAGTATGCCTCTCTGAATCCAGAAAAATAGGAATTTTGAGGGGTTTGCATGCTCAAAAAAACACAGAGAAAAAAATAGTCTAGCTGATAGATTTGTTTGATAAAAAAAATGGTTCAAAACTTGTTTTAGATGTAAGGGGCGCCGGTGATTCAATTCTAAAGTCAATTTCAATTTTCACAGAAAAAGATGTTCAAAACTTTTTGAAACTTCCGAGACTTCCGAATCCTTTCGTTAATGGTTTAAAAGTGTTATTTCCTGTTTCACTGGGTGGTCTTTACTTTGAAAGTAGTTGTTTTACTCCAGGAGCGGGGGAAAGCAAGCGGAGGAAATTTCTTCCTTCCCCGGTTTAAAACTGGCTTCTCTGGCTTGAGGCAGAAGTGGGGAAAGCAAAGGGAAGAAAATCAGCCTTTCCCAGTTCAAAACTGGCTCCTCTGGCTTGAGCCCAGGTCAGGGACCAGAATAATTTCTGACTCACTTCCTGAGTATTTATTTATTTATTTGCGACATTTATATGCCGCCCTTCTCACCCTGAAGGGGACTCAGAGCGGCTTACAAGGTATATATCACATACAATATATTATATTATTAGTATAGTACAATATCAGCATTAAACATTGCTATATTGCACCATACCACTACATCGTAATATTATTAGTAATATTACATGTGATATAAATATATAATTACAATATCATATTGTTATTATTATTATATCAGAGTAGAAGGAAAAATGGTGAGACTAGCTTTGGAAGGGCAAAGGGACTTCCGGTTTCCTTAAAAAGTTCACAATTGCTTCAAAAATGTAATTTTTCCAAATTTATTCTGAATTACAAAGATTCTGACCGGACCTAACCATGCCTATTAACTGACTAGCAGGACTAGATGGAAGCCCCAGTAGCAAAAGGATCGTCCTAACTACAACTATCTAATCTATTACTGAAAGTTATTTGAATACAGTACTAGGCCTAAACCTAGCAATACTAATGAATGACAGTTTTCTCTTGCTACTGATGTGGCAAAAAGAAAAGTACTGCAGCAATGATACTGTCTACCCATTATATACCATCAGGATGGTGGCCTGGGGTACCATAAAATGTGCTTTAGAGCTCTTAAGATTCCGAATTGCACCGCGCAAGCACAGTTAACCCATTGGTGTGCATTTACAGAGACCACAAATAAGAATCATGGGTAGTCCTGGAACTAAACTCAAGAAGATACTAAGAGCCTAATCATTATTTTCCTTGGGACCAAATTTAGCGAAGAATTCCATCCCTATCTATGAGAGAGAGAGAGAGAGAACGCACAGCATACTCTACGTATGAAATGCCTTCCATAGAGACGCTTGAGTGGTTCTGTGTGATATATAAAAACAAATAAAACTCCCAAGTCTTTTTAGGAGCCAAGGGGCTTTTAAATGGATTTTGTGGTTTATTTTTAATTCCTGACTCTGTTTAATGTTATTGTGGTACACAACGGTTACACGTGACACTGAGACTGTATTCTTTTTGTATCAGCCTGTATTTTAACCAGTTTGGAAACATTACTTCTTGCATGACAACTTCTAAAGCACCCAACCATCATGATTACTGGTTTTTATCAACTTTCAAGATGTACGTCATCCAGGAATATTACAGGATAGATATAAATACACAGTGGAAATAGATAAACTAACAACTTTTTATATTTATGAACTCTAATGAAATATCTTTAGATGTACACACCTGAGCACTATTGTTTCTGCAGAGCTTCTTGTAGATCTGATCAATAGCTACTGACATATGCTCAAAGCACTGGCTGAACAGCTCATACCTTCTTTTTTTCACTTTATCAAATTCTTGCCTACATAATTTGGCCTCTTTTCTATGAGCCTCAAACACTACAAAAAGATTATTTAACTGGATTTAGTAGAATACTAAACTGTTGATATGAGAACCAAGATTATAACATCTTATCTAAACTCAGCTTACAAACACAAAAATAGTATTATTTATCAGAAAGAACAATGGAAACAGAAAAACATACATTTAAGTAGCACGTATAGTACTTTTTATCTCTGTACAATGACTGAATTCCTCCTATATGTTATAAGGTTCTGATTGAACATAAACTAAAATTAAATAACACTTTCAATTAACTGCTCTTCAGTGCCATTGGGTGAGAATTTCTTTTCTATTTTGAATTTATTAAAATCTACAAAATATGTGAAATAATAATAACATCTATGTAGGATTAAGAACCTGAAACCCTAATTCCTTGGAAAAGAAAGAAACTCGATTCATCGGTGGCAATACTCAACTTCGAGTTCCCAGCAATGTCTACTTCTTCCAATATAACAGAAGATATGTACAAATACCCATCCTTTTGAAAGGACTGAACATAGTTTTTTACTATCTTTATTGGATATTAATCAGACTAATGTGACAAATGAAAATAAATGGAATTGCCTTGCAAACATTGCAACTGAAACATGGAAAGATACTATTATAAATCTTTCTGAAGTATTGATAATACCATAAAACTGCATTAGTATGTTTTTGGATTTGGGTGCATAATACAATGATCACATGGCTACAAGTTCAAATTTTATGAGATCAACAAATAAACACATACATAAAAGGATAGACTGAAACTAATTTGTTAATTACCAAAAGTTTAGATTTGTAAAAGAAGGCAACTATTAGAAGCCAAGTATTATCTGCATCTTATAAATTACTGTAATGAATCAGAAAGGCTATTACCATCAACGGATTCCTGAAATCTATTGGTAACAATATGTAATCTGTCAAGTGCTCTCATATTTGGTGCAACTGTTTTTACTAAAACATCTTCTTTAGATGCTATTTCCTGCCGAAGTTGTTCTAGGCGAGCCTCAATCTCTTTATTAGACTGCAAGTCCTAGTTGTAACACAAAATAAAGCGCTGTAAGAACATTGGGGAAATGTTTCTGGGGCTCTAAACACCATCTTGAATTTCTAAAACTGGTAGGCGGTAAGGTGTACAGTAGATCGGCACACAACATATTGACGCATCCCTGTTGTGCCTTATGTGGTGCATGGCTCTCATCCTGAGGTTATAAACTCAATTTTTTATTTTTTTGTACAGATGAGAATTAATACAGTAGGCATATTAACAATGCCAAATTAATATAAAACTTTCTAAAAAGATATCTGGAAGAGAACCACTGACTACAATCTATATAAATAAAAATGCAATGTTAATTCGTGGGATTAACATAACTCAAAAACCACTGGACGAATTGACATGAAATTTGGACACAATATACCTATCAGGAAAATGAGTGACCATCACTTATAAAAACACTGAAAAACACAGTGGAAGGGACTTAAAAGCCAAAAAAAAAAAAAAAAAAAAAGCAAGAAGACACTATAGCACATGCGCAAAATGACTCTCCTGGCAAACAAAACACACAATAGCATATCCACACTCTCTTCTGAACTACAGCTCCCAGCATCCCCTAGACCAGGCCCTTTAGGAGAGGAGGATGATTCAAACGCACTGCTTCCAAGCTGCAAGCTTTCTTCTCCTTGGATTTCTTTGAGAGCATCCCAATCCCTGTATATTTCCAATTTCCTATTTCTGGACTGCAACTCCCAGTAATCCTCCAGCTAGATAAGACAGATAGAGATAGGTAGGTAGATAGGTTGATCAGGAGGACTGGTGGGAGTTGCAGTCCAAGAATAGGTAGAGAAGGAAGAAAGGGGAGAAAGAGGAAGGGAAAGAAAAGGGGGGGGGGAGGAAGGGAAGAGGAAGAGAAGGAAGGAAGGAGAGAATGAAAGAAAAAAGGGAAGGAGAGAAAGAGGGAGGGAAGTTTGGCCACAGTGACGCGTGGTGAATACAGCTAGTATCTATATAGGCATAGTGTTATTTGCAAGAACAGATTCTGAGCAGGTCAGCTACATTAGATGTACAGTCTATAGGCAATCTGTTTTTCATGAAAGAAGCAAATCTGGAAATCAATACACATCAGATTATCTATGTTTCTGAGAAGCTGTGCATCCTTAACGTCATTCACTATAACTTTCTAACACAATGTACTGTATTTCATTGCATAATCGTCTCCACCACATGTAAGACGCATCCCCGTTTTGGGGGTGCCAAATTTGAAGATTAAAAAACTCTCCTCATGTAATACTCACACAGCTGCCCACATGCCTACCATTTGGAGCTAAAGGGAAGCCCCATAACTCCCGGCGGGGTGGGGGTGGGGTGGGAGGTGTGTAGGAAGGTGAAGGCTCACTCACCTGTGGGTGAACGAGAATTACGGGATCTCTCTCGGTTGCCTGCTTAAGAAGGCCCTGTAGCTGTTGCTTGCTAGCGGGCGAGGCCTATGGGGCCTCCTTTGGCCGCCAGCAGGGGGAAGCCTCATAGGCCTCCCATATTTCACACCACTTAATAGTCACACCCCTTTTTAAAGGGAAAAAAGGTGACTATGTGGTGAAATGTGGTAGCTTGTTTGAAATTTTTAAATAGCCACTGCAGGGATGTCCCATCTGTGACCCACTAGGTAGAGGTTCTTACTGGGATAAGGGTGATGACCTGTTAGGATCACAACCTATTGGGGATTATGGATTATGACCTGTTACGATCATAATTTATTGGGTAGTAGATTTATGGAGGTATTCCTTTAGTTTATTGAGTAATGGATGATCGCTGGGCACATAGAGAACTTCAATGCTCTCTATTCAATGCTCTCAGCAGGCAAAGATTCAAGTAGACTTCTTTAAAATAACATATTTGTTTTACTCATAACTTCATGTATATACAGGGGCGGCTCAACCCATTACGCAAAGTAAGTATTCGCAGTATAGTTGATTTTGCCCAGGGACGCTCTTGGGGGAAAATAGACCTTGACATATGCGAGTTGTAGTTACTGGGATGTATAGCTCACCTAAAATCAAAGAGCATTCTGAACTCCACCAATGATGGAATTGAACCAAATATGGCACACAGAACTCCCATGACGAACAGAAAATATATATCAATGATTGGTTGGGGAGGGGGCAAAATACTGTTTGCTTACCATTGAAAATTACCTAGGGCCGCCTCTGTGTATATACAGGAACATTACTTGAAAGTAAACTTTAAAATGTTTCAGTTTGATCTTTAACTTAACAGTCTTTTCAAAAGCGATGTTGCTCTCTACAGTTCTCTTTCATAAGAATCTACTTTCAAAGAATTCAAGCATCAACAGTTTTCTCACTTCCTAAACTGACAACAAACTGAAAAACAGACTTCTGTACTCAAGCTGACTCAAGGCTTAACTGTCTTCGAACTTCTAATACTGACTTCTGTCTTTTAACTGACTCAAGCCTCAACTGTCATTCCTCAACTATCATAATGTTTAAACTGCATTCTAAACACACGTGATCTGCAGCCCCTCCCATTGCCTCAAGTACTTAGAGCTAAGGAAACTGCAAACCAAAGAAGACATGCACTTCAGGAAATAAAATGATAAATTATAAACAGGTATAACATTAAATAGAGGAGGTTTGAGAAGGTTGTTATCTTCAACAGTTCTCACCACTGTCCACGTGCAGCAATCCTCATGAACACCTTTCAGTTCCTGAAGCTACTGGAAGCTCTCAGTCGCACCAACAAAAGGTTCCCTTATAAGAGAGCTGGGAGTAAAAATCCACTACAGTGACATGAGAGGAAACTGTCGACACTCACAATAATTATTAACTAGAACATAGTTCTAGTTCAAGTGTTTGTGCAGCAGGAAAGTCAAGCAAACGATTTCTGCTGCAACACCACGCTAGGAGAGATGGCATACATAACCCACAAGTGTAACATCAGACTGAGTCTTCTGAAAAATTAAGCTAAGGAAAGATGCTAAGGAATGTAATGTTACAAATGGAGACTGTGGATGTTCTTACCTTTAATTCTTCTGAAAGTGTGCTATACTCTATTTGAATTAATTCTTCTCTTTCATAGATATCAGCGGTTCTTTCACTACTTTCAGTTTCAGGTCCCAACTGCAACAAACGTCCAATTAAAAACATGAAATGCATGTTAAGACAGTATGTATTTTTGTCTTCTCTTCCAATACAATCTTTCCATCTATGTTCAATTTCTTTCTCATTCGTTTTCCAGTTCTTCATAAAGACTACCAGTTTTATATTGTCAACTTTCTGCAGTCTCTCCTTTACCAAGAAAGTATATAACTTTCTTCAATCTGATGCAATTTGCTCAACATATTACCAAAGCAATAAGATGAAGGCAAAACCAATGGGCCTACATGTACTCTGTCATAACTGTTCTGTCAATGTGTGCTCTCAGCGTCAAATTGGAGCAGTAATTCTGCTAAAATGTAGTAGGATGAAACCTTAGTTTGCTCAAGAACAAGTAGAGGCTTATATATTTATGCACAAACTCAACAACCTCTATCATTTATTGCAAGAAAGCATCCATATTATACCTCAATTTCACTAATATCATCTAAAGATCCCAAAACAAGGTTTATCTTTATGTCTTCAAGCTTGCATTCAAGAAGCCTATTATGTTTTTCTAATTTTTTCTGTTCCAGCGAGGTCTCAATCACTACGGCTTCTTTTTGTAGAGTCACCAACTCTCTGTCAGTGAAACAAAGAAACAAGATACAAAGCTTAACATTTATATTCAACTCTCGAAGGTACAAATTATGACAATTTTTTCTATTTATTCTCATTTAGGTTTAAGCCTGGGTTGACAAGAGTTTCCTTTATGAAAAATAATTGATCTCTTAAGTATTTTTAATTATATTGTTAGAACTAATTAATAACTCAAATGATGATTTTAGCTAAAGAATTTTATCTTTTATGTTCTAATGTATCTTAATGGTATTGAATTTTAATAGGCAAGACCTGTATGCCAATTATTTTATGTAGTACTTTTATATTGTTGTTCTTTAAATTGCTCTTTCATATTTTTGCCTTTTTACAAATTGTATTTATTTATGTGAATATGAGTTACACATGATGTCTCAATTAATTCTAGAATTTGAAGACTTTCCTTCAAAATTCAGTATTTATGACCCACCACATAAGAATAACGAGAATTGGAACAGATGGAGCAAAGAGGATATTCAGTATAATGCCATGGGGCACTGAACTGTTTTTATTTATTCAACAGGGACATTATCCTATTATGTCGAAGTGATCATACAATGGACTGTTGTGTGAGTGAATTGACACTTTTGCCACTTGTGCATCATTTTGTGGGCTGGAGATCCCTAGGATGAAATCCACTTACTAGCAAGCTTGGAGAACAGATTTCTTTATTATCCAGATCAATACAGGATGGAGAGAAAGTTACTTCTGAGCTTTACATTCAAAAAGCATTGCTAATATCCACAGGCAACAACCTGTCCTTCTTCTCGACTTCCCTGCCTACTTTGCTTACTTATTCCCAGCCTTCTAATTCCCCAACTAGCTAAAGCAAACCCCAGCACTATCATTCTTTGATTGTGGCTCCAGCTCTTTTCTCAACCTTGAATAGACCAAATGGCCCTAGTTTACAGCCCTGTTGAACATTTCCAAGTTCTCCTTTGAGGGTTCAAGAGGGGTACATGACACATCAAGGCAATCACAATGGAAAGGCAGTGCAGGTGAAGTACAGTCACCTTGCCACCTGCAGCCTGCACACACTCCTGCCAGGGAAGGAAGTGGATCTATGGAGTTGCTAAACCACAGGTGATTTCCCAAGCCATATGTCCCATTATGTATTGGCACTTAGACCCAAGTTAAAAAAAAAACTGCTATGGTACCCTGTTGTCTCTGGTGGGAGGTTGCCGCTAGAGTGGTGAGCCTTTCTGCTCTGCTGGAGTTGAACAGAATCTCAGTTCATATGTTGTAATGAAAATGTTTTATTTCAATAAACACGAAGTCCTTGGCTCTACAGCAAAGTGTTCTACACTGTGTGTTGCGGAACACTGGCATATCACCTGTATTGCCCAAGTGTGTCATGAAAATGTGCCCCATCCCCACAAGTCCTTCCTTGAATAGTCTGTCAAGCGGATCCAAGGGACCAGTCTCAACCTTTCTCCTTAGGACAGTGCCCAGCTTGCCAGGGCTGCCAAAATATGATGGTTCCATTGGCTGGCTGCTGCAGGTGGCCCCTTCTAGCTGCGAAGGCCTGCTGGGAGCAGCCATGTTTTCCCCAAGTCAGCTCCCTTCTCCACCAGGAGAAACATCCCAGTCTAAAGAAAGGCATTACAGTGTGCCAAGTAAGGTGGGGAAGCATTCAGAACAGTTGAAAGATGCTGCTCCAGATTCCTCTACATCTCATTAAAACTATAAATAGTTCTTTTATTGGTGTTCTATCTGTCTAGGAGCGTCAAGCCAAACCTGACCGGGACCGCCTTCCACTTGGAAACCAATGCCCTCACTGCGGGAGGATTGTGATTGTAATAGGATTGTGATTGTAATAGATTGTAATAGAATTGTATTGCCAGGATGTAGTTTGACACAGAATGGTTAAAAACAGCAAAGTAACAGGCTGTGAGAATGTAACCCTGAGTTCTTGCTGTGTGAAAGATTAGGGAGTGTCAGAGATAAACTCCCTTCCAGCTGCAGTTTGCATTTGTGCCTATCTCTTTCGGTTTGTGTTCTTCACGTCTGTCCGCTGATGGTGTATGTTGTCTATTTTGAGCTGCTTTAGTAAAGCTGAAACCTGCTTTTTACCGGAGACTCCAGAGTCCATTATTCTGAGCTTCTGCGATACTCTGCTACACACCAACAGGGTATTTGTACCAAATTTGGTCCAGTGAATGGAAATATATCTTGAATACATCCTGCATATCAGATATGTACATTACGATTCACAACAGTAGCGAATTGACACTTATGAAGTAGCAACTAATGTTATGGTTGGAGGTCACCACAACATGAGGAACTGTATTATGGGGTCGCGGCATTAGGAAGGTTGAGAAACATGTGACAACCTCCTATACCTGCAGGCATTTTCTGCCACAACTCTCAGGAGCCAGAACTTCACCATCACTCAGACAGGACTGTAAAACTTGAATAACAAAGTGTTCAATTTAAATACTTCTGTAGTAATCTAACAAAACTATCCCTCCAAACTATGAACAGAGTTTCAAATATCAGGAATTCAAATTGGTTAATAGCATCAATTACCTATTTAGTGTTAGTAATATCTTCCTTGATTCGTCAACTTGATTCTGTGCCTTGGCAACTTCATTTTTATTAACATTCTGCCTCTCCCTAAGCTGCTGCAGTTCTGCCATAACTTCCTCTACCATCTGTAAGCAATTCTCCTCATCCTAGATAAGAAAAATATGCTATTTCAAAAAACCTACAGTTTAGAAACAGAACAACATTATGAAAAGATTAAGCAGACAAGGCTATCTAGCAGTAACATTTCTGAAATGAAGTTGTTAAACAATTGTTGATTTAAGTAATATAATGCTATCTGTTTTAAAACACACAGGATAAGTGTTATTCTTTTGTTAGATCTAGTTCTTATTAACATGTTTCTGTCAAGCAGATAAGGAATCATAATTTCCAGAATTTTTGTTTATTATTTTTATATGTATCCACCATTTTCTCTCTAAAAAAAAGAGACCCAAAGTGGCCCACAATAAAACCAATACAATAGAAATACCTTTTATGTACTGGAATTTGCAGTTATGACAACAGATTAATTCTTCATATTAGTAGTGGCTAGAGAAGTAACATTTCTGGAAAACTCTGAAATCATGGGAGGAGGAAAAATAATGTGTTTGTCCACGTTCTTTCAAACCCCCTCCCCCCACCCCAAATTTTTGGGAAAATAAAGCATATATTAACTGCTTATTTGCATTTCAAATCCAAACATATTTTTATACTAAACAACATAAAGTACTTCATTCAGTGCCTTGCTTATTTGGGAAATAAAAAAACCCCATACATTTGTACAAACAAAAGTTTGTATATGTTTCATACTAAAATGAAAACTCCAAACTGCTTCACGCTATGCTATTCCAGCATCACATGTATCGTATGTTTCTGCCGTCTGAGTTTTTTTTTTTTGGGGGGGGGGGATGGGAACGAGATGGATGATGACCAAAAACAATGCAATACACAACATATAGTGTTTTGTTTTGTTTTTGTCGTGTCAGGAGCGACTTGAGAAACTGCAAGTCGCTTCTGGTGTGTGAGAATTGGCCATCGGCAAGGATGTTGCCCAGGTGATGCCCGGATGATTTGATGTTTTTATCATCCTTGTGGGAGGCTTCTCTCATGTCCCCGCATGAGGAGCTGGAGCTGATAGAGGGAGCTCATCTGCCTCTCCCCGGATTCGAACCTGCGACCTATCGGTCTTCAGTCCTGCCGGCACAGGGGTTTACCCACTGCACCACCGGGGGCTCCTAATATAGTGGATGATACTAACAGACACGGTCACGACAATAATCTACTTTGATATAAAGTTAATGACACAACTATTGAGTCCCCCTCAGGGAGATAGAGCGGTATATAAATAAAGTATTATTATTATTATTATTATTATTATTATTATTATTTGAGATACCACAAGCAATGAATGTCCTCAGCATGCTCATATCAGATGTTGGCAGATAAAGAAAAATATATTAGATCTGAGTTTTGGGCAGTACATTGGGCACTAGTCAACATGCATCAAGAAAAGAAATTGTCAATATAAACTGTATTAACTTTAGAGTAATTGTAATTTTTCTTTTAAAATGTATATCAAAACCAGAACAACAAAAAGAACAAAAATCATGTAGTGAGAAGACAAGTTTTTTTTTTGTCGTGTCATGAGTTACTTGAGAAACTGCAAGTCGCTTCTGGTGTGAGAGAATTGGCCGTCTGCAAGGACGTTGCCCAGGGGATGTCCGGATATTTTGATGTTTTATCATCCTTGTGGGAGACTTCTCTCATGTCCCCGTATGAGAAGTTGGAGCTGATAGAGGGAGCTCATCCGTGCTCTCCCCGGATTCGAACCTGCGACCTGTCGATCTTCAGTCCTGCCAGCACAAGGGTTTAACCCACTGTGCCACCAGGGGCTCAGAAGACAAGTTAAGTATACTGATCCGGATAAAGGATCAGGTTTGCAGTCGGCTGAAAATCTTGGATTTATCATTGTCATTGGAAGCTCAAGTGACTTCAGAGGCTTAGGGTGCCTTTCACCACCAGCAGCAATATACCAGTTCTATATTTTCTTGGACAAGGACGGAATGGCTACACTGATGGGGAGAAGACACTTCTCTGGTTGTCTGCACATTTTCCAGGGGCACTTGAAGTCAAAAGGAATCTAGCATAATGCCAAGTTTTTAACTTTGTTTGTGGTTTTTTATACATTGCAACTGTATTATCAATTTGCTCCTGTCACGATAAATCAAGAGCACATTTCCCACCCTTTTAGCAATGTAGCTAGGAGGTGGGGGATTTTCGAGTGTCTCTGGGCTTGATATAGGCTTCAACCAATGGGGTTGCTGCACAATCATCCATGTGGCCACTTCCAGGGTGCCCACTCTGCTACATGCCACCATTGGCTAGCTAGATGGAAGACAAGATTGGAAGCTTAGGTAAGATGAGCCCTCAAAGCATTTCTCCCTTCTTCTTTCTCAAATCCAAGCTCCTTAAATAAAAAAAAACTCACTGGGATCTATGACGAGCCCCCTTTTCCCAAAGGTGGACACAGGTGGCAAAAGTTTTTGGGTTTTGGAATACAGGCAGCCCCCAAGTTACAAACTTCCGACTTACAAACAACATAATTAAGAATGGGGGTGAGACTACAGGAAGAGAAATCCACTCCCAAAAGAATTATCATGGGGGGAAAGGTGTCTCCCACTGAAGCTTTTTTACCAATAGTTGTTCCACAACAAGCCACATTTTTCAAAATCCAATGATCACAGGAACAGAAAGTTAGGTGAATTCTTCTGAACAGAGGCACGCACAGGAAAACAAACACCACAGGGGTGAATCCTTCCCTATGCTATTCAAAGCTCACACACACACACACACACACACACACACACACACACACACACACACATATATTTGGCTGGAGCTACACTTAAGATAAAGTACATGTTCCACCTTACATAAAAATTCAACTTAAGGACAAATCTACATAACTTATCTTGTTTGTAACTTGGGAATTGCATGTATTTTGGATTTTGGATTAAGGGAGGCTCAAATCATAGCTATTTTGTTGCAGCTGTCCTCAAATTAAGGCCCGGGGGCTGGATACAGCCCTCCAAGGTCATTTACCTGGCCCTCGCTCAGGGTCAACCTAAGTCTGAAATGACTTGAAAGAACACAACAACAACAACCCTATCTCATCAGCCAAAAGCAAGCCCACACTTCCCATTGAAATACTAATAAGTTTATATTTGTTAAAATTGTTCTTCATGTTAATTATTGTATTGTTTTTAAGTGGGGTTTTTTGCACTACAAATAAGATATGTGCAGTGTGCATAGGAATTCATGCATTTTTAAAAAAATTATCATCATCATCATCATCTTTATTTGTACCCCGCTACCATCTCCCCAAGGGACTCAGTGCGGCTTACATGAGGCCAAGCCCACAATACATCAATAAACAAACATCAAATAAAACTATCAATACAATACAATTCATATAAATCACATAAAATAAGCAATAAACAATCAACAGTGACATACAAGCATTTAAAAACCAATGGCTGGACCAAATGTACTAGATTAAAATTAAAATAATGCTGACGTGACGTGAACATTTTCAGAGAAAAGTGAGGGAACGCAATCAGTCCTAAATCAATGATAAAGTGCATTTTGAGGGCATATTGTTGAGAGTTTCCTTATTCTGGGAAGGCACACTGGAACAACCACGTTTTCAGGTTTCTTCTAAAGACTGCCAAAGTTGGGACATGTCTGATGTCCCTGGGAAGTGAGTTCTACAGTCGGGGGGCCACCACCGAGAAGGCCCTCTCCCTCATCCCCACCAATCAAATTAAATTAAAAATAAATCAAATAAATCAAATTTTAAAAATACATCCATGAGCAATAAAACAATCATTACAACAATAAAACAATAAAACACCTGGCTTGGTCCATCTTACTCACAAATTATAATCCGGCCCTCCAACGTTTGAGGGACTGTGACCTGGCCCTCTGTTTAAAAAATTTGAAGACCCCTGACCTAAAAGATAACTGTGTGTTTCCATGCAGAGATCTTGGAAAGCAAGAAGGATCCCGGCAATCTATAATCATGATTTCTGGAGTGGAAGAAGGAAGCCTTAATCAGCTACTTATCACAACCATCTTGAATCACTGTTCCTCGCTTACTGCAAGTGGTCCAGAAACTACTATTCATTTGTCAATATCCAGTTGATGTTACAAAGAACTGGAAATATAGATGAGTTCCAGCTTAGCTGAGTGGCGGGAAAAAGATGACAGCACTTTGAGGGCCACATGGCAGCCCACGAGCAAATCATGTAAGGTTTAAAACAAGGATAAATGACATTATATCATCTAACATTTCACAACATTTTAAAAGTGATTATTACCTTTTTCAGGTGAATGATATCAGCTTCATCTTTGCAAGTACTCTCCTTCAGCATGCTAATCTTCCTCACTTCCTTTTCTATGAGGCTGCAAATGTACTCAAGTTGGACACTCAGTCGTGTCTTCTGGTTTTCAAATTCAGACCTAGACAAACATGAGGCAGCATAATGTTAAGAAAAAGTGAAAAACAATGTTGGAATAGTTGACTTTCCTATAAACATGACTAAAAATGAATAAAAATTAACTTATCTTTTAAAGCTATGTGGAGGGAAAAAAGGCCTTTAATGCCTTTAGAGGAAAAATAGTTCTGCATGATGCAAAAACTTGAATGCATGAGGCTTGGGAGAAACCAGAGCAATTGGAAGAATTTGATCTTTCACTCATTTTAGAAACATTAGAGCAATAATCTTTAAAATGGGAAGTCCATGGTCCAATCGCATTCTCCAAGCCATCTGCTTCTGGTCGCTTGAGCACTTCCAGGGAAGAAAGGAAGAGCTGGAGCAGTGGACACAAATATAGTATTGGTCCCAAGCAAAGGGGGTGGGTGGGTGAGTTTTTTCGCCTGAAAGGTACTACCATCAGATGGATGGAAACTATAATGAACCGAATCTTCTTAAAACAGTAGCAATGCATGGATATCCCTCCATGTACTCTCACATGAACATTCAATTCTCTTTCTTCTCACAGTTACATTGAAACTAGATAGAGACCACCTAAAAATAAAGGTAAATGTTTCCCCTTGACATTAAGTCTAGTAGTTTCTGACTCTGGGGGGTGGTGCTCATCTCAAATTCTAAGCCAAAGAGTCAACATTGTCTGTAGACACCTCCTAGGTCATATGGCTGACATGACTGCATGGAACGCCGTTACCTTCCCATCGAAGCGGTACCTATTGATCTCACATTTGCATATTTTCAACTTGCTAGGTTGGCAGAAGCTGGGGCTAACAGTGGGAGCTCATCTCATCCATGGATTTGAACCCCCAACCTCTCGATCAGCAAGTTCGGCAGCTTAGTGGTTTTACCCACTGTGCCACCACGGCCCTACGGAGACCAACTATAAGTTACCAAATATGGATACTCCTGTGTTCTGAATACTTACCTCTTCCTGTCAAGTTCTTCCTGCAGTTGTATGTGCTCTTTCTCATATACACGAATATTCTCTACACCAATCTCTTCACAGAATTCACGGAAAATATTGTCTTCTACCTATTGCAACATGCCCCCATATACATAACAGGAAGAATTACATGCCATTTCCAGAATGATAATTTTCTCATAGGATAATATTGAGTAGATATTAAAAATTAAGATTTAGCTGTGCTTGTATTCCTAAAACAATGATACTTTAATTTAAGGATAATGTCTAGACTAGATCGACGTGTTCTTGCTAATCGAGAACTGGAAACTCTTCTGTGAATACAAATTATGGCTCTCCTACTTACACTGTGGCTCCTAGTTAAAGACCACCACCACCCCAATTCCAAAACAAAAGAATTGCTAACTGCAAGAATATTAACATTGCATTTAGTTTGGTCTTTAACCATCATAAAAAACATTATCAGTATACGTAAAATAAAAAGTACCACAAGAAGCCACATGGGAAATAAGTCTCCTAGAACATATTGTCACCACCTAGTTATTATAATACCGTGGTCCCCAAGTTACGAATAAGATAGGCATCTGCAGGTTTGTTGAATTGGTTTGCAAGTTGGAACAGGTACATTGTTTAAGTGTAATTCCAGATAGATAGATAGATAGATAGATAGATAGATAGATAGATAGATAGATAGATAGATGCATGCATGCTTTGGATAGCATAGGGAAGAGTCAACACTCATGTGGTGTTTGTTTTGCACAATGAACTCAACTGAACCTTTATTTGGACTCTAATATGAAGCAAACAACTTAACATGCAAAAACACAAAAGTACAGGCAGACCTCAAGTTACAAACAAGATAGGTTCTGTAGGTTTAGGGTAAAGGTTTGGACATTAAGTCCAACTCTGGGGTGTGTTGCTCATCTCAATTTCTAAGCCAAATAGATTACTGCAACGTGCTCTATGTGGGGTTGCCTTTGAAGACTGTTCGGAAATTGCAATTAGTCCAATGGGCAGCAGCTAGATTACTCACCGGAGCGTCATACAGGGAGCATACCACCCCCCTGTTGTGTCAGCTCCACTGGCTGCCGATCCAATTCCGAGCACAATTCAAAGTGCTGGTCTTGACCTATAAAACCCTATATGGCTCCGGTCCAGTGTACCTGTCCGAACGTATCTCCTTCTACGTCCCACCTCGGAGTTTAAGATCATCTGGGGAGGCCCTGCTCTCGGCCCCGCCTTTGTCTCAAACATGCTTGGCGGGGCCGAGGGACAGGGCCTTCTCGGTGGTGGCCCCCCGCCTGTGGAATTTGCTCCCTGGGGAAATTCATCCCTCCTCACCTTTAGAAAAAAGGTTAAAATGTGGCTGTGGGACCAGGCCTTCGGGCAATCAGGTTAAAGGACAATTGATAATGTTGACTATGGCATGGAAGAGGATTTGGATAAGTTAAGCGGAGTAATCATTAGTAGATGGCTAGCTAAACAGCCACCAGACGGGCAATAGCTAATCAGAGTGTAAGTATACTGTTTTAATCTTTATTTATTAATGTTCATGTTTAATTGTTATATTTGTTATTCTGTATTTTATGATGCGACATTGAATTATTGCCAATTGTAAGCCGCCCTGAGTCCTCCCAGGGGTTGAGAAGGGCGGGGTAAAAATGTTCGAAATAAATAAATAAATAAGCCGAAGTGCCGGCGTTGTCCATAAACACCTCCAAGGTCATGTGGCCGGCATGACTGCATGGAGTGCTTTTAGGTTTGCTGTTGTTTAATTTGCTTGTAAGTCAGAAAAGGTACATTTGTGCAACACCAGTCAAAAATGTATATATTTTTAGCTTGGATAACATAGGGAAGGGTTAACATCCCTGTGGTATTTGTTTTGCTGTCTCTCCCTCTGTTCAGAAGATTGCATGTCACCTTCTGTCCCTGTGAGAATTGAATTTTCAAAAATGTGGCTTGTTGTGAAAACAAGGCTTGGCAATAAGGCTTCAGTATAGACTCCTTTTCCCCATGATAACTCTTACAGGGGTGAATTTCCCTTCCTAGGGATAGATTTCTCTCACTTCCTGTTGTCTCATCCCCATTCTTAATTATGAGTCATTTGTAAGTCAGATGTTTGTAACTCAGGGACTACCTGCACTGCCATGTTTCAAACAATATACCTCATTTATTTTCTTCTGAATTCCATCCATTTTTGCAGTTCTTTGTAACATTCCTTCATTCAGCATGGCACACTGTGATTCAATATTTGCTCGTTTACTTTCCAGCCTATTTTTTTCCTAAATAGAAATACCCAATAACAATGATACATAACAATAGTCTTATATTTTATTTTTTATTACCCATATAGAATAATGTCTTCTGAAATCATACACTTATTTTGCAATAATACACACTACGGTATTTCAGAATGTGCAATAACATTCCACATAGTATTTTTAGTTTTCCGATCAATTAAATGTACTAACACTTTTTAAAGTGACAAGCATAAAACAGGCCTGGAATCAAAGTCCCAGTTCCTAAAACAGTGATATGTGGAGTGTTAAAAAATTATATTCTCACTGGGTGAAAAAAACCGAGCATACGATTATCTATTTAGTAATCGACATATCCAGACATTAGATACAATCACAAGGTAAGAGAAATAACCATGTATATATCTGATTCTACCTGATTGAAATTATCAGTTCTTTTTCTAATAACTTCTAGTTCATTTTGTGAACATCTGTGTCGTGTTTGAATTCCTTGGCACTGAGCCTGCAGTTGTTTCAAATCAACCTCCTTCCTTTTAATTTTCAGTAAGTCCTGAGGAAAGAGAGTTTGATGATAATTGTAAACTCAAAAGCATTTTTTATATTGTAGACACAAGGTTTTATATTTTCACCCTGGTACAGAATGATGTATATATAAGATAAAGATAATTCGGTTTTTGTCCAACTAATGCAAAGCATGGAAAAAGGCAATTTTTGGGAATCTTACTTCCCACTAATGCCTTCCACAGCCCAGAGATAACATCCAGATACAATCCTTAACAACTTCTATAGTACTAACATATTTTTGTGATGTCTGATACAACTTAGACAACACTTTAATCCCTGATTAATGCATTGTTTTAAAGTTTTTGGCTATGGAAATTACCTTTTTAAACAAAATATACAAGCTATAATATTGTTGACATCTAACCCAAATATTTGTTTATGGTTAGGTTCTTAACTATGTGTTTATTATTTGTTGTATTTTATCATTTCTGTTTTGAGTTCTATCTAAATTATTTTCACCTCTACCGAAGTTATGCTGTTGTGGAAGTTTATATCACACAACACAATTATTGCTGCTCTCTTTGCAAAGGAATTTCAATGCATATGCAATGGCCACACAGCTTGTTATTTGCGAAAGATTTTCAGTAACGCTGCTCCACTTGACAAAGATAGGTTGACTGCCCAAGTTTCAGTGTAACAATACTGTACATACATACACAGAGACTTCACAGTACTGAACTACAATAATAACAGCAATAGCAAACAACGGAAACATTTATAATAGTAATAGTAATAGTAATAATAATAATAATAATAATAATAATATAATAACACTTTATTTGTACCCCGCTACCATCTCCCCAAGGGACTCGGTGCGGCTTACATGAGGCCGAGCCCAAACACAACAATACAGGCAATAATGATTTATACAGTGAACTTTCTGAGTGGTCGAAGTGTTTCTAATCTTTGTTGCAGTTATTTTACCAACAATCTAGCATAGCTAAACCCCACTGTTATCCCCACACTGTTGATGGGAAATGCAGTGGCTTGCCCAATGAGCTTGGGAACAAGTTAATCCATACTAAGAATACAACAGTTGTATCAATATGCTTTACTAGTTCTCAGAGCACTGGCCAACTAAATATCCTCCCTCCTTTCTGTCTGATATAAAATTTACTATTTGATGCATTACAACTGTTCACAACCAAGGTTTACTCTTGGATTTAAGTATATTAAATGATGATGGAAAATTTATAAAACTACTATAAAAACTGCAGTCATGCGAGATGGCATCGAGGTAGAATGGAAGCGCAAGAAAGCATGAAGGTATTATAGAGAAAACAACAATTTTTCATAGAATCAAAGTCAATACATTACTGTTAGATGAAATTCCCTTTTTCAGCAGCTTTACCTTTAATTCATTCACCAGTTTTTCTCTCCGTTCTTTGAGTTTGCTCACTTCTTTTTCATCCCAGCATCTAGCTTTCATTTTCAAATAAGATGAGCCTCCAGATATTATTCCAGATTTTGAAAATAAAGTTCCATCAAGAGCTACTGTCTGAAAATTTAAGATATTGGCTTTTTTTCTGAAATCATTTATATATAAGTAAGGGATCATTAGCCACAAACAGTTGGACTGAAGAAACAATAAATAGGAAAATTAATTTATCTATAAATAAATAACTGCATGAAGTTAATTTTTACTACTCTGTGTCCCTCAATAAAATACAAAATAACAACAAGCAGCATAATAAGTAAACAAAGTGACAGTATCAATAAAGATCAGTCTATATGTCAGAAAGCTTCTGAATAAAACATTTTCATCAAGTGAACAAAACAGTAGTGTCCAAACATTTGGCAAGTTGTTAAGATGAGATTAAATTTTTATTGTATAATTCAGCATTTTAGACCTTACTTTTAGACGCTGTGGACCATCAAATGCTAACTGCCTTGCTTCCATTACTGTTTCACAGACTAAAGCATTTCCACAAACAAACTGAATTACTTTCTTCAGAGGAGGAAAGGAAGTCTGTATGACATCAACCATCATTTTAGCTCCTCTTATTTCTCGTAACTGTTCATTGATTGGTTCTATCTAATACAAAGGCAATGTTTTGGAAAAGGAAAATTAAATAATGCCCAGGAGTCGCTTAATAAATCAAAGAAAAAATATCATATTTCTAAAAGCAGTGATGATATTTACCAATGAATTGGCCAATCATATTTTCAAACTCAAAACAACAAAAAAAACAATCCACACTAGACAACAGATACCAAAAAGTATCTAGAGACAGTGTTACAAAAGCAAACATGCAAAAATGGCCAAACATGTGCAGGACCTTCTGAACTATGACTACCAATATTTTTTTTTCTGAAAGTTAGCCTAATAGGGTTTTTCCTGAACAACACCCTGCAATGGAAATAATTCTCCATGAACTTTGGGAGTAAAGAAACAACGATCAAAATCCAACATAACAGATGTGAGAGAAAACAGTAGCAGAGTTCTGTTGGCTCTTCCAGTTGAGGAAGCAGCAGCTCATTTATTCTTGTAGTCCTAGAAATACTGGCAACTGTGCAGTTGAGAAATACACTGCATTGCCTCACTGTCATCTAGTACTAGGTGTCAATGAATGAAAAACGTGTACTAGCAGAATGAATCCCCTGGATAAATATGTTTCTAAAACAAATTTACCTCAAGATAATCCAAAGGAAGGAATGTTTCAGGTTCGGCTCTTTCTTCCTTGAGGAAACGAATACAATCTCTGGCTGCTTTTTCCGAAGCCACAACAATTGCAGTCATAAACTTGCCAAACACTTTTGTAACCGCAAGCTGGTATTTTTTATGAATTGGATGACACAAATCAACCAGTCTTCCAAACTAAAAAGCAGAAATAATATATGTCATGGAAACACTTTTTTTTCCGGTTGGCAGCAAAAGCTAGATTTGCCCAGCATTTCCCATCTGGCCTTTCTGTTAATCATGAAGCCACCTCTAACTGTTATCAGCATCAACTTTCCAAAAGGGAAAATGTCCATGCTTACATTTACTACCTGTTTCCAAGAAAGCAAAGTCTAGAGCCAAAATTCCTAAACCACACTATGTTAATATTTATTTGAAGCCCATATACAGAATACATGCAATACATTCATTTGCCTGCAAAATATACTCTGGTGAACTATTGCTGAATTCAATTGCATTACTAATATTATTCTGACATTCTTATAATAGATCAACCCTGAGAATATGTGCTTTTCACACAGGAAAATTGATAATGTACATAGATGGTGCAAACACTCTCTAAATAAAAAACACAAAATGTTTAATAAAGAGTATACAGATATTTAGAATGAAGCATTGGTCATTCACCATGACTTTTTGTTCTTGTTTGTAAAGGAAACATCCAAGAATGGGTTACATCCCTCTGTTATCCAAGCAATTCAGGGGTAGAGTTGGAGGAGACCACATCGGCCATTTAGTCCAACCCTCTGCTGTGCAGGAAAAGCACAAAGTATCCTCAACAGATGGCCACCCAGTCTCTATTTAAAAGCCTTCAAAGAGGAGCCTCCACCACACTCCAAGCAGCAAGTTCCACTGTTGAACAGTTTACATCAGGAAGTTTTTCAGAATGTGGTTGTTGTAGGTTTTTTCAGGCTATATGGCCATGTTCTATAGCCATTCTCTCCTGACGTTTCGCCTGCATCTATGGCAAGCATCCTCAGAGGTAGTGAGGTCTGTTGGAACTAGGAAAATGGGTTTATATATCTGTGGAATGACCAGAGTGGGACAAAGAACTCTTGTCTGTTGGAGCTAGGTGTGAATGTTTCAACTGACCACCTTGATTAGCATTTGATGGCCTGGCAGTTGTCTGGTGTGGCTTGTTAGTGCCTGGGGCAATCTTTTGTTGAGAGGTGATTAGATGTCCCTGATTGTTTCCTCTCTGTTGTTTTGCTACTGTAATTTTAGAGTTTTTTAATAGTGGTAGCCAGATTTCGTTCATTTTCATCTCGCTACCAGGTGAAATCTCCTTTCCTGTCATTTGAACCCATAGCTCTGATCTTATGATATGGGTCATATGATATCTAAACAAAATTTTTATATAGAATTCCCTAGCTCATCCACCAGTACTTTCCATAGAAAAGCAGACAATACGGCAAATACAAGAATGAGAGAGAGAGAGAGAGAGAGAGAGAGAGAGAGAAAACTACCAAAGAAATAAGAGACGTATTGTCCAAAGTGGGGAAAAAACGAATGTCAGTTACATCTTTAGTGGGACTGAGTATCTCCTTCTTCACACGCAAGTATGAACATTCAGAAGTGATCAATAGCATAACAGTATTCTTGTTATGGTTTTATATTATGTGTTAATGTTTTTAAATGTTTTATGGTGATTTTGAGCATCGAATCGTTGCCATTCTAAACCACCCTGAGTCGCCTAAGGGCTGAGAAGGGCGGTATACAAATATAGTAAATCAATCAATCAATATTTCAATCTTTCTACAGAAAATAGTCATTGGGCAGTAGGATGCTAGATGGTGGCCTTGGAGTTTTGACATTTTATACACTGTTACAGTGTTGAATAATGAGCACCACACACAACACTCCAAATTTCTTTTATGTTCAGAGTCTGCATTAAAAAACAAACACACTGTGCAGGTGAATTCTCTTAACTATCTTCATCACACTCCTGCCGCCTTGGGTTTTATTCAGAGTATACTGATCTCCTGGTATCAAGACCACCCTCCTGCTCTGGGTTGGGGCATTTGAGGGAGTGTACACTCTGAAAGACAAGATCGAGTGCAGCTGCAGTCATGCGAGATGGCACTGAGGTAGCATGGAAGCTCAAGAAAGCGTGAAGGCATTATAAAGGAATGCTTAGGTACACGGCATAATATAAGAAGACAATAGAGTCTATCTAGTTACCACATAATCCGGATACAGTCTTTTGAGGCTCTCCAAGGTTTCTGCTCTCATCTGTTGTCGTTTTCCTTCGTGGACATCGATTTTAGCATTGTGCAAGTCGCTGACAATTTTATTCAGTTCTTCATTTACTTCAGGTATCCGTTTTTTTGAACTTTCGATTACATTTATCAGCACCGCTTCTTCTTGTTCTTTGTCTGCTAATGATTCACTTCAAAACAAAGCAAAAGGGTAAATTGTAGCAGGCATGCTTAATGTCAGCTTAAAAATATTGCCAAAATTCAGCAGGTCTGAGTCTACAGGTGAATGTGTAGCAATGGCACAACAACACTTATCAATTCTGTTTAAAACAAAATTCATATTTTAATATTTCCATATTGTTGACTTCATATATAGGTCAATGCCAAGATCAGTAACCAAAACTATGTATCTTGCTACAACTCATGGACAAGCCAAGGGTTACTGTGCAGAGAGGGGAAAGCCTCAGAAGGCTAGCTACCCCTGACCATCTTCACTTCTTTGCACTGGCTTCGAAAAAGGCCAGAAGAAGTGTCACAATAGAGAAAGGAGCATATGCGTGTCAGTAATTCCTTCAGATCCTTCAGAAGGGAGAGCCTAATCTTGACCTATAAAGCTCTATACGGTTCAGGCCCAGCTTACAAAGCCCACGAGGACTTTGAGATCATCTGGGGAGGCCCTTCTCTCAGTCCCGCCTGCCTCACAGGCACGTTTGGCGGGGACGAGAGAGCGGGCCTTCTCGGTGGTGGCCCCCCGGCTTTGGAACACCCTCCCTGCTGAAGTTAGACAGGCGCCTTCCCTTATGGCCTTTCGTAAGGGCCTGAAAACGTGGCTCTTCGAGATGGCCTTCAATTGAGTGCTAGGTTACTGGAATTGACGACCGGAATGGACTGTGATTATGAGATGGATTGACCCTATGATTTGACGAAGCGGATTTTTAGTATAGTAGTGTTTGTAGTAGTAGAACGTTGTGTATTGTTGATTTATTGTAAGCTGTCTTTTCTATGTTGTTGTACACCGCCACGAGTCGCCCCTGGGCTGAGAGTGGCGGTCTATAAGTGCAAGAAATAAATAAATAAATAAATACTTGTCCAAACGCATGTGCCCCTACGTCCCACCTCGCAATTTAAGATCATCTGGGGAGGCCCTGCTCTCACTCCCGTCAACAGCACAAATGCGGCTGGCAGGGACGAGGAGCAGGGCCTTCTCAGCTGTGGCTCACACCTATGGAACACACTCCCAAAGGAGGTAAGATCTGCTCCCTCGCTCCTGACCTTTAGAAAAAAATTAAAATCATGGTTCTGGGACCAGGCCTTCGGACAATAGATGTATGCAGCTTTTAGTGGGATAAGGACTGGAATGGCGACTTGACTGATGAGATTGTTTTATGGTTTTAATAACTATTACTAAGTGCATATTGATATTTGATGATGTACTGTTTTTAATATGATTATGTTTGAAGTATGGTTTTAATATTGTAGTTGTAAGGCATTGAATTTTTGCCATTATCTATGTGTAAACCGCTTTGAGTCCCCCTAGGGGTGAGAAAAGTGGTATATAAATGCTGCAAATAAATAAATAAATAATCTATTGTCTTTTACTATTCTACTCAGAGAATATGGCACAGCACTTAAACTGACCTGTGGCTGGTCAACCCAGGTTTTTTTTTTTTGCGGTGGGGGGGGGGGGTTGACTAAAATTTCTAGACATATATGAGCAGATATAGTAAATAAACAAGGAAAAAATAAAATACCAGGAAAAAACAAACAAACTAAAAGCTTGCATGGATTGTAAAAATGACAAATTTGAATTCTAACAGCTTTTGAAATACATACGTGCACATCCTAATATATTCCATCAGTATCTCCATCCGTTTTTTATTATCTTCTATGTATTCTCTTATTTGTTTAATATTTTCCTAGAAACAATGTAAAAATGTTGTAAGATACCACTTTATCAAAAAAGGAACATAGAGGTAAAGGTAAAGGTTTTCCCCTGACATTAAGTCCAGTCGTGTCCAACTCTGGGGGTTGGTGCTCATCTCCATTTCTAAGCTGTATTCGTACCAAGTTTGGTCCAGATCCATCATTGTTTGAGTCCACAGTGCTCTCTGGATGTAGGTGAACTACAACTCCAAAAATTTAAGGTCAATGTCCACCAGACCCTCCCAGTATTTTCTCTTGGTCATGGGAGTTCTGTGTGCCAAGTTGGTTCAATTTCATCATTGGTGGTGTTCAGAATGCTCTTTGATTGTAGGTGAACTATAAATCCCAGCAACTACAGCTCCCAAATGACAAAATCAATCCCCTCCTAACCCCACCAGTATTCAAATTTGGGCATATTGGGTATTTGGGATTTGAAAATACATCCTGCATATAAGATATTTACATTACGATTCATAACAGTAGCAAAATTACAGTTATGAAGTAGCAATGAAAATGTTATGGTTGGGGGTCACCAAAACATGAGGAACTGTACTAAGGGGTCACGGCATTAGGAAGGTTGAGAAACACTGATCTAGATAAAACTATGTGTCATTCTCTAAGATATGAAGGCCCTTTCAATGGCAATCCCTAACCGGGATTCCACCAGTACACTCAGTACACTGAGGAGGCCATGGTCAATCAAATACCAATTCCAATCCAAAGAACATAAAGGATCTGTTTAACGGTCTGATCAATTAAGAGTCCAAGTGACTGTCAAGAAAAAACTAAGCTAAAATGTATAGTCAGACAATAGGAGTGCCAGAAAGATTAAACTGATGAAAAATAAGCTCTGAAGAATTCATGGTGCTGTTGTTGTGATGGAAAAAAGGCTTATGAGGGAATGGAACCCAGATAAAGGGTGGGGCTTCCTCCAATATGGTGCCCTGTGCAGAAACAGAATAAGCTATTTGTGTGACCCCTGCAAAAAGAAGAACTCCCTTGACATGTCTGCCAAGCCCCATTGACGCATTTTGTAACGCAGATTACATAAATATGTAAGGAGGCAAGCGGGTTAGTCCTACATCTCAATTTCGGCTCTCACAGGAAGAATAATAGTGCTGAGAGGAAAGTTTCCATCCGTAAAGGGGGTTCCTCCTTCTTATATGAGAGCCTCCAAGTGTACAGGGGGCTCTCCTTTTCAGGCTGTTGTTCTCCACACATGGAGACCAATGAAGGAGATGGAAGTAGCACACTCTCTTCCTGTTGAATTTACTTCATTTACATGAAGAATTGCTCAATAGGGTTTTCAAGAAATTGAAAATGGGTTAACCTTGTTTTGCCCATCTTGTAATCAACTGGACAAAAGTGTGCAAAACATCCTAAAGCTATATTATAATGTGTAAGTAAAAAGCAAACAGATCAAGAGTCAGTTGCAAGTACCTCTGTTTCTTTTTGTTTCCGCTGATCAAATGACATTTTTTCTTCATCTGCCTTTTGTTCCCAGTGCAATGTTTCAATTTGCTGCTTCAAAACAGCTACCCTTTTCCTTACCAGTTCTTTCAGCTCCTTATATTTATTGATCTGGACACAAGAATAAAGTATCAGCAAATAACAATATTAGTAGTACGGTATTTCAGTTTGTTCCCCGCCTCTCCTCATGACTTGAGGTGGGGTCTAACATAATTAAAACACACAGATAAAACACAATGCTATTAAAGTACATATATTTAAACACACAGGACAAAGATTAAAGCACAAATACTAATAAAATGTAAATCTAAAATGTATTGTTTAAAATTGACTGGGAAGGCCTACTAGAAGATATATAACTTTAATAAATTAACTGATCATCGCTTCCGTACATGTCTACTAAGAAGACTTCTGTTTTTATTAATGCTTATTCAAAGAAATTATGTCTAGGATGGCAGACTTAACAGGAGATATTTTAAAGTCACTATAGTAAAAAGAACATCTTATTTCTGGCTTGAACTGACTTATTACATTAGTAACATAAGAAATAAAAGGGTATTAAATATTTTACATATAGGAAACTGTTCATAATATTGTATACCAACGTGCAAAATAATTACAGCAAGAAATAACATAGTTAAGAGGTATTTCTTTTTGTATTTAAACACAAATAGTTTTGCAGAGTCTAACTTATATGTGACAAGTAGGATTACACCTAAATATACAGAGTTTGCTTTCCTGGAAATTGCTTGCAGTTTCCCAAATGCAATGGATTACTTTTCCAAAATGTTCTATGCATCTGTTCAATCTTTCAGTGAGATGAAGTACGACTTCCCCCCTCCATGATGTTCTTCTGAAATGTATTGTTGAAGGCTTTCATGGCCGGAATCACTGGGTTGTTGTAGGTTTTTCCGGGCTATATGGCCATGTTCTAGAGGCATTTTCTCCTGACGTTTCGCCTGCATCTATGGCAAGCATCCTCAGAGGTAGTGAGGAAATGTACATAACTCTAGGAAACTATTGTGGTCTGATGATGCTGGATGAGATACTATACCACTGGCTTATAATGTTTCCGGGGACTTATTTTATCCTTATGGATTACAAAACTTATATGAGCTGCAAGTTTACGTTCACATTGCTGATGATACCCAGCTTAGTTTTTCTTTCAACCAATATCAAAAATGATGAGGAAGCTCTGAGCCATTGTCTAAACGCAATAAAGGAACATACAGTGTTCCCTCGCTGTTTTGCGGTTTGCTTCACGCTGACTTGCTGTTTCGTGGGTTTTTTGAAAATATTAAAAATAAAAAATATAAAATATTTATGTCCAGTGAAGGTCAAGGACCCTGGAAGTGCGGCAGCCTGAGGCATGGCAGGGAAGGCCAGCCTCCCTGGCCTCCACAGACCCCGGAAATGCGGTGTCTTGAGGCACGGCAGGGAAGGCCTGGCTCCCTGGCCTGCTGCTGCCTGCATGGCTCCGGAGGTCTGCCGGGGTCTGTGGAGGTCAGAGAGGAAGGCAGGCACCCTCGGGATGGGCAGGGAGGCGGGTAAGGAAGCGCGGGTAAGAAAATAATATATAAAATATATAAAATAATGTATAAATATTAAAATTAATATAGCGTCCCTACTTCGCAGATTTTCACTTTCCTGGAACAGAACCCCCGTGATAAGTGAGGGAACACTGTATATGGGCTAACAATTTAATGTGATCTTGGTCATTAAACAAACTATTAAAGCCTTGGGATTACAAGCCTGTTCTAGGTCAGGTTTGCAGCTGAGTGCATCTAGATCTGGCATTGCAGTTGGATATTGAAGTGCCTCACTCAGTCACTAAAAATATTTTTTCTTTGTTTTGGCTTGTGTTCCGGATACTCTTGTTCCTAACAGATGTGGCAGATATTATATCTATTGCTGAGGTTTTTGGCTTGTACTAAAGCGTTAATATTTATCTACGAAGCTCTTTTTCATTCCAAGGCCCCATCTACGCTGACCATTTAATGCATTTCAAAGCTAGCATCAAACTGTGGCAGCTAGACAATGAATGCCCACAAAAAGCACACAGAAGTAAGCCCTTACTGTCATCAGTGCTCTGTTGTTTATTAAATCATCATCCAAATCTCAAACTGGTTCCAGGATTTCCTACGTAATCATCTGCACAGCAAAGCCAATTTCTTCAATATCGGTTTGAAACTTACTTAATTGGTCAGTGTAGATGTGTCCTATATAATTTTGAATATTTATTTTTATGTTATTACTTTTGTGATTCCACCCCATAATCTGCATTAGCTCTTCTCTAGATCCAAAATATATATGAATGTATGTCTAAATATATAAATAAATGTAACCTATTATATTGGAAAAACCTTATGACTAATATTATTAAGCATCTAAGTTGATAACAGCAATAGAAACAAGAGGGATACTAGAGTAATCTGAGTCTTACATCCAACTGCTTATCCCAATTCTTGCAGTTCTTGTCAAATGTTAAACCAAACTAATTCAATGTATTGATTCTAGGAGGGTATAGTAATTGAATTTAGGTCGGCAAATCAGCTTCTGTTATGAGAAAATACTAGCAAGCATCCTAAATCTTAACTTCAATCCACTGTTTTACACACTACATGTAAATTTCTTTTGGTCATATTTACCTGATTTTCTTCCAGAAAAACATCTCTAACTCCACGCAGTCTCTCCTCTGTGAACTTTCCTTCAAACATTCTCCAGGCCTTATCAATATCCTGTAGTTCTGTCTGCAATTCTTTTTTATTTTCTTCTCGCTTCGCTTGTTCTTTCATATGATCTCTCAGCACTTTCTTAGCCGCATCTACTTTTTTAATTTGGTGAGTAGTTCTCTCCTTTGCTTTAATATATTGAGGCCTCTTTTGATTCAAAACACCTTCCAAAGCTCTAAGAAGAGTACAGATTTGCCAATGTCCACCATAATAATAATAATAATAATAATAATAATAATAATAATAATAAAAAAAAATCTTAACTTCAAAACCTTGTTTTTATTCTGCCCTATCTCCCCAGGACTACTCAGGGTGGATTGTTTAATCACAATTAACAGAATATTTTTCTAGACTCCAGCTGCCATCAACTTAATTCTAAAACTTACTTAATTAGAATCAGTTCAAGAACCATGATAGCAAATTATCTCAAAACACTGAGGATAATAGAATTCGTTGGCAAACTACAGTCTACCCCAAAAGATCTTGAATCTTAAATCCAACTGCTGAGTGACACTTTTGTAAATCCCACTGAATTAACTGGTTTACTCTATTCAGGATAGCAAATGAATTAAGTCAAAATATCTGTTTTCCTCTACTACTGACAAAAAGTAGAAAAAGACTCAGTAGTGTATCCCATCCACACTCCAAAACTAAACACAAGGTCAGTTATTTGCTGGAATTGTCTAAGATACACTTGCAGATTAAAGCTGTAAATAATCCTCCTGCCTACTGGGAAGTGAAGGGAATATTCTGAAACGTTTTTTCTGAGTAAACTTCCATAGACTAAATCTAATGATCTCTAAAGCAAGTCCCTTTAAAGGCCAATTCAGAAGTTACAGATATAATTTCCTCATGTGCCATGAAATTAAAGGGGGGGGGGATCTTCCCATTTCAGCAATGCCTATTATGTGTAACACAACCTCCCAACATAGATGTGTAACAAGCTGATACAGGCATTTCACTAGCTACAATACTTACTTTATTTCTTTTTCAATATGTTGATGGTTTCTATTTAATGTTCCAAGGACCTTTTTCTTGGCTTTTACTGTATCTTCAGCATCAGACACAGCACTTTTCTTAGCATCGATACGGATGTTTTTTTCTGAAAATTTATCATTAAGAGAGCCAATTTTCCGTTCATTGTGATATAATCGGAAAAGCTGCAACTGCTTCTTACTCTCTTTCAGCTCTTCAGATAGGATCTGGTAACACTCTGCCTGTAAACAGTCAAATTATAGCTGTTAACCAACATGCAACAGCAAAAGCTATTTTTGGGTAAAAATACATTTATTTCATTTACCTCTCTCCTTATCCCTACAACTGGGCCAAAGCAGACTCATAGTATAAAACAAAGACAATACTGTTTAAAAGACAGCAAAGACTTTATTATTAAAATGTAATTAAATGATCAATAAGATATTATAAATATTGAAAATATGCAATAAAAAGAAAACAAACTTTTTAAAAATATGCTTTAAAAAGCAAACTCAAAAGTGGTTTACAAACAATATAGGAGTGTATTAGAAGGGTTAAAAAAACAAAGAAATGTCAGTTCCTAAAAGCTTGTCAGAATAAAAAAATCTAGCCCAGGCATGAGCAAACCGGCCCTCCAGGAGTTTTAGACTTCTACAATCGTGGGAGTTTAAGTCCAAAACACCTGGAGGGCCAAAGTTTGCCCATGCCTGTTCTAGCCTCTCCTGGAAGGAATTTCAAACCTTAGGCGCAGCCACTGAGCAGGCTTCTGTCACGATACAAATTGACAGGTTTGTTCAGATTACAGTCCTGAATCAAAATATATATGGCATTACAGATCAACATCACAATTATAAATTGTGCCCAGAAATTTTGAAAACAGAAAAAAAAGAATATAACAAAAATCTACGATAAATTACTGGAATGGTTGACAGAAGGGGAGATGATAAAAAATTGTATGCTAAAGTGGTCAGGAAATTTTAAAAGACTGGTACCGTTGGCAGATTGGGAATTAATGTGGGGAAAAAATTAAACTATACATATGCTTCTGATTTAAAAGAAAACTGGTTAAAAATGTTTCACCGGTGGTACATTACACCAAAAGAACAATAAATTTAATGTATTGTTGGAAATGTAATGAACATGAAAGAAACTTCTACCATCTTTGGTGGACTTGTAGGGAAGCTCAGAAATATTGGAAATTAATTTATGAAGGATGCCAACAAATCTTGTCTAGTTCTAACATTTTCAGTGGAAGCCCTTCTCGTGCTTCCACCAGCTTCACAGGCAAGTCTGGTAGGAGCAAGTGGAGAACTTCCTTGGTGACTGCTTCACAGCGTTGAAGCTGCCATCCTAGAGAGAGTAGGATAGTCCACTCCTTGCTGTCTTGTCATTATTTACATTTTTATTTTATTCTCTTTTAGGAACTGACCACAAAGCAGTATGCTCTTCTGCTGAATTTCATCATTTTAAAATTTGTTTGAATTACCTCTTCCTTTTCTAATCTTGCACGTTTGCGTTCAGCTGCAACATTTTTTTTCTTATTGTAACTGAATTGCGCCTCTTCCTCTGCTTTTTGCAAACGTTTTTTCTTTTCTGCATATTCAGCAGCAAGCTCCCCTGAATGACTAATTTCCTCAAGGAGCTGTGTTCTCTCTTTGGGTTTCTTCATTGCAATTGTTTCAACTTCACCCTGAAACAAGACAGCAAATCTAAAGCATAATAAATTGCTGAACAAATACAAAAGTCTGTCACCAAAGCAAAATGGATCATCATTACTGGGACTGGGACGGGGGGGGGGGGGGGGGGGGGGGGGGGGTTCCTATGAACTTAGTTCACACTGCATGCCCAGCCACAGTTTAGCTGTGGATTAGTACAAGCACTGAAGTGACTAAAACAAAATGAGAAAGATTCTTCAATAGGAAATGGCTTTGAAAACCATAATTTGGAATTGTGTCTGAATTGAGTTTAATTTGTTTTTTTTACAGCTGATGGCCTATCTACAGACACTGCTGCCCTATAGAATAGAACTCCTGAGAAGAGGGAAACAAAAACAGACAAAACTACTGTTTTCCAGTAGGTTTGAAAGCCCAAATAATTTTTAAAATCATTCCATGGTGAAACACAAGTCATAAGACAACGTAGTATCAATTAGTGAAAATTCAAAAACCCTGTAAACAAAAATTTGCTCGTAATTTTGAAGTTATGCTAAAGGCAGATTTAGGTACGAGTAAACATTTTTGCAATATTAATTGCCTTACACTTTTTATTTTTTCTTTCAGAGAAAGACAGAATTCAAGAAAATACTGTATTTTAAAATATATACTCACATTTATAATTACATTATGGTTAATAACTGTGCAGAACATCTATGTTTCTATGAATGTATATACCACAACTAAATCAGAAAGGGCAGTTAAGGAATGGTCTCAAGGCCAACCAAAAATCAGAACATATTAAACAGACATAAAACCATAATAGGGCTTTTGAAGGCAGAAAACATTTCTCTATCGTCTCTATTACAACAGCAATCTGTAAATCCCAGGCTTGCTTCGCCCCATACCTGGCCTAAAGAAGACTGAAAAAAATGTTGTGACTTTTGGGAATTTCATATTAATAGTGAGGTTTCACAAAAGTAAGTGAGGTTAAAGCACAGCATTTGTGTCCAATTTAAACACACAAAAATATAGATCTGCCGAAAGTTGCAGTCTGCAATGTGGCATCAGTTAGTTGGGAGAAGCCACATTATTTCAACAGAACAGAAAAACGTAGCTGTGCCCTAGGCCCTTTGAACAATTCTATTTCATAGTACAGGTGTCTCAAAACTCACCATAGGGAAAATGGAAAATTGTAGCTAAATTTACCTTTATTAATTTTTTCTACGTACGGAGAATTTTGGGACATTCTGTAGTTACATTTCACATGCACATCTGACATGATCAAATCTCAAAGAACCAGATATGTAACAAAACAGCACCATGTGCAACTTAAATTCATTGTTTGTTTGTTTTTTAATGCCAGCTGTAATAGATCTAACCTTTGCCGGCTAGGCCGAAGCCTAAGAGTCAATGGGCCTGATTGGTTTAAGCACCAAGGGGAGGAGTTGGGTGTAAGTGAAAAAGGCTGTCACTTCTGACAGGAGGGGAGAAGGGATTTAACATCACAGAGAGAAGGGTTTTAACAACAGAGAGAGAAATAGGATTTTAGCAGAGAAGGATTTAGACAGGGAGAAGGAAGCTTTTGAGTGAGCCAAGCAGTTAGGGAATAAGAAAGGGACAAGGGCTTCAGTATTACTGTACTTGGAGGGTCAGTGAAGAAGACATGGCAACTTGTATTAATAGAAAGTACAAGAGAGCTTATTGCCCTGAAAAGTAGATTGCAGAAAGTCTGATTACTCTGTGAGACAGTCAGGGGGGACTGATCTCAGGAACACACTGTTTCAAAGAGTTGAATAGTGTGGAGAAGTCACTTCAAGTTAAAGCTACACCTTTTGTGGAAGTCTCATATCTAATAAGCCAAAGCCTCAGTAACAGAATTACGCATGTGTACCACTCATTTTATGAGTTGACATATTCTTAAAGTTCAATAAATCTGTTATTAGTTTATCTTTAACTGGTGTCTGCCTCAGTCTGTCGTACTCAGTGAAACTAAGTCAGCCTAAAAAAACCTCTTTACAGTCCAGTCAGCAAGTAAAAGAGCTCATAAAGAAGAACAGAAGCCAGGGCGCATATTACCTAAAATACATTCACACCTTTGTTTCCTCAAACAATATAATTGAGGTGGTGGAGGCAAAAATCTACCAGAATCATCGGTCTCTAATATCTTTAGTTATTTCCTCACTAAAATTCGTGTCACTCAGGTGTGTTAAGGGACACCTCAGTCCTTAATCTCCCTTACATTGGTGGCAGCGGTGGGATAGAAAGGTTTTCCCCCTCGCCAACGGCTGAACGGTCCTTAAACCTGTTTACACCAGCCATCACAAATTCTCTGAAGGCAATGGAGCACTGCTTAGTGATATTACAACCCTCTGATACCTGTAGTAAAGTATGCTCTTATTTTCTAATCTATCATTTTTGTAACTAAAATGTTTACCTGAAAAACCAGACAATTCTTTGCTCTGGTAATTATGCCAATTTTTCCAAGTTCTTTAGTATATTCAGATCGGCTGACCACAGAATCGTTGATAAGAAATTCAGATCCATTGCCTAATTTTGAAAGAAAGAGAAGGATACACATTTCACCCATTTTGAGATATTAAGTGTTCAGTTATACATGCAACCCAGTACTGTACATGATATGGTACTGAATACATTTCTTTCCATAATTACACTTTTTGTAAGTCAACAGTTTAAAAACAGATCGGTGTCTCACATGCATTATCTTGATGTGATTTACAATCACAAGCATAGTTGCTCAATGGTTCTAAATAGTTACAACACAGCTGCAACACCTCTGTGCATCTCTGTGTGTATGTTTTGGTGCTTAAAGTTACATTCCAAGACATTTACAATGAAAGAAAATCCTGGGGTTTGATAGAGTAATACAGAATCACATTCTGTCAAGCTTCACATAGGACACCAACAAACTCAAACCTCTGAGGAATAAAGAAACACCAATATAAAGCAAACAACTTAAAATGCAAAAACACTACACTATAGGCAGTCCTCAAGTTACAAACAAGATAGCTTCTGTAGGTTTGTTCTTAACTTGAATTTGTTTGTAAGTGTAACACCAGCAAAAAAATAGATATAGGGAAGGCTTAACACCCCTGTGGTGTTTGTTTTGCTGTCTACTCCACTGTTCTGAAGATTTCACCTCACTTTCGGTCCCTGCAATAATTGGGTTTTGAAAAATGTGGCTTGTTGTGGAAACAAGGATTGGCAAGAAACCTTCAGTGGAAACCCCTTCCCCCATGATAACTCTTTCAGAAGTGAATCTCCCTTCCTAGGGGTAGATTCATTTCACACCCATTCTTAACTATGAGTTGTTTGTAAGTCAGATATTTGTAACTTGGGACTGCCTATAGTCTAAAGCAAAACTGTAGGCCACAAACTCATATGGGGATCCTGTAACTGAATATAGGGGGGATTGTGAAAAATGTGTGTAGCTTGCCACCTAGTGGCTGTTTTAGACATTTACATGAATCTATTAGTACAACATGCAGCAAATTCTTCACATTTACCTCATAAAAAAGGAAATTCAGCCTGCTTTGTTTAGCAAGCCTCGCAAATGTTGATTTTTCTTGATGGCTATGTTTTCAGTTTCTGAAATATTTTCCTTCAAATTTTGAAACCCCCCCCCCCCCACACACACACACATTGTTTGCTTCCAAACCCCTATTTCTCTCTCACCTCTCAGAGGGAGGGTACTTTGATTATGCTTTTTCTGCATGGCTGAAGGGGGTTTGATTGGATATACTGAAGCCTGACAGACACACACACACACACACATATTTCTTGAGACTCGAAAAACTTTTGCTTCAAAAAGGGCACCACAGTTGAAAAATTTTAAGAACACCTGCACTAGATCACATTTGCAAACTGTAATCACTATAAAAATATTGCTATCCACTTTTTGACCCAGTAATTTATGCACTAACAATTACAAAATATATTTTATTTAACTGACTAAATTAGCATTAAGAGTTTTATGTGTTCTGTTACATTTTCATATAAACTACATATTCAATACTTAGGGGGAAAACCCACCTCGAATAATTCTTGCAAAGGTTTTCTCTTCTCCATTTTCCTCTCTGTACACCATTCTTACACTTCCAGTTGATGAAACCGGTTTTCCAACATGCGCCCCATGTATCAGCTCTCGAATGTGTTTCACTCTTAAATTAGATATCTTCTCACCCATTACGAAACTAATGGCATCCATTACATTTGATTTTCCTTTAATTGTACAAAATATGTAAATTACAGCTTTCTAATCCGGAGTGGACAAATATAGGCAGCTATATGTAAATTTCAGATTTGACAATTAAAGTTCTTCAATTAAAGAACTGCCTTCTAAACTTGGAGATAACAACTGCAGCACTCCTGCCTCCTTACCCTCCATGGATGTCATTTCAGCTATTTTCCCCCCAGGATTTATATGGTACTGTGGATTTCTGAAGGTGGGTATATTGTCTAGTTTGCAGGTGATTTGTGCATGCCTTGGACTCTTTCCAGAGGAAGAGAATTTTAAACTGGGTGTTCTAGGGAGCTGCTTACTCCTCAAATTTCTGCTCTAAATCAAGTTACCCTTATCTGCTAGATATGTTCTGATCCATTTCTGAGCTGTTTCAAACTTAATATGAAACCACTAGATGAGCTTGTGAAAATAAAAGTACTCTCCCTGGCCTTGCATGCTCATTCTCTTCCAATGTGGCCACAGAGAAGAGGATAGAAATTTCCATTTTTGTCTTAGGATTCACTATAATTTGTAAGAATTCTGGTATATGGCCAAACTGAGATTTATCACTATTTTTAATGGTCATAATCATTGATGAATATAAACTATATAAATGGAAATAAATAAGTAGAAATAAGTCTACTTGAAATAATTATTGAACTTGGTTTCTTTTGATTAACCAAAGATAAGAATTAAGGCTAGAATATAATTAATAAAAATAAAAACTTTATTTATATACCGTCCTATTTCCCTGAAGGGACTCAGCAAACAACAACAAAGTCAGTAAACATTCGATGTCGTACAAAAGAAAAGACATAGACACCCAAAACCTTAGCTATACATCAACACTTTCTATTACTAATATTGCAGTAAAGTTGTATAGTACAACATAGTAATATATAATACTAATATTGTGCTATGCTAATGCTATAATATATTGTAATGTGCTCTGAGTCCCCTTTGGGGTGAGAAGGGCGGGATATAAATGTCGTAAATAAACAAATAAATAATACTTCTAATACTGCTCTGAAGTCATCGCTTGTACATTGCCAAAACCTATAATATGTCTCAATAATTTATAGGGTTCTGATCTGATTAAAATATCTTAAATTAACTGTATTAAACTTTAATACAAACGAATCATACATAAAATAAAAATAATTATTTTTGGAATAAAAATAATAATCTATTTATTTTAGCAGACCCATCCAAATATGACTTTTCCTTATGATATGAGAGGTAATACTGTTTTTTTATGAGCATATCTACAATGCAGTTTTTAAAAAGAAAACAGTTGTGATTAAAGAACACTCAGATAATACTTTACATAAAAATATATCTGAATAAAATTCTATGCAATATATAGGAAAAGTTTAAAGCATATACAGCTTGAGTAGTCCTTATCCAAAATACTTGAGACCAAAAGTGTTTGAGATTTCTTTTAAATTTTGGAATATTTCCATATATTTGCATTTGAGAGCAGAGTGAAGAGAGGGGCCATGAAGGCAGTTCCATCTTGTCTCCAGTACCATCAGTTGGGAGCCCCCCCCCCCCCCAAGCCAGCAAAGCTCTTTTCAGGTCTATTCCACACAGCTGAATAAAATCCCACATTTTTTCTTTTAACTAGAATATTTGGCAGTGTGGACTCAGATAATCCAAAACAGATATTTTGGAATGTTCTGCCTTGATATTCTTCTACGTTATATGGCTGTGTGGAAGGGCCCTCAGATATCCATGCAAGATGAACTCACTCTTTCCAAACTATCAATTGGGGTCTCAACATGAGATTTTTTTTTCCGGATTGAATTCTGATTATTTTATGAAGGAATTTGTAGATATCATGTACTGATGGTTGTGTCAGTTGTACTCTATTAAAAAGTTATTTAAAATATTTTCTTTATTAAAGCCATTTGTTCCTTGCTTCTTGCATCTGAACACTATATACATGCAATAACAAATAAAAAACCAAGTCATATGCAGAGCTGACAGATGATAGAATCCTGTTTTGTGGATCAAAAACTGAGGGCCCTTCCACACAGTTATATGTATATACCTAGAATATCAAGGTATATTCAATATCTGCTTTGAACTGGGTTATCCGAGTACACACTGCCACATGATCCAGTTCAATGTGGATTGTATACAACGATATGGAAGAGGCCTGACTACACATCAACAAGAAAGAGAAATGTCCTGGAGAGGATAGGAAGGCCTCCTTTTCAGGTCTTCGTACGTTACCTGAACCGTTGGGACCAATAACACAACTGAATTTCCTGAATGGCCCAATGCATTGTTTCCCTCGCCACGATTTGAAATTCTCCACAACCAAAAGCTTTAAGTGTCCCATCTGTGGAGGATGAAGAAAGAACATGCCATTATTAATATGGAAGTGGGAAGAAGGAAACTTGGAACATAAAATGTAGTTTCCCCCCTTTATCATGAAATAGAATGTAATAACTAAAATAACAACTAAGCTAAAAACCCGGGGCCCTTCCACACTGCCCTATATCCCAGAATATCAAGGCAGAAAATCCCACATTATCTGAGTGTGGACTCAGATAACCCAGTTCAAAGCAGATATTGTAGGATTTTCTGCCTTGATATTCTGGGATAGAGGGCTGTTGGGAAGGGTCCTTAGAATACTAATAATCAAAGTCTGTGATACAATTGATATTAAATTAATTTGAATAGGCAGGCAATGCTGGACCACAGAGGCTTCTCGATGGAGCCAGAATTTTCATTTTTCATGTTTTTTCGCCACAGTCATTATAAAGGTGTAGCTTAAGGTCCTTCCACACAGCCCTATATCCCAGAATATCAAGGCAGAATCACGCACAATATCAGCTTTGAACTGGGTTATCTGAGTCCACACTACCATATAACCCCATTCAAAGTGGATAATGTGGGATTTTATACAGCTGCGTGGAAGGGGCCCTAGTTCTCCCCCCCCCCACCCCCAATTTATGTTTGATATGTATTTCCTTTCAAACTGCATGTTTTTCAGTAGGAAAGACACGTTGGCACTCTGCTGGATATATCCTGTGGGCTGAAAGGCCCTAACCCCCTTTCACACCACTGTATAAAATCCACATTGAACTGGATTATATGGCACTGTATTACTTTTAAAATAGATATCGTCATACCAGTAAGTTTTGATGTTAAAATATATAACAGAAACCAGTAATAACAATGAAACCAACTGTGTCCCCTTCTGCACAGCTGAATAAAATCCCACATTATCTGATTTGAACTGGAATATATGGCAGTGTGGATGCAGACAACCCAGTTCAAAGTAGATATTGTGGGATTTCTGCCTTCATATTCTGGGATATCGGTCTGTATGGAAGGACCCTATGTATTCTTTCCTTTCAAGCTGCATGTTTTTCAGTAGTAAAGACATGTTGGCAATTAGCTGGATAGATCCTGTGTGCTGAAAGACCCTAAGCCCCTTTCCACACCACTGTATAAAATCCACATTGAACTGGATTATATGGCATTGTGAATCAAGATAACCCAGTTTAATGCAGGTATAGTGGGATTTTCTGCCTTGATTTTCTGGGATATAGGGCTGTGCGGAAGGACCCTATCTATTATTTCCTTTCAAGCTGCAGGTTTTTCAGTGTTGACTATGAGGAGCGGCTTAAAGAGATGGGCATGTTTAGCCTGAAGAGAAGGCTGAGAGGAGACACAATAGCCATGCATAAATACGTGAGAGGAAGTCATAGGGAGAAGGGAGCAAGCTTGTTTTCAGCTGCCCTGGAGATTAGGACGCAGAACAATGGCTTCAAACTACAAGGAGATTCCATCTGAACATTAGGAAGAACTTCCTGTGAGAGCTGTTCAGCAGTGGAACTCTCTGCCCCCGAGTGTGGTTGGAGGCTTTTTCTTTGGAAGCTTTTAAACAGAGGCTGGATGGCCATCTGTCAGGGGTTGTTTTTTTTTTTTGTGTGTGTGTCAGGAGCAACCCCTCCTGTTGTGAGAGAATTGGCCGTCTGCAAGGACGTTGCCCAGGGGACGCCTGGATGATTTTTGATGTTTTATCATCCTTGTAAGAGGCTTCTCTCATGTCCCTGCATGAGGAGCTGGAGCTGTGCTTTGAATGCTATTTTCCTGCTTCTTGCTAGGGTCCATCAGGTCTCATCCAACTCTATGATTCTATGACTCAAGATTGTCGTGTCAGGAGTGACTTGAGAAACTGCAAGTCGCTTCTGGTGTGAGAGAATTGGCCGTCTGCAAGGACGTTGCCCAGGTGATGCCCAGATGTTTTGGTATTTTATCATCCTTGTGAGAGGTTTCTCTCATGTCCCCACACGAGGAGCTGGAGCTGATAGAGGGAGCTCATCTGCGCTCTCCCTGGATTCGAACCTGCGACCTGTCAGTCTTCAGTCCTGCCGGCAGAGGGGTTTAACCCACTGCGCCACTGGGGGCTCCTGACACAACAAAAAAAAAAAAGGATTGTTGTAGGTTTTTCGGGCAATATGGCCATGGTCTAGAGGCATTCTCTCCTGACGTTTCGCCTGCATCTATGGCAAGCATCCTCAGAGGTAGTGAGGTCTCATAGATGCACCTCGCCCCTCACCAGGGCCAGGATCATCCACCGCACCTCACAACCTCTGAGGATGCTTGCCATAGATGCAGGTGAAACATCAGGAGAGAATGCCTGTAAACCATGGCCATATAGCCCAAAAAACCTACAACCCAGTGATTCCGGCCATGAAAGCCTTCAATACAAAAAAAAAGACTCAAGATAACCCAGCTCAAAACAGATATTGTGATTTATCTGCCTTGATATTCTGGGTTACAGTCCCACAATATCTGCTTTGAACTGAGTTATCTGAGCCCACACTGCCATATAAACCAATTCAAAGCATAAAATGTGGAAAATGTGTGGAAAGGGCCTAGAATAGGCCTCAGAAGTGTGTTTGGAGCACCAATGCTGTCAATGGCACCCAGTGGTACATAGATAGCCTCTTATCTAAATTATAACAAAACTAACATTGGATGAATGGCTATTTAAGATAAGAAGCTGAGGTTTTTAATCATCCAAATTCCCCTCTTCAAAGGCCACAGGAACAAGCTGAGACGACAGAGACCTTCCCGCCTTCCTCGAGGCCTCGCGCTCCCACCAAGCCCCGCCCACCGCGCTGGACCTGAGCTGAGGGAAAGAACTCTCGCGAGAATACAAAGCGAGACTCTTGTTAGGAAAGCGCGGGAAGTTCCATATGAGCTTTTTCATACCAGGCGTGGGCAAACTTCGGCCCTCCGGGTGTTTTGGACTTCAACACCCACAATTCCTAACAGCCTACCGGCTGTTAGGAATTGTGGGAGTTGAAGTCCAAAACACCCGGAGGGCCGAAGTTTGCCTATGCTCTTGACTTTAGTCAGAACGAGAGTTCTGAAATGTAGTGAGGGAGGGGGGAGCGAGGAGGGAGGGGGCGTGGCCACGGTCTCCTAGCAACCGTGTGTTGTTGCTGCTGCTGCCGCCGAAGCCTATGCTCCCGGTTGAAAAAGGAAGCCACTAATTCGGCCTAGGCAGGCATTTCCCCGCGCTTTCCGAGAACCAGTGAAGCCACGGCGATGCATAAGATGGACTGCAACCGCCAAGACCTGGCGGAAGCCATGAGGCTCCAGAGGCGACGCTGCGAGGAGCTGCAGAGGCAAGGGCGGCTGTTCGACGCCCGGGCCAGGATCATCGGGGTAAGGCAGGCCCTCCAGCATGGCATCCTGGCCACCCCTTGGATGGCCAGGATGCCATGTTCTGGGATCCTGGGATGTGTGGTTTGGCAAGGCTGAAGGCCTTGTGCAAAACTGCTTTGAGTCCCCATCGGGGGTGAGAAAAGTGGTATACAAATACTGTAAATAATAAATAAATAGGGTTGTTGTAGGTTTTTTCGGGCTATATGGCCATGTTCTAGAGGCATTCTCTCCTGACGTGTTGCCTGCATCTATGGCAAGCATCCTCAGAGTAGTCATGGGCTCACTACCTCTGAGGATGCTTGCCATAGATGCAGGCGAAACGTCAGGAGAGAATGCCTCTAGACCAGGGGGCCTCAAAATCCCGCTAGCATCTCCCGAAGGACTCGATGCGGCTTACATAGGCCAAGGCCTCAAAACACAACACAACAATACAACACCTAAAGCAAATTAAAAACAGTTAAAGCAATATTAACAACAAGCAATAAACAATACATCAAGACACTATAAAAACTGAGCCGGGCCAGAGTAATGGGTACAAGATTAAAAGTGCTGATGTGACAGGAGGTATGTAAGGATTATGGGGTAAGTGCAGTGTGCAGCAATCTTAGTTCTAATAAAGTGCTTCTGGGACTTGTTATTGGAGATTCCTATTCTGGAAAGGCACATTGGAACAGCCAGGTCTTCAAGTTCTTTCTAAACACTGCCAATGTAGGGGCCTGTCTGAGATCTTTTGGGAGGTTGTTCCAGAGTCGGGGGGCCACCACAGAAAAGGCCCTGTCTCGTGTCCCCACCAAGCGCCTGTGCAATGTGTTTGAGGCCTTGGCCTATGTAAGCCGCATCGAGTCCTTTGGGAGATGCTAGTGGGGTACAAATAAAGTTAATAATAATAATAATAATTATTATTATTATTTCGTGGTATTTATAGTTTAAATAACAAAAATGTATAATTGTAATATACAACTGTATTTAATAAACCAAAAACTAATTAATTAACTTACCTGACTTATTTGTTCACTCATCAGTTGGTTTCTTTTGTTGGTCTTGATATTATTTAACTTGTGTGAGGTGCCGTGAGCTAAAATAAGTCAGGGGGAAATCTTTAAGTCACCTGCCTATGAGTGACTTTTTTGTTGCTGAATTTCATTGGCTAAATCTTCAATTGAAGGTTGGTATTTTGTACACATCAAGCCCGAGCATGTGCTACTAACTTCATCTGCTGCTATTTCTAATGGTGGGAAATGGCACCCATAGCACAGGTCCTTGCCTCTCCCAGTACCCCCCTCACTTATCTCAGTAATGATGGTCAATTAGAAATCCACGACACCCCAGAATAGTAGATTAGACGATGGTTGCTGTGGTTATGTGGCTGCTGGCAATGGCGATCACAGGGCCCCCAGAGATGTGTCCCCTGCGGCATTCCGCTGCTCTCTGCTTCTCTCCCCTAAAAGCCTAACCAGAACGTCCCAGAACAAGACGCTCTATGCTGAAGTTCTGTTGTTTTGGCCTACAGGCCTCCAATACAGCAGAATGCCACGGGGGACACATGTCTGGGTGCCCTGTGTCTACACTACACTACAGCAAATCTTTAATCCTTAGCTACTGCACCTGGCCATGCAGGAGCCGAGGATGAAATGTCTTTCTCAGCATGTGGCCCCATACTTCTCTGTACGTGGCCGCGTGTCATAAAAATGGCTAAGCGTGTCAGTGCTGACACGCGTGTCATAGGTTCGACATCATGGCTCTAGACAATGGCCATATAGCCCGAAAAAACCTACAACAACCCAGTGATTCTGGCCATGAAAGCCTTCAACAATAAATAAATAAATAAATAACTACATCTCCAGAGGACAGGAGCAGGGTTCAAAACGATCTTGATAGATTAGAGAGATGATTGGCCAAAACTAACAAAATGAAGTTCAACAGGGACAAATGCAAGATACTCCACTTTGGCAGGAAAAACGAAATGCAAAGATACAGAATGGGGGACGATGCCTGGCTCGAGAGCAGTACGTGTGAAAAAGATCTTGGGGTCCTCGTAGACAACAAGTTAAACATGAGCCAACAATGTGATATGGTGGCAAAAAAAGCCAATGGGATTTTGGCTTGCATCAATAGGAGCATAGTGTCTAGATCTAGGGAAGTAATGCTACCCCTCTATCCTGCTTTGGTTAGACCACACCTGGAATACTGTGTCCAATTCTGGACACCACAATTGAAGAGAGAGATTGACAAGCTGGAATGTGTCCGGGGGAGGGCGACTAAAATGAGAACAAGCCCTATGAGGAGCAGCTTAAGGAGCTGAGCACACAGAACTCTCATACTTAAGGCCATCCAGTCCAACTCCCTTCACCAAGACAAGAAAACATAAAGCCCTCCCAACAAACAGCCATCCAGCCATAGATAATAGATAGATAGATATGATTCACACACACACACATATATAGTATCATAGATTTGAAAATGACCCTTAAAGAAGGGCAATTATATGTTGCATGTTCCAGAGTGGGCAAATCAGACAATCTCCACATCAACACTGACAAAGAAACAGCAAGAAATACCCAGAAGCATAAAGAAATTACATATATTACAAACCAATACTTTCTCATTACTTTATTCTCCAGATCACTAGACTGGGCCACAGCAACATGTGGCAGGGGATGCTATCTGATTATTTTCAGAAATTGCTTCTGAAAATTAGACTTGTACATCTGAACCATGGCTTTGTTTCTATTTATGACAGATTGACACAGAAGCTTTGGATGCTCAAATCAAAGACAGAAGGATCCGAGAAGCGACCCAGAAGGCCTGTGATGCAGCAATTGGTATATGACAGAACAAGTCATTTTAAAATTGCAATTTATCGTGAAACTATTGATATCGGTTGCTTTTGCCACTGCTTTTTGTTATAAATTTGCTTTTGTGGAGTTGGATTATATACATTTTAATGAAACTATATATATATATATATATATATATATATATATATACACACACACACACACAAGACAGAAATAGTCCAAATTAGATCGAGACAGATAGTTTTCAGAACTTGCCACATCTGTGGATTTGGTTTTTGCAGATTTGATTAAAATGTTTTTTCTATGAATCAATATGTCTTCCAGTACTGCTATGAGTATATAGCAAACTTCATCCAATCACACTGGAGCACCTATAGGTTCATGGAAGGAACACCATTCTAGGAATCTCTGTAGTCCACATCTAGTAGAATGAGGAAGGCTGACTGTAATGAATGTGGTATACTACAATATAGTAATACATTTATTTATTTATTTTATTTATTTTATTTAGTACATTTGTATACTGCTAGTATCTCAGCCTAAACGGCGACTCACTGCGGTTTACAGCATTTAAAAACAGCAATATTCAGATTAAAAATATAAAACACATACATATATAATAAACAGTATTGGGCCACCAATACAGACCAATGCATCTCTTAAATGAAAATCATAATCCAATTCATTGTCGGTAATTGCCAGTCCTTAATCAGAAACATCATCGCGTCGAATTAGCCGAACGCTTGCTCAAACATCCATGTCTTTAGTTTTTTCCGAAATATCATCAGTGAGGAGGCTGATCTTATCTCTATAGGGAGGGCATTCCAAAGCCGTGGGGCCACCACAGAAAAGGCCCTATCTCTCGTTCCCGCCAGCCGCACCTGTGAAGCAGGCGGGATGGAGAGAAAGGCCTCTCCCGAAGATCTTAGGGTCCTGGTGGGCTGATAGGCCGAGATACGTTCGGATAGGTATGTTGGGCCAGAACCGTTTAGGGCTTTAAAGGCCAATGCCAGCACTTTGAATTGGGTCCGGTAGCTAATCGGCAGCCAGTGGAGCTGGTACAGCAAAGGAGTTGTATGCTCCCTGCGTCCTGCTCCTGTTAGTACCATGGCTGCCGCCCGTTGGACTAGTTGGAGTTTCCGAGCCATCTTCAAAGGCAACCCCACGTAGAGAGCGTTGCAGTAGTCTAAACGGGATGTAACCAGAGCGTGGACTACCGTGGCCAAGTCAGACTTCCCAAGGTACGGGCGCAGCTGGCGCACAAGCTTTAACTGTGCGAATGCTCCCCTGGTCACCGCTGAAACCTGGGGTTCCAGGCTCAGCGATGAGTCCAGGATCACACCCAAGCTGCGAACCTGCGTCTTCAGGGGGAGTGCGACCCCATCCAACACAGGCTGTAACCCTATACCCTGTTCGGCCTTACGACTAACCAGGAGTACCTCAGTCTTGTCTGGATTCAATTTCAATTTGTTCGCCCCCATCCAGACCGTCACAGCGGCCAAGCACCGGTTCAGGACCTCGACAGCCTCCTTAGTAGCAGGTGGAAGGAGTGACAGAGTTGGACATCATCTGCGTACAGATGACACCGCACCCCGAAACTCCGGATGATCTCGCCCAGCGGCTTCATGTAGATGTTAAACAACATGGGGGACAGTATTGAACCCTGAGGAACCCCACAAAACAAAGGTTGTGGGGTAGAACAGGAGTCCCCCAATAACACCTTCTGCGACCGACCCTCGAGGAATGACTGGAGCCACTGCAAAGCAGTACCTCCAAGGCCCATTCCCGCGAGGCGTCCCAGAAGGATACCGTGGTCGACGGTATCGAAGGCCGCTGAGAGGTCGAGTAGCACCAACAGGGACACACTCCCCCTGTCGAGCTCCCGACGCAGATCATCCACTAAGGCGACCAAGGCTGTCTCGGTACCATGCCCCGGCCTAAAGCCAGACTGTGCCAGATCCAGATAATCCGTGTCTACCAAGAATGCCTGGAGTTGTGAGGCCACCACACGTTCCATGACTTTGCCCAAAAAGGGGAGATTGGAAACAGGCCGATAGTTGACGAATTGAGTGGGGTCCAGTGATGGTTTCTTCAACAGCGGTTTTATCACAGCTTGCTTTAAGCTGGCTGGAAATATGCCTTCCCGAAGGGAGGCATTAACCACCACCTTAACCCACTCGGCCAATCCCCCTCTGGCCTCCTTTAGAAGCCAGGATGGGCAGGGGTCTAGGATGCATGTGGTAGCTCTCATTCCTCCAAGCACCTTGTCCACATCCTCGGTTTGAACCAATTGAAATGAATCCATCAAAACCGGACAAGCAGATGCTCGTGTTACATAATGCTAATATTGTGCGGTTAATAATATAATATTTTGTAAGTACATATAATATTGATCATAATATTGTAATACAATATAATACTAGTAATCTATATAAATAAAAGTGTAATGTTCGTTTGTGGGATTAACATAACTCAAAAACTACTGGACAAATTGACATGAAATTTGGACACAATACAGCTATCAGGCCAATGAGTGACCATCACTCATAAAACACTGAAAACACAGCGGAAGGGACTTAAAAAGCCAAAAGAACAACCCAAAGATGCTACACCACATGTGCAAAAATGACTCCCCCTGGCAAACAACATACACAATAGCATATACACAATCGCTTCTGGACTACAGCTCCCAGCATCCCCTAGATCAAATGCACTTCTGCCAAGCTGCAATCTTTCTTCTCCTTGGATTTCTTTGAGAGCATCCCAATCCCTGCATATTTCCAATTTCCTATTTCTGGACTGCAACTCCCAGCAATCCTCCAGATAGATAGATTAGATAGAGATAGGTAGGTAGGTAGGTGGATAGATTGATCAGGAGGACTGCTGGGAGTTGCAGTCCAAGAATAGGTAGAGAAGGGAGAAAGGGGAGAAAGAGGAAGGAAAAGATAATGGGGCGAAGGAAGAGAAGAGGAAGAGAAGGAAGGAGAGAATGAAAGAATAAAAGGGAAGGAAGGAAGAAAAGGGGAAGAAAGGAGAGAAAGAGAGAGGTTGGCCACAGCAACGTGTGGCAGGTACAGCTAGTACAATATAATAATTATAAGTTATATATTGCATGTAATATTAGTAATAATATTCCAGTATAGTGGTATAGTACAATATAGTAATATATAATACTAATATTGTGCTATGCTAATAATGTAATATATTGTGTGTACATATAACTTGTAAGTTGCTCTGAGTCTCCTTCGGGGTGAGAAGGATGGGATATAAGTGTTATAAATAAATAAATAATGAATTTATACCAAGCGTGGGCAAACATTGGCCCTCCAAATGTTTTGAACTTCAACTCCCACAAATCCTAACAACCTCAGGCCCTTTCCTTAAGCAGCTGAGGCTATTAGGAATTGTGGGAATTGAAGTCCAAATCCTGAAGTCCATGCCTGATTTATACATTATCAAACTAAACTGATTTACTAGTGATTTCTTTTACCTAGGGAATTAAAAGACTATTATTATTTTGATTGAGAATTGCGCGAACTGTAGGTCCATCTTCTAATTGGAAAGTTTTAGCAGACTATGTCTTTTCTAGGGTTACTTGGGAGACTACCATAATTTTTTTTTTAATGGCGTAAATATGTTGTAGATCTAAAGCATGGCTATGCATTGTGTACTATCTGTGTAAGTGTCTTAACATCCTAGTAGTTATGCAACAAGGATCCTGTTTTTCCTATATTTAAGTTTCAAGAATTAAACAACTATTCAAACCACCGGAAGGAAAATCTTATTTATCACTGAGGCTTATTGTTCTACTGCAGCGCCTAGAACATTGTCTGAGAAATAGGCCAAAAACTGTAGGGCAAATCTAGAGAAAACTGTGACATATTAGTAAGAGGCACTGAATTTGGAGCAATAAGGTGTATGAATCCATTTGTGTACACATGGAATTGGAAACAACCTAAGAAAGTTTATCGCCGACTTAAGTTTGTAATCTTAAGTTTGTAACTCTTTATTTGGTAAAAGTCAGTTAATGTAACTCATAACTTTTTAAAAATGATCTAGCTTCAGAAATGAAACAGAATGACAAGATCCTCTGCATTCTTGATGAACGACAGAAAAGAGACGCTCAAATCCTAAATAAAGCTCTCAATGAATTTCGTCAGAAATATCAACACCCTGAAACACGACGTGAATTTGACTTGACTGGCCCCCAAGTCCTAAAGAAAGATACTCCTGCTCGTCTTGCTGACAGTGACCCTCGATGTACCATCTCTGGCTTGCAGAAGTTTATGGGAGAAGACTTAAACAGTGAGAAAAGATGGAAATTTCAACAGGAACAAACAAGAGAATGGCTTTTGGAACAACACAAAGACTGGCAAAATGCACTGGCAGATAAAAAGTATGCTGGTAAGACATGGACCTAGGATTATGCATTGTTTTGAAAATTGTGCATTTAGTTGTTTGCTAAGCACTTCTAAATTACTAAATCTCCCATCAGATGATAATAGAAATACATAGAAAACCACAACCCTTCTCCCCAATTCAGTTTTTGGAGGTATCTAGTATCACATCTTAGGGCCCTTCCACACAGCCATATAACCCAGAATAAGAAGGCAGAATCATCCACAATATCTGCTTTGAACTGGAATATCTGAGTCCACACTGCCACATAGCCCAGTTCAAAACAAATAATGTGGGATTTTATGCAGCTGTGTGTAAGGGGTCTAAGACACACATTTATTAATATAGGGAATAGAGAAAAAGCAGAATGTCAAGTTAAGCATACAAACTGACTTAATGTCTGTCAATGTTTTAAAGTCTGCACTCACACTTTATATAGTCATCCCTTCACATTTGCAAATTAAGCATTCAGAGATCTGATTGTTTGCAGATTACTGTCTTTCCTGCTATCCTATATGTGATAGGATAGCCTGAAAAAATATGTTCTCTAGGTATTTCTAGGTTTTTGCTGGATGTCAACCACAGGCTCATGCTGGCGGACCTAGAAATCATCGGGTAATTAAAAAAAAAGGAAAAAGCATTTAAAATGTAAAACAGCAACAGCAGCAGTTTTAGCAGACCAGAAGCTTCTTGAGCTAGCAATAGAGCAAATAATCTTCATCAATTACTGGAGCAGAGTAAAGCTTTATCAGTTACAAAAAGACTACATTCTATATAGGAAAGTCTGGATCCACACTGCCATATAATACAAATTATCAAAGCAGATAATGCAGATTTTAACTATTACATTTGGCCCAGCCTTAGGTTTTTAAATGCTTTTGTGTTACTGTTTATTGTCTATTGTTTATTTTGTTTATGTGATTTATATTAATTGTATTGTATTGATTGTTTTTGTTATTGCTTTTGTTTATTATGTACTGTGGGCTTGGCCTCATGTAAGCCGCACCGAGTCCCTTGGGAGATGGTAGCGGGGTATAAATAAAGCTTTGTTATTATTATTATATTATATGAGTCTACACTGCAATATAATCCAGTTCAAAGCAGATAATCTGGATTTTACATGGCAGTACAGATGGGGCCCAAGTAAGGGCCTAACTATCAAACTATATCTCTGGAGACATCTTGCCCCCTTCTACACTGCTATATAAATCCAGATTATCTGCTTTGAACTGAATTATATGACAGTGTAGACTCATATAATCCAATTCTAAGTAGAGAATGTGGATGGATTATATGGCAGTGTAGAAGGGCCTTAGTTGTCCTTTTCCATATCCTTACATATTTAACAGCATGTTACTTTATATACTTTTTGTATATTGAATCGAAATATAATTTTATTTTACAATTTTGCAGTTATTCATTTGTTCCTACAGTGCTATTTTTTGTCCCCATGTCTTATGGGTTGGGAAAAAAATGAAATAAGAGCCTTAGTGTCTCCAGCCCTGGTTGACAATATCACCATTGTACATTAATGCATTTCTATTTCACTATTTAGATGATCTCCATGACCAGCACAGACTGGAACTTGACAAGAAAATTCTGAACCTACAAAGAATAGATGGAGAAACTAGACGGGCAATTTGTGTTGCTAACTGTGATTTCAATAAAGCTCTGGTAAAATTTTTGTCCAGTTTTTGGCCTTCTTAAGACAATCAAAATTAGTCCTATCGTGTGTTTCTGAGGCCCCTTCTACAGTGTCATATAATCCAGATTATCAAATCAGATAATCTACTTTATCTGCTTTTAGCTGAACTGCCATATAATCCACTTAATCCAATTCAAAGCAGATAATCTGTATTTTATATGGCAGTGTAGAAGAGGCCCTAGACTACTTGGAAGTGCATGTTTCATGGCTATTCTCTGTTGGCTACTATTACCCGTATAGTGTCTTATTACAAACACCTGGAATGCAGATTTAAGATTATCCCCCACAGTTAGAAATTAAGCTATGCTATATAAAACTTTTTTTGATAAACAGACTCTATAATGATGAAATGTTTTCAAAGCCATTCCAGAACAAAGCAATCCGTATTATTGACATTGCTTAGTTCTTACTCCAAAATTCATAAAATTTATAATTGTTTAATCTTTTTTTAGAATTTTTTGTTCTTGCAATACAAAAACTTGAAAAAATAATATGTGCCAAGGAATCTTCTTTAAATTAGTATGTTTAGGAGCAAATCTTCACAAATTTTGGGAGATTTCTATTCTAATAACCTGCCAACAGGATACAGAATAAACAATAGGGATGTTTGAGATTTGATTTGTTTGACGTTTGTATATTGTTGAGTTTCTCAAAAAATTCAGAGTATAAATCCAGATTTGTAATTCAAAAACATAAAAAATTCCAAACTCTGGGTCCTCAACTTGAGGAATTTTATTCAAAACAAATTATTATTATTATTATTATTATTATTATTATTACTACTACTATTATTATTATTATTATTATTATTATTATTATTATATTTTATGTATACCCTGGGTTGTTGTAAGTTTTTTTGGGCTGCATGGCCATGTTCCAGAAGCATTCTCTCCTGATGTTTGGTCTGCATTTATGGCAGGCATCCTCAGAGGTTGTGAGGTCTGTTGGAAACTAGGAAAATGGGGTTTATATATCTGGAATGTACAGGGAGGAAGAAAAAACTCTTGTCTGTTGGAGGTAGGTGTGAATGTTTCAATTGGCCACCTTGATTAACATTTAATGGCCTAGCAGTTTTCAAGGTGTAGCTTCTTACAGCCTGGGGGAATCCTTTGTTAAGAGGTGTTTAGCTGTCCCTGATTGTTTCTAGTCTGGAGTTCCCCTGTTTTTGAAAGTTGTTCTTTATTTACTGTTAGGATTTTAGAGTTTTCAAATACTGGTAGCCAGATTTTGTTCATTTTCATGGTTTCTTCCTTACATCTGTTTTGGAATTGCTATTGATGGCTGACTGTTTAGGTGCATTTTGCTTTCCTCTTATCATTTTTAAGGCTGCTGAATCTAAAGATAAAAGACTTCTTGAAAAGCAGCAAGAACAAGAAGCTAACGTCGCTGAGATTGCAAACCTACTTAAAGGGGACTTCTTGTCTGAAAACCCAGAGCAAGCCATTAGCTCTTTTGGTCCAGGGCGCGTGATTGTTGACCGATGGAAAGGGATGAATCAAGATCAGCTGAAAGAAATACGCGATATTCAGATGCAACAAGTGCTGGAAAAACTGGTATTCATTTACAAAATCTTATGTTCTCTAATGGAAATGAAAAAAGGTCAAAATATGTTAGAAAGCTCAAAATATTTAAAATATTCAACATTCCTCTTTCAGATCTCCATAGTTTCCATGCCTACTATTCTGATTCTACAGATGCCTTGGGAGTGTCCTGGCATGCTCTATAAATACATATATCACTATTAATATATCTTCCAGTTTTCAACCAAGATTTTATTTGGTTGCTGTCCCCAAGACATAACATATTTGGGTTGTTGTAGTTTTTTTCGGGCTATATGGCCATGGTCTAGAGGCATTCTCTCCTGACGTTTCACCTGCATCTATGGCAAGCATCCTCAGAGGTAGTGAGGTCTGTTGGAACTAGGAAAAAGGGTTTATATATCTGTGGAATGACCAGGGTGAGACAAAGGACTCTTGTCTGCTGGAGCTAGGTGTGAATGTTTCAACTGACCACCTTGATTAGCATACAATGGCCTGACTGTGCCTGGAGCAAACTTTTGTTGAAAGGTGATTAGATGTCCTTGTTTGTTTTCTCTCTTTTGTTGTGCTGCTGCAATTTTAGAGTTTTTTAATACTGGTAGCCAGATTTTGTTCATTTTCATGATTTCCTCCTTTCTGTTGAAATTGTCCACATGCTTGTGTATTTCAATGACTTCTCTGTGTAGTCTGACATGGTGGCTGTTGGAATGAGCCAGCATTTCTGTGTTCTCAAATAAAATGCTGTGTCCAGGTTGGTTCATCAGGTGCTCTGCTATGGCTGACTTCTCTGGTTGAAGTAGTCTGCAGTTCCTTTCATGTTCCTTGATTCGTGTTTGGGCAATGCTGCGTTTGGTGATCCCTATGTAGACTTGTCCACAGCTGCATGGTACATGGTAGACTCCTGCAGAAGTGAGAGGATCCCTCTTCTCCTTTGCTGAACGTAGCATTTGTTGGATTTTCTTGGTGGTTCTGTAGATAGTTTGTATGTTGTGTTTCCTCATCAGTGGTTCCCTTGATGTATGGCAAGAACACTTTTCCTCTGGGTGAATCTTCGTCTTTACTCTCGTGGCTTGTTCTTGGTCTTGCAGCTCTTCTGATGTCTGAGGTGGAGTATCCATTGTCCTGGAGAGTCCAATTGAGGTGGTTCAGTTCATCTTGAAGGAGGTGGGGTTCACAGATTCTTTTTGCACGGTCTGCCAAGGCTTTAATGGTGCTTCTTTTTTGACTTGGGTGATGGTTGGAGTTTTTATGTAGATATCTATCTGTGTGTGGGGGTTTTCTGTAAACGGTGTGACCCAATTGTTGATCTGGTTTGCGGATGACTAGGACATCTAGAAAAGGCAGTCTTCCTTCATTTTCTTTTTCCATGGTGAACTGGATGTTTGAGTGGATGCTGTTAAGATGGTCCAGGAACCTGTTGAGTTCTTCTTCTCCATGGCTCCAAATGGTGAAGGTGTCATCCACATATCTGAACCGTATCGTGGGCTTTTTGGTTGCTGTTTCCAGGGCTTGTTTTTCAAAGTGTTCCATGTAGAAGTTAGCTATGACCGGGCTGAGAGGGCTCCCCATAGCTACTCCATCTTTCTGTTCGTAGAATTCATTGTCCCACTGAAAGTAGCTGGTGGTGAGGCAATGGTGAAACAGAGCTGTGATGTCTTCTGGGAACCTCTGGTTGATTAGTGCCATGGTGTCTGCTACCGGGACCATGGTAAATAGAGACACCACATCGAAGCTGATCAGTTTGTCGTTGGTATTTAACTTGAGATTGCTGATTTTTTCTATGAAGTGGGCTGAGTCCTTGATGTAGTGTGTAGTGAGCCCAATATGGCTTTGTAACTGTGCAGCAAGAAATTTTGCTAGTCGTATGTGGGGGATCCAATGGCACTCACAATGGGTCTGAGTGGGGTGGAGTCCTTATGGATTTTTGGGAGTCCATAAAGCCTGATACAAGCATGTGGACAATTTCAACAGAAAGGAGGAAACCATGAAAATGAACAAAATCTGGCTACCAGTAATAAAAAACTCTAAAATTACAACAGCACAACAACAGAGAGGAAACAAACAAGGACATCTAATCACCTCTCAACAAAAGTTTGCTCCAGGCACTGTCAGGCCATTATATGCTAATCAAGGTGGTCAGTTGAAACATTCACACCTAGCTCCAACAGACAAGAGTCCTTTGTCCCACCCTGGTCATTCCACAGATATATAAACCCTTTTTCCTAGTTCCAACAGACCTCACTACCTCTGAGGATGCTTGCCATAGATGCAGGCGAAACGTCAGGAGAGAATGCCTCTAGACCATGGCCATATAGCCCGAAAAAAACTACAACAACCCAGTGATTCCGGCCATGAAAGCCTTTGACAATACATAACATATTTCCTCTTTAACCCAGAGGTTGGAAGAAGAAGAACGTCAAAGAACTGCAGAATGGGGCAGAAAACGTATTCAGGAAGCGAGGGCAGAAGTACTTTTTGAACGTCATCAGCAGCGTCAGAATCGAGAAATTCGGAGAGCATTAGATAATTCTAATATGCAGCTCTCCCAGGAGCAGAAAGCTAGGTAAGGCCTGGCAAGAACTCTGGGTCCTTTTACTAGGAATATTGTGGATTGGATGTGCCGCCATATATTGGGTTAGACTGTTCTCCACATTTTCAAAGGAAGAGCTCTGCTACGTGGCAAACAAATTTACTTTTACTGGTATAAAGATTTCAAGCCTCTTTTGTTTTCTTTTACCTGCTTTTCTAGTGCATTGTGCTGGCTGAACTGCTGACCTCAAGGTCGGCAGTTCGAATCCATGAGACAGGGTGAGCTCCTGTCTGTCAGCTCCAGCTTCCCATGCAGGGACATGAGAGAAGCCTCCCACAGGATGGTAACACATCCGGGCGTCCCCTGGACAATGTCTCTGCAAACGGCCAATTCACTCACACCAAAAGAGACTTGCAGTTTCTCAAGTTGCTTCTGACATGATTTTTTTTTAAACCTGCTTTTTTCTTTTCAGGCTCCAACATATAGCCTCTCCATATTAAATCTCTTAGAGCCTGTCGCCAAGATCAGGGGTTCTTAAATTTTTTTCCACCCACAACCCCTTTCCAGCCATGACCCCAGATACATAGGTATCTAAAACTAGTGTTCCCTGCCACGCGTTGCTGTGGCCCACATGGGGGTTCTGTGTGGGAGGTTTGGCCCAATTCTATCGTTGGTTGGGTTCAGAATGCTCTGTGATTGCAGGTGAACTATAAATCCCAGCAACTGCAACTTCCAAATGTCAAGATTCTATTTTCCCCAAACTACACTATATTGAGTATTCTTGTAGAGTTTGGTCCAGATCCATCATTGTTTGAGTCCATAGTGATCTCTGGACGCAGGTGAACTGCAACTCCAAAACCAAAGGACACTTCCCACCAAACCCTTCCAGTATTTTCTGTTGGTCATGGGAGAACCGTGTGCAAAGATTGGTTCAATTCCATCGTTGGTGGGGTTCAGAATTTTCTTTGATTGTAGGTGAACTATAAATCCCAGCAACTACAACTCCCAAATGATAAAATCATTTTTTTTGAGTGAAGGACATACATTGGGTTGTTAGGTGTGTTGTGTCCAAATTTGGTGTCAATTCATCCAGTGGTTTTTGAGTTCTGTTAATCCCACAAACGAACATTACATTTTTATTTACATAAATAGGTATAAAAACCAAACAATTACTGATAATGAATTGGCATTTTCAAGACTTGCAAAACAGATGGATTTTCCTTTTTCTGTGAAGCAGAGTCCACTAGAAGCACTGCATATTGTTGCTAACAGAATTCTTGAAATGGATGCATTCAGAAACTTTTCACTGTTCCCCAGATTTTCATGACTCAACATTGAACTAAGGGGATCCCATTTGGGATCAGGACCTAGAGTTCATGAAACACACCCTAGATCAGTGCTTCTCAACCTTCCTAATGCCGTGACCCCTTAATACAGTTACTCATGTTATGGTGACCCCCAGCCATAATATTGTTTTCATTGCTACTTGATATCTGTCATTTTACTACTGTTATAAGTTGTAAATATCCGATATGCAGGATGTATTTTCATTCACTGGACCAAATTGAGCACAAATACCCAAAACGCCCAAATGTGAATGCTAGTGGGGTTGGGGGAGGATTGAGTTTGTAATTTGGGAGTTGTAGTTGCTGAGATTTATAGTTTAGTTATAATCAAGGAGCATGAATTTGAACCAAACTTGGCACACAGAGCTCCCACGACCAACAGAAAACACTGGAAGGGTTTGGTGGGCATTGACCTTGAGATTGGGAGTTGTAGTTCACCTATATCCAGAGGAGCACTGGATTCACACAATGATGGATCTAATACTCAATTTGGCCAAATGTGAACACTGTTGGAGTCTGGGGAAAATAGACCTTGACATTTGGGAGTTGTAGATGCTGGGATTTATAGTTCACTTATAATCAAAGAGCATTCTGAACTCCACCAGCAATGGATTTGAGCCGAACTTGACACACAGAGCTCCCATGACCAACAGAAGACACTGGAAGGGTTTGGGGGGCATTGACCTTGAGATTGGGAGTTGTAGTTCACCTATATCCAGAGGAGCACTGTGGATTCATGCAATTATGGATCTGAACCAAACTTGGCACGAATACTCAATATGCCCAAACGTGAACACGTGGAGTCTGAGAAAAATAGACCTTGACATTTGGGAGTTGTAGTTGCTGGCATTTATAGTTCACCTAAAATCAAAGAGCATTCTGAACTCGACCAACAATAGAGTTGGGTCAAACTTCCCACACAGAATCCACATGGCCAACAGAAAATACTGTGTTCTCTGATGGTCTTTGGCGACCCCTTTGACACCCCCTCATGACCCCCTCAGGGGTCCCGATCCCCAGGTTGAGAAACACTGCCCTAGATCAAGCATGCCCTGATATGGCTTGTCTTAACTCTTGACAAGGGATCGGAAAATTATTCTGTTTTGTTTAAACTTGTCACACTTGATCTGAAGTGCTCAGCCTAATTGTTGACATCTGTTTACTCCAAATATTTTTAGAAGCTTATATATATATTCCGAGGATCTGAATATTGATCACTCTGGAGAAAAAATGGTTTGGATTTTTGCAGTTGTAAAATGATATGAATTATAATAGAAAATTATCTGCTTTTGTACTGGACTCTTCTGTGACAATAAGGTAGATGGGGGTCACATCAGCGTTACACACCTTAAAAACAAGCATTCAGGGCTCTGAAGAATATTCTTAACTGAAGCACTATCTGTGTCTTTATGACGCTGTTTTACTACTCGTGTAAGCCTCCTGTTCCTTAGCCATGCATGAGGTAACTTCAGACTTCTTAGGTTGCATCACATAATATTAGGCAGAAATGCATCATGAGGTTTTAACATAATCTGCCAATATAATGTTTTCCTCACAATTTCTGTAGCGTATACTACCACTGTTTGTGGTAATATACACCAGAAACAGACATACACTAGACCAGGCATTCTCAAACTTTTTAAACAGAGGGCCAGGTCACAGTCCGTCAAATTGTTAGAGGGCCGGATTATAATTTGAAAAAAAATGAATGAATTCCTATGCACACTGCACATATCTTATTTGTAGTGCAAAAAACACTTAAGACAATACAATAATTAAAATGAAGAACAATTTTAACAAATATAAACTTATTAGTATTTCAATGGGAAGTGTGGGCTTGCTTTTGGCTGATTATATAGGATTGTTGTTGTTGTGTGCTTTCAAGTCGATCCAGACTTAGGTTGACCCTGAGGGAGGGCTGGGTAAATGACCTTGGAGGGCCACATCCGGCCCCCGGGCCTTAGTTTGAGGACCCTTGCACTAGACTCTCAGTTAATCAGGACCCATGAGGATTAGAAGATGCTGGATAAATGTAGTTTTTGGTTGCTTGAAAAATTATTTAAAATAGGCCTAATACTATTTTTACTATAAAGGTTTCCCCTTGACATTAAGTCTAGTCATCCCCGACTCTGGGGAGTGTTGCTGATCTCAATTTCTAAGCCAAAGAGCCGGTGTTGTCCATAGACACCTCCAAGATCATGATTGCATGGAGAGCCATACCTTCCTGCAGAAGTTGTACCCATTGATCTACTCACAGTTGCATATTCTCGAACTGCTAGGTTACCAGAAGCTGGAGCTAACAGCAGGAACTCACCCCACTCCCCAGATTTGAACTGGCAACCTTTTGGTCAGCAAGTTCAGCAGCTCAGTGGTTTACCCTGCTGCGTCACGGGGGCTCCACCTCTTACTCTACCATACCATAACTTGTATTGAATTGATATTAATAGTGGCGCAGTGGGTTAAACCCCTGTGCCGGCAGGACTGAAGACCGACAGGTCGCAGGTTCGAATCTGGAGAGAGCACGGATGAGTTCCCTCTTTCAGCTCCAGCTCCTCACGCGGGGACATGAGAGAAGCCTCCCACAAGGATGATAAAACAGCAAAACTCAGGCATCCCCTGGGCAACGTCCTTGCAGACGGCCAATTCTCTCACATCAGAAGCAACTTGCAGTTTCTCAAGTCACTCCTGACACGGCAAATAAATAAATAAATAGTGAAATACACTAATTCAAAGGAAAAAAGGACAAATTTAATTATGCTACATTTTATTGTATTATTAAAACAGCTTTATGAATGCAGTGTGCAATGTTAGTTAGTAATTTTTGCCAGAAACATGAGTCAGCTGCATCTTTTGTGACAACTTTTAAGTGTTAGTGAAAAATAATGTCTTCAGTAGACATTTATAGTGCAATTTTATCTTCCAAAAAACACAAAATTTGCTAAGTTATTAATTTATTATTAATAAAGTTAATCTATTTCTTTCCAGGCAGAGACACCTTCTTGAGAAAGTATATACAAATTTTCCTTCTGGCCAGTATTACACCCAGTTTAACACCACTAGTCGGTGATGTTGGAGCAAATATTCACTTTCATACCGAGGAGGTTTGTTTGTAGAAATGTGTTTTAGCTTTCTCCAGATATCTAATGAAGAAATACAGTCCTTTTTGACATATAAAAGTAATGAAAATCACACTATAGATTTTGTGTGTGTCCTTTTTGAACAAAAAGAACGGTAAGGGTGGTCGATTAAAAGCTTGTCTGAATTTACAAAGAAGGCATAAACTGGGCAATAAAGTTTACAGTTTGTATTGCAGATTATTAATCTTTGCTTTAGCCTTTTTGAAGTTCTCTAATTTCTGTAGATTAAATAGAATTGTTCATAAAAGAATGTTTTTGATAACAGAAGAAGGTTTTTTGCAATAAAAATACTGACATACATATTGCAGGGTAAACAGGGCATTGCTAGGGCCTCATCAACAGAAATGATTTAATACAGGTTAAAAGTGGCAGCTACAAAATGCACACCAACGGTATGTGCTGCAACTCGATTGATGGCGGTAATCCGCATTAAGCAAAAGCACAGGAAAGTCCGAGTTAAACCCCTTAATGTGCATCAATGAACCCCAGCTTTTCACTGAGTCCTAGTCCCTAGATTTATTTATTTTGTATCAAAAGCATTGCATAAATTAGTATAAAACTGATAAAAATAGAAGGAGCGCAGGTGGCTAAATATCTTTTGACCAAAAACGGGCAACAGCAATGGCATTGTCTGTAGCCTCCAACAATTCTTCTGCTGTACATGAGGCAGGGCATAGTGGACAGGCATACAGATGTGGAGTTGTCTGTTCTGCTCCACAGTCACATAAGGTGTCTAGACATAAGTCCCTAGATGAAATTGGCTCAGCAGAAAGCAAAGTACATTGTAGCTGAGCACATTATATAATCCAGAACGGGAGGGGTAATTGATTGCCTCCACATCTAACTGTCACTTTCCCCCTTTAAAAAACAAACAAACAAACCTTTTATGTCTTGGGAGCACTGGTACGAAACTCCCCAAAATGGGGGAAAATCCTGTAAACCCGTTTGAGGCCACATTCCATTTTTAACATCATCACCTTCCTAACCTCAAACTAGTTCCAGGCATGACATTATAATCACCCACACAATGAAACCAGTTTTTCCCAAATCAGTTCCAGGCTGGCTTAAATGGTAAATGTAGACAACCCCAAGGTTGGGTTACCCACTGTAGCATATGTATTTCATAGCCTATCTGCCAACACTATTATATAATATGTTTTCCGCTTCTATTTCATGTTATTGGAAGAGATCGGCAAACAAACGGCATCATGAAAAAGATAAACTAATATGAATAAGTTCTGGAAAATGAGTTTTCCGATGATGATGATAATAATAATAATTGTCGAAGGCTTTCATGGCCGGAATCACTGGGTTGTTGTAGATTTTTTCGGGCTATATGGCCACGTTCTAGAGGCATTCTCTCCTGACGTTTCGCCTGCATCTATGGCAATTATCCTCACTACCTCTGAGGATGCTTGCCATAAATGCAGGCGAAACGTCAGGAGAGAATGCCTCTAGAACGTGGCCATATAGCTCAGAAAAAAACCTACAACAACAACAATAATAACAATAATCTTATCTATTTAAAAATGCTCTGTTCATTTTGAGAGACATCATAACTCAAAATCTGCTGGATGAATTGTCGCCAAATTTGAACACAAGACACCTACTAACCCAAGGAGTGACCATCACTCATGACCCAAGGAGTGACCATCACTCAAAAAAATGATTTTGTCATTTGGGAGTTGCAGTTGCTGGAATTTATAGTTCACCTACAATCAAAGAACATTCTGAACCCCACCAATGATGGAATTTAACCAAGCCTGGCACACAGAACTCCCATGACCAACAGAATGCACTAGAAGGGTTTGGTGGACATTGACCTTGAGCTTGGGAGTTGTAGTTCACGTACATCGAGAGCATCGTGGACTCAAATAATGAAGGATCTAGACCAAACTTGGCACGAATACTCCATATGCCCAAATATGAACACAGATGGAGTTTGGGGGAAATAAACCTTGACATTTGGGAGTTGTAGTTACTGGGATTTATAGTTCACCTACAATCAAAGAGCATTCTGAACCCCACAAGGATAGAATTGGGCCAAACTTCCCACACAGAATCCCCATGACCAACAGAAAATACTGTTTTTTCTGGTGGTCTTTGGCGACCATTCTGACCCTCCAGCGGTCCTGATCTCCAGGTTGAGAAATTATGCCTTAAGGCCATCCAGTCCAACTCCCTTCACCAGGGAGTGAAAAAATAATCAAAACCCTCCTGACAAAGATATAGACATATATATATGATTCACACAAAGACACACACATGTATAAGACAGATATAGTATCATAGATTTGAAAGGGACTCCTAAAGAAGGACAATTATATGTCGCATTTTTCATAGTAGGCAAACCAGACAATCTCTATATCAACACTGACAAAGAAACAACAAGAATAAAGAAATTACATACAGTAGAAACCAACACTTTCTTGTTACTTTATTTTCCAGATCACCAGTCTGGGCCACAGCAACATGTGGCAGGGTATGGCTAGTAATAAATTAATTTTTGTACCCTGCCTCCATCCCCCCGAAGAGACTCATGGCGGCTTACATGGGGACGAGCCTGGTCAACATAGTTAAAATATTACATATTAAAATATATAAACAACAGTATAAAAGAGAATAAAACAATGTTGTAACAAAATATAAGAGCAAGCATTAAACCAACAACCAATGAGCCTGGGAAATTGATGATCAATTTCTGGGTACAGGTGGGTGGACTGTTCAGTTGTGAGGATAGGTCTGATGGATAAAGTGCGTAGGTCATATGGCAACAGTAAAGATAGAGGGCAGTGTAAGTTAGAGCATTATAACTGGGTGAGGGCAAAATTTTGGTCCTACCTGGGGAATTGTCTAGTCAAAACTACAGTGGAACATCCACATATTTAAATCTTTGCAGAAGCTATCTTTCCAATCTTATTTTTATATGTAGTTCCATGACATATAAACACTTCTTAAATATAAAATTGGCAATTTATGAACAATACATTGCACTTACTCTTCTGTGTGTCTCTGTTTAATCCCTACCATGGAATTATACCTACATAAACCAGCAAATAATCCTTGGGAAGCTTATATTTTCTTGGGAAATTGCTATATCCTGTCCCACATGTATTTAATGTCTTTGGAGATCTTGCAGAAAAGCCCAGAAATATCGGATTCAGATACGTCTGATCCTGGAAGATATTGCTAAAGGGAAATTTATGAAGGTACCAGATATTTATTTGTTGGGAATGCTAAACAACCATTTAGAAAGAAAATTTGGAAGATTGCTACAATATATGATAACTTCCATCCCAATGGAAGAACCAGCTATCACAACGCAAGAAGAATGGCTGATAAATATATTTGAATTAGGTGACATGGACAGTATGATTATGCTGATTAAGGAGAAATCCTTGACTAAGAAAGATCACCTTTTCACAACTATGGTGGCATTTGTAAATTTTAGTCTTCTTGAATTAGCAGAGTATTACCAAAAATAAAAGTTTGAATATATAATATTATTTAAGGAGAGAAGATAAACAAGGAAAAATAACCATCTGAGAGTGTAGAGTTTGTACATGTTTGTTTTTTATTTGTACGTGTTTTGTTTTGCCTTTGTTCTGTTTTTTAATGGCTATATAGTTGTAGTAGTAGATAATATGTAGTTGTGTAGTTTTCAGTGTCATATATATATAAAAAAATCTTGTTTTATTTTGTTTCTTTCTTAAACTGAAAAAAGTGCCTTTAGACACATTATACTTCAATATATAGAATTTTACATGAATGAATTCTAAGATGAAACACTAGGAATTGTGTGATTTGTAATGGACTTGACTTGGACTTTTCTTTTCTACTTTGCCATGCTACACCGAACCCAAGAGCCTCTCAAGTCTATATTCCGGGGGGAAATTAAATGCTGGAGGAGCAATTAACGTAAGAATATGAAGTCATTAAAATTTGACTTACATTTGGGAGTCTCTCAGCAATCCTCCTTGTAGCCAAAGAGAAGGTTGGATGCATAGACAAGAACAAACAGGCAAACAAAGGCAGTGAATAAGAACAATAATGCCATAAGTATGATGTAGATGCAAGTTACAACAATTGTGTCCCACGATGGCATAATGTTTTCTGCAAGACTCAGTACTGAATAATTGTTGCCAGTGTCTTCACTCTAGAAAGCAAAACATATTTATCAATTCATCAGTAGTATCATAGCCAACAAATTAGTTAGGCATAGTAATTTGCTTCCTCATTACGTTATGGGGCCACGGTTGTGCTGGGGCTTAAACCACTAAGATGCAGAACTTGCTGACCGGAAGGTCAGTGGTTTAAATCGGTGGATGGGGTGAGCTCCTGTTGTTAGTCCCAGCTTCTGCCAGTCTAGCAGTTCGAAAACATGCAAATGTGAGTAGGTCAATAGGTACCGCTTTGGTGGGAAGGTAAAGGCGCGCCATGCAGTCATGCTGGCCACATGACCTAGGAGGTATCTAAGTTGGATAGCACTAGCTCTTCGGCTTAGAAATGCAGATGAGAACCTCACCTCCATCCCACCCCCAAGAATCTTACTCGACTAGACTTAATGTCAAGGGGAAACATTTACCTTTTATAGCTCAGGAAATAAAATAGGTGCATTCTATTATTTCTTTAATAGAAAATTTAATAATAGAGGTAGGAATAGCATGGAAGAAAGCACAAAAAAGAACAGGTAAATACATTTCAATACATTTTTATTTTTTTTTAAATGCATATGTGAAACAAAAAGCTAGCCAGGTAAATCTTGCATAAGTAAAAAGAAAAAGTTTGAATCTGCTAAAGAGCACTTCCAAGCTTTTTTCTAAAATGCATTCAGAAATTATTTTTTTCTTTCTTTCACCAATCTCTACTTTTCTGACAATATTCCATTTTGGTGGCCAGACTTTGTTTCAAGGGTTCTTTCACATTTATTTATTTATTTACAGTATTTATATTCCGCTCTTCTCACCCCGCAGGGGACTCGGGGCAGATTACAATGTACACATATATGGCAAACGTTTAATGCCAAGACACACAACAGAAATAGACAAACAG